CAGCCTCTCTGCCGGATGTGTTCTTTATAAAGAACAAATATATTTGGAGTTGTTGTATTAGGGTTGTCAAGCCTATTCTTGTCCATAAACCAGGCAAACACACACAAAAGAATGTACTATTACAAATGCTGAATGGAAGGCAGATTCTTATAGATGTAGGTATTATGCAAAAAATGACGCAAGACTTAAGAAAAAAAGTTGTAATTAAGGCACCGGTATATAAGTATCAGTCCTGAGTGCATTATTTAAACTGTTATGTTTATTCATATCATGATCTGATCACCATACTCAATATATCCCATATGCATGGTGGTATTGGGGTAATGATACAAAAGGTTTGCTAGGGTAGACCCTCTTTCACTCAGACTCAGCCCCCCCCCCCGAAACCCCCCCTGAAAATTTTTTACCCCCCCCCCCCCCGAAACGAAATCCTGGCTACGGGCCTGGTTGAAGGTAGTCTGATTTAGGTAAAGGTTTTCCCCTGACATTCAGTTCAGTCATGTCCAACTCTGGGAACTGGCAGTCATCTCCATTTCTAAGCCCAAGAGCCAGTGTTGTCCATAGACATCTCCAAGTTCATGTGGCCGGCATGACTGCATGGAGCGCCATTATCTTCCTGCCAAAGCAGTACCTATTGATCTACTAACATTTGCATGTTTTTGAACTGCTAGGTTGGCAGAAGCTGGGGCTAACAGCAAAAACTCACCCCGCTCCCTGGATTCAAACCTGCGACCTTTTGGTCAGCAAGTTCAGTAGCTCTGCACTTTAACCCACTGCGCCACTGAGGACTCCGGTGTCTGATTTATATTTTGTTAAAAGGAAGACACGACATGAAAAAAAATCAAGTTTATTTATTTAGCAGCTTGTGTTCCCTCCATCTTATGAGTTTTATATTTATTTATGCAGTGCTTTTGACACAAAATAAATAAAATTAAAAGTTTATGGCAATTTTATGGCAAACCTATCCCTGTCCTGAAATGCAGGATCTGTTCAGATTTACCATTGGCTTTCTGAGGCCAAGAGAGTGTGACTGCCCAAGATTGCACAGCCTGTTCACATGGCTGAAAAGAGATTTGAATCTCAGTCTCCTAGGGTCCCTTGTGTGTGTGTGTGTGTGTGTGTGTGTGTGTGTGTGTGTGTGTCAGGAGCGACTTGAGAAACTGCGAGTTGCTTCTGGTGTGAGAGAATTGGCAGTCTGCAAGGACATTGCCCAGGGGATGAACGGATGTTTTGATGTTTTTATTATCCTTGTGGGAGGCTTCTCTCATGTCCCTGCATGAGGAGCTGGAGCTGTTAGAGGGAGCTCATCCGCACTCTCCTCGGATTCGAACCTACGACCTGTCGGTCTTCAGTCCTGCTGATGCAGGGGTTTAACCCACTGTGCCACCGAGGGCTCCCGGAGTCCAAATCCAGCACCAAACCACTACAGCAGGATGGCTCTGCCTCCAGTCAACTTGTTAATGTGCTCAAGTTGGCTGGTTTACATTTGTTAATTTTTTAAAGGCAAAGATGCCTGCTTCCACACGTCCCATGTGGTTTGGCATGTCCATATAATTCGTTAGTGGCAGGAAACAGGGCCACCCTCAGTGTTGCTGAGAAGTCACCATCATCAGGATCCTCCCTCCGCCAACTATTACCCAGCAGAATCGATCAGCTGCCAAATAATGGAGCCTGGCTGCCAAATAGGCCACCACCACAGCAGCAGCAGCAGGAGGAGGGGGATGTTTATTTTGCCACCCTTCCTTTGGGATTCTTGTTGCCTAGCTCATGGGAAATATTGTGAAATGATACAGGAGATGAACAACTTCGCATATGACTCAGCACACCATGGGCGGGAGAGATTTAAGGAGGCTTAGTTTCAAGGAAAGAGACAGAGGGGGAAAAGATGCCTTGTTTACAGCTCTGCAGTTTCCTAGAGAGAGAAAAGACAAGGTGAAAAGGAATGAGTATCTTGGGAAGTGCTTGAGAACATAAGGTCCGTAAACACCGTAGTCCAAAATGCATACCCAAGGGATGCTCCTCAGCAGATGCAACTTTTTGAACTTTCTCAGGATTAAACAAAAAAGAGAATGATAACATTAAAAAGTTGCAGCTGTTGGTAAAAATGGCCCACAAATTGTCTGGGAGATTAAAGAAAAAGGCAATGTTACAGCAAATGGCTTATTGAGTGGTGATGCAGGATGCATCTTCACTGTAGAACGAATGCAGTTTGACACTGCTTTAACTGTGTTGATTCAGTGCTACGGGACCCTGGGAGATGTTGTTTTACAAGGTCTTTTGCCTTGTATGTTTGTGCCTCAGCAAACTACAAACTCCAGGATTCTGTATACATTATATACCTATAATATACATTGTGGTTGTTGATTTGTTCAGTCGCTTCTGACTCTTCGTGACCTCATGGACCAGCCCATGCCAGAGCTCCGTCGGCCGTCACCACCCCCAGCACCTACAAGGTCACACTGTCAATTCAAGGATACCAACCATCCATACATCTTGGTCAGCCCCTCTTCCTTCCATTTTCCCCAGCATCATTGTATTCTCTAAGCTTTCTTGTCTTCTCATTATGTGGCCAAAATGCTTCATCTTTGCCTCTGGTATCCTTCCCTCCAATGAGCAGTCAGGCATTATTTCTTGGAGTATGGACTGGTTTGATCTTCTCGTGGTCCAAGGCACTCTCAGAATTTTCCTCCAACATCACAGTTCAAAAGCGCCAATCTTCCTTCACTCAGTCTTCCTTACCGTCCAGCTCTCACATCCATAGGTTACTACGGGGAATACCATTGCTTTAACTATGCAGACCTTCGTTGCCATTGTGATGTCTCTACTCTTCACTATTTTAATGAGATTGGTCATTGCTCTCCTCCCAAGAAGTAAACATCTTCTGATTTCCTGCTGCATACACAGATATGTGTCCCACCCTGGTCATTCCACAGATATATAAACCCTTTTCCTAGTTCCAACAGACCTCACTACCTCTGAGGATGTGTGTATATATGTATATATGTGTTTGTATATATTTGTGTATATGTGTTTGTATATATTTGTGTATATGTGTGTGTTTGCATATATATGTGGTTTTGCTCATGAATTGTATTTTTATTTTTGGGCTTTTAAAGTTTCTTCTGCAGTGTTTTTCAGTGTTTTTATGAATGGTGGTCACTTGTTGGCCTGATCAGTGTATTATGTCCAAATTTGGTGTCAATTCATCCAGTGGTTTTTGAGTTATGTTAACCCCACAAATGAACATTACATTTTTATTTATATAGACATACACAGAGAGATACATATTTCTACCAACCTAGCAGCTAAAAAACATGAAAATATAATGTGCATACACAGATATATATACACATACATACATACATACATACACACACACACACACACACACACACACTAGCTGTCTCCTGCCACACATGGCTGCAGCCCAGTCTGTGTATATGTGTTTTGTGTGTATGCATATATATGTGTGTATATATTTGTCTATATGTGTATATATGTGTTTGTATATATATATATACATATATGTGTGTGTGTGCGTGTGTATATATGTATATGTGGTTTTGTGCATGCATTGTAATGTGTTATTTGTTTTTTGGCTTTTTAGATCTCTTCTGCTGTGTTTTTCAGTGTTTTTATCAGTGATGGTCACTTGTTGGCCTGATAGGTATATTTTGTCCAAATATGGTGTCAATTCATTCAGTAGTTTTTGAGTTATGTTAATCCCACAAACAAATATTACATTTTTATTTATATAGATACACAGAGAGAGATAAATATTTCTGCCAACCTAACAATTGAAAAACATGAAAATATAATATGCATACACAGATACATTTATTTATTTATTTATTTAGAGCTTTTATAACCCGGTCTTCTCAACCTCCGAAGAGGGACTCAGGCCAGCTAACAACAGGAAATTCATATACAAATAAACTAAAACATAATAACATCATAGTACATTAATACATGAAATACATAAAAACACAGATCAAATAATTACATAAAGCCAAGTCATCAAGGTATATATATATGTGGAACGCCCTTCCCATGGATATTAGATCGGCCCCCTCACTAATGGTATTTTGGAGAAAAGTGAAAACCTGGTTATTTGAACAGGTGTTTGAATAGGCAGTGCAATGAATATAGGAAAACGGAACTATGGATGACGAGCTGGATCATGATTCTAGTTATGAGACGCTAATGAGTTGTTTACTGATGTGTAATTAATTAGTGTATTATTGTGTTAATTGTTTTTAAATGGTTTGTATGATGCAAGCATTGAATTTTTGCTGTTGCTGTTGTTAACTGCGTTGAGTCGCCTAAGGGCTGAGAAACAGCGGTATACAAATAAAGTAAATAAATAAAAAATAAATAAAAAATAAATATGTGTGTGTGTGTGTGTGTGTGTATATATATATATATATATATATAAACATAATATGCATACACACACACACATATTTCTGCCAATCCAGCAGTTCGAAAATATGCAGATGTGAGTAGATGAATAGGTACTGCTTCAGCGGGAAGATAACAGCGCTCCATGCAGTCGTGCTGGCCACATGACCTTGGAGGTGTCTATGGACGCCTGCTCTTCAGCCTAGAAATGGAGATGAGCACCAACCCCCAGAGTTGGACGCGACTAGACTTAAAGACAAGGGAAACCTTTACCTATACACATTTATATAGGTATATAATATGTAGACAGAGAGAGAGAAAGATTTAGACTGTCACTCTTATGTATACCTGTGGTTCCCAACCTTTGTGACTCCAGGTGTTTTGGACTTCAGCTCCCCCAGTTCTTAAACTGGCTGGGATTGCTGGGAGTTGAAGTCCAAAACACCTGGAGGCCCATAGGTTGGGAACCACTGACTGCTCCCAAAGTCAGCAGGCAAAGGGGATGCATCAGAGCTCTGTATTAGCAACACCTGCTCACTCTGCCTCTCTGACGTCACGCATGACGTAACACTCGAAGAGCGCCACGCCCCCCTGCCCTTTTTTTTTTCCCCCTCTCTCGCCTTTCCAAGATCTTTCCAGCTCAGGCGAGATTGATTGAGGTCACGTGACGAGGAAACGTTGGGGTTTTTTTTCTTCTTCTTCTTCGCCTACTCGCGCGAGCTGCTCAACCGCCGCGTCACGTGACGCCAGGCTCGCGAGGAGGCGGCTCACTTTCGGGTCTTCTTCTTTGTCGTCGTCGTGAGGTGGAAGCGCTTCGGTCGACGCTCTCGCCGTTATGAGCTGCTGGAGCAACGCGGGGTGGGTGCTGCTTGTGCTGCTCCTCGCCTCGGCCCTCGAAGAAGGTGAGGGGAAGAAAAGAGCGGGCGGGAGCGAAGGGAGAGAGGCCCTGAGGCGGCTCCAAGCCCCAAGGAAGGCCCACTTCTGGGGGAGGCAGTGCAGGAGGGCCTGGAGCGCCGGAAACGGCGCTCCAGGCCCTCCTGCACTGCCTCCCCCAGAAGCGGGCCTTCCTTGGGGCTTGTCTTCTCTTGAGAGCCACATCACGGAGTCTGACGGTGGACCTACACTGTTTGACTCGACTTTTAACTTCCACAGCTCAGTAGAATCCAAGGTGAGGCAACAACAGCCCAGCTAAAGGCCTTGTGAAACTACAATTCCCATTAGAGTTGAAAGGTAGGCCATCCAGTCCACGCCCATTCTGCCCATGCACCATCAAAGCCCCCCTCACAGATGGCCATCCAGCCTCTGCTGGAAAAGCCTCCAGGGGAGGAAACTCCACCACACTCTGAAGAGGCAGCTTAATAATAATAATAATAATTTTAAAAAACTTTATTTATTCCCCGCTACCATCTCTCCAAGGGACTCGGTGCGGCTTACATGAGGCCAAGCCCAAAGTATATCAATAAACAAAAGCAATTAACAGAAATAATCAATGCAATACAATATAAATCACATAAATAAAAATACTGTATATACTCCAGTGTAAGCCTAGTTTTTCAGCCCCGCTACCATCTCCCCAAGGGACTCGGTGCGGCTTATATGAGGCCAAGCCAAAAGTACATCAATAAACAAAAGCAATTAACCAGAACAATCAATGCAATACAATTAATATAAATCACATAAACAAAAATACTGTATATACTTGAGTATAAGCCTAGTTTTTCAGCCCCTTTTTTAGGCTGAAAAGGTCCCCCTCGGCTTATACTCAAGTCAAGGTTATTTATTATTTTACTCTGTTGTTATTAGTATTTTTATTACATGTATTATTTTACTCTATTTATTATTATTACATTTATTATATTACTCTATTATTATTATTGCATGTATTATTTTAGCCTATTACAGGCATCGGCAAACTTGGGCTCTCCCTCCAGGTGTTTTGGACTACAACTCCCACAATTCCTAATAGTCAGTAGGCTGTTAGGAATTGTGGGAATTGAAGTCCAAAACACCTGGAGGGAGGGCCCAAGTTTGCCCATGCCTGCTCTAATATTACTGTTATTACATTTTCATTGTTTTACTCTATTATCATTATTACATTTATTATTGTACTCTTTTTATTATTATTGGAAGGATACGTCAGCACATTTACAGTGAAGAAGGTTAGAATAATGGTTCTATCAGACTTGGACAGTCTTACCTAAAATTACAGTTTTATGTAAATATTCAAAAACATTTCACCTCAATTAATGTAATTTTATTGGTATCTATTTTTATTTTGAAATTTACCCATAGCGGCTGCTTTTCCCACCCTCGAGGCAATATGTTTCTCCAGTTTTTGTGGTAAAATTAGGGGCCTCGGCTTATATTCGGGTCGGCTTATACTCGAGTATATACAGTAAACAATAAACAAAAAAAATAACACGCAGCATTAAAAAACCTATGGCTCGGCCAAATGTAATAATTTAAAATTTAAAAAATAATGCTGGGCATGAACAAGGTAGGGTATAACTGGGATAGGGTTTTCAAAGAGAGATGAGGGAACGCAGTTAATCCCAAATCACCGGTAAAGTGCATATTGCTGAGAGATTTCCTTATTCTGGGAAGGCACACTGGAACAACCACGTTTTCAGGCTCCTCCTAAAGACTGCCAGAGTTGGGGCTTAGAGCAGGTCTTACTATCAGCTCAATTAAAAACATTTTTTTCTTCTCTTTTAAACGTTTTGTAAAAAAATTGGGTGTTTCAAGACTTGGTTGTTTGAGCTAGCGTTTTGAAAATGCAAGGTAAAAACTTAGGAATTGGAACGACTGGATAATGTTTTTATTAGGAGACGTAAAAGATTTATGTTTTTGATATTTTTGTTCTGGTTTTTATTATGTGTTAATGTTTTTAAATGTTTTACAGTGTTTTTGGGCATCAAATCGTTGCCACTTTAAACCGTCCTGAGTCGCCTGAGGGCTGAGAAGGGCGGTATATAAATGCAGTAAATAAATAAATAAATTTATAATCTTTCAATCACTCTGCTCTTACAGTATATCCAGGGAAGTCATGCTACTTCTCTATTCTGCCTTGGTCAAACCATACCTGGAATCATACTGTGTCCAATTCTGGGCACCTCAATTGAAGGGAGAGGTTGACAAGCTGGAATGTGTCCAGAAGAGGGTGACTAAAATGATCAAGGGTCTAGAGAACAAGCACTATGAGGAGCGGCTTAAAGAGCTGGGCATGTTTAATCTGCAGAAGAGAAGGCCAAGAGGAGACATGATAGCCATGTACAAATATGTGAGGGGAAGTCATAGGGAGGAGGCTTGTTTTCTGCTCCCCTGAAGACTAGAATGCAGAACAATGGCTTCAAACTAAAGGAAAGAAATTTCCACCTGAACATTAGGAAGAACTTCTTGACTGTGAGAGCTGTTCAGCAGTGGAACTCTCTGCCCCGGAGTGTGGTGGAGGCGCCTTCTTTGGAGACTTTTAAACAGAGACTGGAAGACTATCTGCCAGGGGTGCTTTAAATGCGATTTTCCTGCTTCTTGGCAGAATGGGGTTGGACTGGATGGCCCACGAGATCTCTTCCCTCTATGATTCTATATAGTCAGTTGCACAGTCCAATAATGCAGGCCAGAACCAGCATCCCAAACATCTGAGCTGCCTTGGCAGGGGAAGGAAGGGTATCCTTCCAGTGGGAAACATTTGAGCAGAGACCCCACATGTCCCTGCAAATATGTGGCCTACCTTCTCAGTGGAGGTCTCCTCCTTGTGGCTCATGGAGGAGGCAGGGTGGGTGGGGGGAGAACATCATCATCTCTTTCCATTCCCACCTTCACGGGTCACAGGAATGAGCAGTAACACACAGAGAGGGGGCAGCCATTTTGTATCCCCAGACTGCCTTAGACCAGTGAGCATGGGATGAGTGTCAGGACATCCTCAACTGTATCCACATAGGAACCAGCTGCAGCTGTCTGGACTGCCATATCTCAGGGGAAAGTCCAAATCCTGGTGCAGGGTTTGGGCATACTGATCAAAGGAATAAAGGGCCAGGATAAGCTCTTCAGGCCAGATCCTTTCCAAAATGAGAGATATCTTGAGAGAAATATAAGATTGTGATTGCTGGATTGATCTGTTAATTTAGAGGTATATACAAATATTTAGGGGTGGGGGTCTTCAATTTCCCCTATCATTGTTATAATTGCATAATGCAAACCTCAATGTGTATGGGACCTCACAGAGAATTTGAGGGAAGCCTGCCCAATAATCAAGTTAGTGTGGGCTAATGTACTTCCAAAAACAATATTATACGACTTCTAGTTATGACATTGCTTGAAATTGATGTTTTTCAATTACCTTACCTGAGTTTTTCCACTCCTCACAATACTACACTTGATGGAGTCCAGTAATGATGATAGAGCCAATTTCTTACAGGCCCAGCCTTCTTCCCTGGCCAATGATGTGTTGCATTTTTGTGTGAGCGCTATACCTTGTTACTGTGTGAGCTGCCATTAGGAATAGTCTAGATTGGTGATTCTGAATCTTTGGTCCTCCAGATGTTTTTGAACTCTACACCACTAATAATGGACCATGCTAATTGATGCTTCTGCCAGTCAATATCCAAAATGTCTGGAGAACCAAAGATTGAGAACTTCTGGTCAGGGGAAAAAAGGTAATCTCCTTAGAATCTCCCAGAATTCTGATATTCATCTTTCTACCTGCTCATAGAGAAAATAACCTCCAAAAATTGCTCTGAGAAGTATCAAAAAGAATTCAGTACTGTACAGCTGTGTAATTTGGATTAATCAATTAACGTGAAAATTAGTGAGCTGGGATTTTTGTACAAACATGAAAGTATAATAGATAACCTTATGTCTTTTGAGTCAGTGCTGGGAGAAATGGTGAACTATGTCAGTAGTTTTGGTTTGTCAAAGGGAAAGGTTGATAAATAAAGTATAAAGAACACAGGTGTGAAGTTTGACAGCTAATAGAATTCCCTTGGTTCTGGTAATTATATGATTACATAAGTAATTAAGGTGCAGAACAGAAGTCAAGGAATCATTTTACTCTATTAACTATCAAACTTAGAACTTTATGTACTGTATGAAGCTCAGTGTCACTGCATTATATTGTTAATGATTGGTTCTATAGTTGGAAATATTTGTTTCATCAAGGTAAGGCTGTCTTGTTCAGTTACAGCTTTATGCTTGCTTGGCACCACATGTGATCTCGAAATATACTATGTCCCTGGAGATAGTTATCAGATTGATACTGTGGGAAATGTACATATGTTGTTCTCTGTCTTATTAAATAATAATTACATTTAATGTTAGATGTAAAAGGATGATATGGTATTATAAGTTTAATTCTTTATGTAGTTATGTGCAACATGGTATTTGCCTTTTTTCCTTCATAGTTACACACACTTAAGTCAGTATTTGCCTAAGCTCTTTCTTGGTTGTTACTGTAACTCAGAGCCCATCACTAGACATGGAGTTTCAGATGTATTTAATTATTTAGTTGGCCTCAATGAGCATCATTTCACTTGGCTACCTTGAATAGCATTTTCTGTTTTAACATTCACATTCCCATTTGGAGAGAACTTGTTGGAATTCTTTATGATTCCATTTCATTTTGAGCATCTTAAACTTTTGATATCGGCAAACATAGGCATCTTGCTGTCACACCTAATTCCTGATAATTTATGAAGTTAAAACTTCAGGTGAAAGTTGACTATAAAGTCATCTTGGAGGACCTAGAGATACCTAGTGATGCGTTCTCTCAGGTAAAAAAAAAAAACCAGCGTTTTTTAAAAATGTGCAGTTTCTTCATTTTGCGGAGGTCTTGCATTCCTCACCCCAGTGAATGTGGAGGGATGGCAGTATATGCATATGGTGTAACCCTGAAATCAGCGAGGTCCGTTTGGGGCCCTCCAACAGTAAGTAGTAATGATTGTGGTTCAACAACATCTGAGGGGATATCAGTTGCAATCCCCTATGAAAAGATAAAAAGTAAGAATATAAAAATAGAAGAAAAATACTCAAATACTTACATTCTTTCTAAGCATAGTTCCATCGTTACGGAGTAAGAGATTTACAGCATAGCCGGTCTTTGCATTATCCTATGCAAATCTGTTTAGTAATCCACAGTTTTCTAGAAATCTGTGATTTAAATTTAATCTAGTTGAGTGGTTGTGAATTATAACTCTGATTTGTTTATCACCACAGAATTCCAAACTTTCTTAATCAGTCCTTCAGAAATTGAATTTTAAAACCCCTATGGTTTTTGGACAATTTTCAGTCTGGTATTAGGGCAGATTATGATACATGAAATTGAATTAGTGGCCCTCACAACCCACATCCGGTGACAAATAGGGAATGCTACCCTGTTGACCTTTCTGGATCTCTTGACTACTTTCTACCACTGACCACAGCATCAAAGAAGGGCTCTATTGAATGGCAGTAGGAGGCTTCTCCACAAGGTCTGCTGAGTGATAAGAGTAGGAGATGACTCTTAATTTATCCCAGCTGGTAGACTAGTTAGGAATGGTAGAAGTCCAAAACACCTGGAGGACCAAAGTTTGTGCATGCCTGGTCTATCCTCTGTGTGGTGCCTATCTTGTTCCCCATGTATTTATAATGCAATCATTTAAAGTTGTGGTATGGGATGCCATGTATATTGTCATGATCCTCAGCGGAGTTTCTTGTTGTTGGAGGAAGGTGGGACTATGAGGCAGTTGGCAAATACCATAATGCTTTAAAGACTGGAGGAAGACCAGTTAACTGAAACTGAATCCTAGTAAAGCAGTGATTCGCTGGATTGGATAGCAAAGTACTTTCTGATTAATTTCTTTTTTGTTTTTTAGATGGTGCTACTAATACTACCACAGCCAGCCCAGTAACAGTCAACGTAACTTCCACAGGTAACATACTTACTTGCTTCCAAGATAAAACGTTTTAGTGGAATATGAAGATTTTATTTTCTGTAAAGATTCCAGGAGGTCTTTATGAACACTTGATGATAGGCTCTTGCTTGCAACTCAATATTGTTGTTTGCCTTTTTAGTAAATTGAATGAGACAATTTGAAAATGAATTTAAATATGTATTAAGATTTGTATTAGTGGAAAGAAAAACCCTGTATGCACAGTCTATTACTGCATTTCCTTTTTGGTCATTTTACATAAACTTAGTTATGGCATTTTCTAATTAGAATTTAATGTTTTATTCCGTTATGTGTTTACGTCATACTTTGGCTACAATACGACTCACCATATCCAATCATATCCCATCAAAGACCTTCTGGGGGGGGGGGGGGGGCTGAAAATTAGGGTACTAGTTAATTCTATATTTTAACTGTACTTGTGCCAAAAGCAGATTGCAATATAGCACAAGAGAACCTGGTGAGGCCCAGAAACATTTCCTGGGGGAATATTTTTGCAGTGTAGATAAGTAAAATGATGGGTAGTGGTTCTGCAGAAAAGTGGGTGGTCATAATGTATTTTAAATGCCTTGGCCGTCCAGATGTAAAGGAAGGCTGGCTTAAATATCAAGTGGTTGCCCTATTTCCTGGATAAAATATATAGCTGAATATATGGTATTTTAGATTAAATGTATCTATAATAAGTCCTTTAACTAAATAGTCAAGTTTCAAGGTGAATAAGTTTGGTGGCATTTTCTCTGAAATAGGTAATACAACTTTGGATCCAGTGACCTCCACGCCTGCTAATGTTACAGGAAGTACAAATACAACTGTTCCGCCAACACCAGGTAACCTTTGATTTACATTAAGATAGGTCAGGATCTTTTGCTGAATTTATACAGAGGGCTGGAGTTTCCCCGTGGGGACAAAAGATTGTATAGGAATTTGCAGTTTGATTTGCTAGTTTAAAGAACAGAATCCTCAATTTATTGATACCTCTGTTCTACGTAAAACCTCGGTAGATCAAGGAAATAATTTGTATTACCAAGTGAAAAAGTAGCTTCAAAAGCTGGTTCACAGCTGTGTAAGTTTGCTTGTACAATGTAGATACGTTTCTAATGGAAGTTTCTAATGGAAGTAATTGCCAAAGCAGTATGTTTTACATTTTAATTCTTGGAAAACTAAACTATAGACATTTTCAAGGCAACAGGAAAGTTTCTGTTGTAAAGCCTTCTAGTCCCCTATGTCGTCCCCCCCCCCCCCAAAAAAAAACAAAACCCTGACAAACTGAGATTTTGTCATAGAAACAAAAGACTCAGTGAAGAAGATGGTTGGGCAATGGGTGCCAAGCAAGTTGGTTGGAACCTGGAATATGCTTCTTTATCCCTACAAGCCTGCTAAATTTCTATGCTTTGTATGGAAGAATAATTTTCATCTTCTTGAAGAGCTAAAAGTAGAGGCTACTAACCTATTTTGAGCTAATCGTTTTTACAGATAGTTTTAACTATGGTATATCACCTAGCTTGTTGTATGCAGACCTCTTTGTCTCCTTCTATAAGGATCTGTAAATGAAGGTTACCAATCCAATGAACGTACTTATCTGAAATGTGTTCTTTTTTACAAAGGAAGCTAAGGGTGACATCAGGTCAAGCACCATGTGCAAATTGCTCTTTGTGATGCTCTTATTGTGTTGAAGATAGCTGCTACTTCAGCCACACAACAAGAACATCTGCCATTATGTGTCATGTATCCCTAGTAGAGGCATAACAGCAGGGCTCCCAAACAGGGCAGGTGCCAGTGGTTGCAGCCCCTAATCATCTTTATTGCTTTGGCTGTACTGCATGTAGGGCCCAAAGGCATGTGGGAATTGCTGCTGTAACTACACAAAGTATTTCTTCTCAAGTGACCAAAACTATTTACAGTGGGTTCCATATTTGTTCCACCATACTGGTTACAGGGGCAAAGATCTGATAAAGGGGAATTTTAAATCCACAGATGAAGCCAGCAGTCTTTATACACTCTTCAGAGGACATCTCTGACTCTGTTAGATTTTTTTTATTATATGTAGTTTTTATTAGGCTTAACAAAACTTCTTTGAAGTGCTAGGACATTAATACAGTTTGAGGTCTTGGCCAGTAACATTTCCCTGCATTTTACAGCTTGACGAAATGATTATATGGCAGCAGTAGATGAACAGATGGGAAAATAAAAGGGGGTCTAATTAAGGATAGACAGTTCAGAACAGTGTATTCTATATGATACTTAGACCTGGCCTCCTCTTGGATTTGGGCTCTTCTAGATTTATTTGTCATTGTTCTTACCCACATGAGATTTCTTTAATAAAACCAGTATAACATGGTGAGAAAAGTCATTGCACTATTGTTAAGATGCTGGACTGGAAGTATGGGTCCCCACTGGCCATGCAACACACTGACACACTAAGGGCCTCGCTTTCTCAATTTGACCAACTTAGGCCCTTTCCACTCCGCTTTGAACTGGGATATATGGCAGTGTGAACTCAGATATTTCAGTTCAAAGTAGATATTGTTGGCTATTTTGCCTTGATATTCTGGGTTATATGGCTGTGTTGAAGGGCCTTTAGAGGGTTGTTGTGAGAATTAAGGGTAGGTACAAGAGCTATATGTGGTGCTGTGACTGAGGCATGACTTCACTGAGCGAGAGGCAGCAGTAAATACAACAGATGAATAATTAGTGCATGATCTGCACAGAAAGTATGTTCTGATTCCTTCCATTTTCCATTTTTTAGACACCAATGCTACTACAGTTCATCCACCAACCACAGGTAAAAAAGTTATTTGCTTAAAAGTCAAAATGGTTTAATAGAATATAAAAATTGTATGTACCAAAAGGTTTCCAGGACGTCTTTTTGAATAGTTGAATAATTGCAGGTCCTTGCCTGCAAATCAGTATTGCTACGTCTTTTTGGTAAATTGGATAAGAAAAGTTTGAAGTTTGTTTGTGTATACGACTGATTCTATGACTTGCACAGACAGGACATCTACTTGGCTAATCCTAGATGTAGCCCCTTACATCTGTACTAGCAAAAAACAAAAAACAAGGATGCCAATTGATGAGCCATCTGGGTTGAAGGGGGTTAGAAATGGATGGGGGGTTTGAATATTATGGATTCACCATGACTGCAGAAATATATTACTTGGTAATAACTAAGAGAAATTGTAAACAGAACATGCACAAGGAGCGGATTACAATGTACATATACATGGCAAACATTCAATGTCATAGACACGCAACATATATAGACAGACACACAGAGGCTATTTAACTTTCCAGCTTTCATGAGGGTATTCTGGCCACCAGGGGAGCTGTCACTTCACTGTCCATTTGAGACACTGATGAAGTACTTCCTCATTCTTTTTTTGCTTGCTTGCTGGAGATTTTATGGTGTTGTAAATTAGTTAAATTAGCCTCCCCGCATAAACAGTACCTAAATTTCCTACTTGACAGATGCAACTGTCTTTCGGGCTGCAGAGGTTGACAGCAAGCTACACAAAGGTCGGAAACTCACTCCAACCTGGGCTGGCTTCGAATTCATGACCTTTCGGTCAGTAGTGATCTTAATGCAGCTGACTCCCAACCAGTTGTGCCACAGTCCCGGTGCAGTATTTGTGTAGGGTTAAGTGTATGTACAATTTATAGTATTCTCATGGTGAAAATGTGGATTAAAGAATAAGGTTAAACTTCTCTTCCTGTGATAAAATTTGAGAAAGCAGGAAAGGAAAAGACATTTACAAGATTCTTCCTCCAAACATAACAAAATAAAGGGTTACATTTCCTGTTTCTCCTGCTGACCTGCAGTCTCATCAAGGTTGTTGTTCCACAGTGACTAGAATTTTGAAAAGAAATATTGAGATGAAAAATAAACTCATATTTCATTTTGGGTCACCTTATATAGACTTACTGATTCCAATCGGTATTTTAATTTTTTATTCCTATATTATGTGTTTATATCATATTTTAGATATTTTAATTGCCCTGGTCTCCGGATGTAGATGTGGGCCAGCTTAGAATTCAAGCAGTTACCTTATTTTCTAAATAAAATCTTCCACTGAATATGTTTACTATGAAAGGTAGTTAACTGTACATCGTAAGTTCTCCAACTTGAGTTCTAAGGTTAATCAATTTGGTGTTATTTTCTCGGAAATAGGTAACACAACATCGCATCCAGTAAGACCCACATCTCCTAATGCTACAGTAATTATAACTACTCCACATACGTCAGGTAATCTTTTATTTATTTACATAAAAATTAAATTAATTCATCTTCTCGTTGAGTTAGATTATCTAATTATGTTACTTGAATTGTAATAAAGAAAAGCAAAATTTAATTGCATCATGTCTGAAATATTTAAATGTTATAAGTATCCTTTATTCTAACTACAGTTAAAAGTAGCAGCTAGAAGAGATCTAGGTAATGACGGCTATCTTTGTCCTGATTTTTTTTTTGGTTTTTTTTTTTGGTAATGGGATTGTTGCATGTTTTGCAAGATGAAGAAAAATTCTGGATACAGAATTGTATAGTTATTTTAAAAAACAATATAGAAAATAAATCGCACAACCTATCAATAAGTAATCCCTTTTTTTGCAGATCCTGTAACTCACAAGCCAACTTCAACACCGCCTTCTCACAAGTCCACTTTTGATGCTGCCAGTTTCATTGGTGGTATTGTCCTTGTGCTGGGTCTGCAAGCAGTTATCTTCTTTCTGTACAAATTTTGCAAGTCAAAAGAACAAAACTATCATACTCTCTAGGATATGTTGCTTTTAAATGGACTTCTAATAGCTGAATATTTGTGGTTAGCTGCACCAAAAGATCTTTATTCCTTATAGAAGACAGTAATTAAAAACAATATTTTTCAAAAGTTTTATTAAAAGAATATATATCTGCAACATGCTTGGAAGGAGGTTGTGTGAATCCTGTCTTGCTCTGCAAGATTAATTACAATATTTTGCATGAATCCTTATTGGCTGTCTTAATTTTTTTTTTTTTTGTAGCAGCTGCTACTATGGAATTTTTTCCTTTACCGGACATGCCAAATTCTTACTGTGTTCAGTGACAGCAGTGTACTTATTAGGTGATCTTATTATAGCAATGTCTAAGGTAGTTAGTCTTATATGCAATGTCCCCCATATTATTATTAAAATGTGAATTGCCCATGACAATTTGTGTGAAAATTATGGAGTTATATCATGTTCTGTCAGAGGTCTGACACAGGTTTGTAGAATACTATCTTTTTTCTTAGGAATTATGGAAGCCCATATTTTTCTATACTAGATGTCAGAAGGGTAATTGTTTTCTAATTCAGATGTAAGCAGCCATAGGAAGAATAATGATCAGAGAATACAGATTCCTTGGTGCATGAAGAAGAAAGATCAGTGCCTTAATGAGTAGGTTGAAAATTGCAGTATTTGTGCCATCTTATTTGTTCAAGGTATAATGAATGTTATTCCATTTGCAGCTACTTCCTTTGGTAGAAACAAGAATAAACATATTTCATATGCCATTTTCAAGTAATTTTAGTGAAATAGAAATGGAAAAAAACAGTGTGTCCAGCCTTCATATAATCTTTCTAAACTTATGTCTTCGGATTACTTGCCTTGGAAAACAAAGCAACAGGCTTTATACGTGAGAGTACTATTTTGTCATTTATGGCTATTTCAGAGCCACAGTAAATGTGCATGACTTTGTGAATGGTATTCTTTTCCCACCTAGCAACCTAGTTTCCCTTTCATCAGTTTCATAAAGCATTGATTGTAATTATAAAGCTGAGCTGACTGTGTCCTTGGGGCCGCTTTAGCTTTTAATTGTCAATACGATTGCTGGTGTTTATTTTGCAAACTGCATGACACATGCAGTTTAAATACTAGTAACTTAGTAGTAGGTTTAAATGTTATTCCTGGATGAGCTGCAATGAAACTCATGGGGAAAATGTAATACTTGATGTTAAATTGCTAGTGGTATTTGGCTTCTTGTAAAAATGTAAGTGCATTTTACTATTACGGTTTCTCTAGCCCTTCTAGCTTGAATTGTAGTCACTTCAATAATGTTGTATAGGAAGTTTGTAACATTTAGCAAATAGTACTGTAACTTGAAAGACCTTTCAGGCAACTTCTCTCCTTAAAAAAAGACAATAAGCTCAGGTGTATGAAACAGTAAATTGGCCACCCAGCTTTCAGCAAGCAGCATGGCTGAGGTAGGTGGTACAATGGCCTTAAAATAATCATTTCCCCATCACTTTTAGTTTGATAAATCAAAGATAATTATAGAAATATATTCTAAGAAATAAACATAAGAGTAATATACTTAAGAAGTGTGATTCAGCCCTTGCTTATGCTTAATGAAACTCAAAACCTATTACCTTTCTTGCTGATTCTTGAATGGCTTATAATATTTTGGCTTATAAAATTATAGTAGGTTTCCAAAGTGTAATAGGTTTACACAATTCTAAGATTGAAATTTGAGCCAGTTTCGTTACTGAGCCAAGAGTAGCTGTCAAAAATACCACTAAATAGACATATTTTGCGCTAAGCATAAAAATCCTCCTTTAAGTGCCTTAAGTTTTCCTGATGTTGGCCTCATTCCTGTCAAAGAAATGTAGGGAGGGAAAGTAGCTACTCAGATTGTCCCTCTGTGCCAGCAGTTGCTATTTTCCAAGGAATTTAGAAAATTCAGGTTTTGCTGCTACTCTTCAGGAAGTTCACATTTTCTACTTTAACATACACCTATGTATTTAAGACATTCACCTTTCCATGTAATGGCATAACATTTGGATGTTTAGACCACGCTATTTCAACCACGTACCAAACTCTGGCTTAAGACTGTGAGGATTTTCCTCTTATATACTTGTTTTTTTTATCTTCTATACGTAGGTGAAAACTATTTTGTTCTCAGTTTCATAGCATAGTTAGGCTGGCATTAGTTACAGTAATAGATTTTCACTATTTTCTGCTATTTGAAGTTCAGAATAAGGCTTTAAAAATGTGCCAGTGTGGAATAGCTGATTATGTGATCTCTAATTATAAGGCAGTCAGTAAATTGTGATTGTTTTCATCCTTTTATGAGCATTGTCCCTAAAATTCCCTTGTGCGCATTGCACTTGGAATGTAATATTACAGAGATTATTGTGTTGCATATGTGTTGTCTCCATTGGAAGAAATGCAAATTATTAATTGCAAAACCAAAATTAATAAATCACTTATGAATATGCTTACTGTTTACCCTGTCACATCTGTTAATCTGGTCCATCTCATAAAAGATTGTGAAAATTTTATTGTGACAACATACACTAGTGATATATATCATGTATGATGGCTCCTCAGAAGCTCCAACAGGGTTTTCAATTAAATGCAAACATGATGTATCTTATCCAAAATATGGCTGTTTATGACAAACATTGAAATGTGATTCATTGGACTGCATAGATCCCTCAGCTTAATTTCTAAAAAAGCCTTTAAAATTACTAGATTCCTATGTGCTGGTCAGTGTATGAGTGGCCCTGCCCACGGGCTCAGCCATGCTCCTTCATCAGCTTGATGCCAATGCATCCAACTTTCCATCATGGTGTGCCAACCAGCTATATCCCTAAACTGAGTTACACTGCCTTGCAATTCACTCGAAGGTCCTCTGTTGTTCATGGTGGCCAGCTGGATACATCTAACTCCGTGGTTTCCAACCCATGGACCACGAGTCCTAAAATAAGGTCTGCGGCTGGGGGCGTGTTCTGCTATTGGAGGAGAGCAAGAGAGGGAAGGAAGGAGGCCAGCACCGTTGCGCTCACCCTCTTGCATTGGATGGACCACATCAGCTCTATATTGTTAAATATGGTTTTCTGTGGGTGAGCAGATGGTGACTGCTGGATATTCAATAGTTTTCTGAATCGGCACCCCAAATAACCAAACTGAATCTAAATCCGACCAAAAACTGATTCATGGCCCTTTTGGTACTAATGGAGAGTGGTCCTTGGTCAAAAAAGATTGGGAACCACTGATCTAACTAGTGCAGCCTACTACAACACCTGAATTCTGCAAGTGTTAAGTTCTTTGCCTGAAAACGTTTTCTGAAATCTAAATTCTGTTAATTTCAACATCAAAGAATGCTTAACATAACATCAGTTTTTATCAGAACCACTACATCACCTAAGAGCTAGCACTTTTAGAATTATGGTTCAGAGTGCAGTCAAGAAAGCTGTTTTTTGTGGCCTTTGATAACACTTTTTTGCAAGGAGGGCAAACCACTTTTATTGAAAGCCTGGAGGAGAGAGAATTCACCTTTTAGATAGTTCGTGTGCCCCCTACATTATTTTTTTTTAAAACAACTGTTTTTCAAAATGACAAGATATTCAGACCCTTCCGGTTTTCTTGTGTCATTTGGCAGTCCATTCTGCCCGCAGACAAAATAAAATTGTCTGACCCTGTGTACAAGATAAAAAGCTGGCAGTCTAAAACAATGTTCTATGACTTATTTTTGCCTCTTCTCAAGCCAGACTTTTCTCAGGCACCATTTTTTGTATCACTTCCTCCTGATCTTGAGAGCTATACCGGGTATGCATGTGATCACTCGTACTACTAGATATTCCAGCAGAGGGATGCACGCTGTTGTTGGGACTATAATATAATTTAGTAGTGCATTATTGCATAACAGATATATCTTCTTCTGAATGGGGTAATCCAAAGTACACTTCCAATACCTGGAAAAAATTTTTCATTTTTGTAGTAGAAAATATATAGGAGAAAAACTAGTAGAAAGTGATTCATTACTGGTTATAAATCACAAATACAAGCAATATTTCACAAGTTGTTCAGAAAGTTTGTTCATTCGTTCAGTCGTCTCCGACTCTTCGTGACCTCATGGACCAGCCCACGCCAGAGCTCCCTGTTGGCCGTCACCACCCCCAGCTCCTTCAAGGTCAGTCCAGTTACTTCAAGGATGCCATCCATCCATCTTGCCCTTGGTCGGCCCCTCTTCCTTTTACCTTCTACTTTCCCCAGAAAGTAGTCCCAAGTATTTTCAGCGAGGCTTACTCCTAAGTAAACAGGCAAATTATTTATTTTAGTTTTATTTATATTCCACTTTCTCCCAGCACTCAAGGCTGCTCCCATCAAGTTAAGAACAAAGAACATAAAAACATATTTAACACATTTTTAAAAAAAATTGTTCTAATTAAAAACACCAAATTACAACGTTAAAAAGCTTAAAGTGGTTTTAAAAAAACCCTTTAAAAGGTACCCCATTAAAGAATTCCTTCTTCCACAGTAACATAAAAGACAAAGGCTTGCCTAAATAAAGGGATTATCAGTTAAATACTTCAGTCATCAATCATGCTGTGTAACTAAATGTCTGGACCACTTTCACAACCATATTTTATTTTTGAGAAGTCTTCTTTGAGGTCAGGTAAGAGAGCATCTATAACACTGTTCCTTCCCCCAGAAGGTACCTGTAAATAAAAATACAGTATACGTAAGTCTTTGTCACATAAAACAGTCAAACCTTCACTTTTTTCTTTGGAGCATCTGACTTTCTGCTTCTGTGATCCCAATATATAAATACATTATCTTTGGATCCTTCACTACGTACTGTTTTGGGCCTTGGAACCTTCTCTGACTTGCTCCTGTCCACAGAATCAGCAGTCAAAAGGTTGTGCCTGATGTCCCTGGTTAACATGAATTGTGACAGTGTCTGGTGGCTCCGCGAAGCAGTGCCTGGAACACAAAACACGCATCTTTGACTAGAACTGCTTGTACTTTTGCTCCACCAAATTTAAACAAGCATATAACAGTTTGAAATGGTACAGTTCAGGACCACATCTTTTAGTTCCACATGTAATTTGTGTAGAGCGCTCTTGCATTTTGTTAATTTGATGTTATTGTCTGTTTTGTATGCATTTTATTTGGCCTTATTGTAATTACTTGGGCTTGGCCTCATGTTAAACTCATCAGCATCTTCAAAAAAATTCTATATGGGTATGTGAACAAACTAGCAGGCAAGGGTCTCAACTCTTCATCTTTCTTCAGCTAGTTCATTTGGTGCAATTTTATTTTAGTAGCCCAGAAAGTGTCCAATAACCCATATTTTATACTAGCTGGCAAGGAAGGGGCTTTTACTCTTCCTTGGTCAGAAGGATCAAATGTATGGAGTTGGTGCTTATTTACAAGGCTGTTGTAAATCAGGCCTATGTTTTTCTTTTTCTTTTCTTTTTTCAACATTTCAAATATCCTATTACCTGAATCCTGTTGTGACAATTGCAAGGCAGGTGCTCCATTCTTACTCATGCAGAAAGTTGTTAGAAGGACAACGGGGAGTGCCCATGCAGCATTTAGCATAGAATCATAGAGTTGGAAGAGACCTCATGGGCCATCCAGTCCAAACCTCCTCCCAAGAAGCAGGAAAAACACATTCAAAGCAGTATTTAAGCAGCCTGGGAAGGGAGCTGTCCTCCAGTTTATAATAAAATATATCTTGACTAACTCACCAGAAATCGAAGAGGGCTATGGCTATTCAATTCTAGCGGCACAATTGCAGATGAACATTGCCTTGATGATGATCCTTCAACTTGCCATTACAGTAATTGATCACAAAAGTGCACCCTGGGGCTGTCGAACCTCATTGTGCTAGAAGTACAAGCCTGTGAATTATTGGCCACATTTATATTTCACCAGGATACTATTGGATTTCGGCCCTCATGAAAAGATTGAAGAGTACTGTGGAGCCAGTTCATGGACCAATCAGGCACCAGCTGCAAACTAACGATGGATTCCAGTGCTACCATTGGCATTGAGTAGAATCTTACTGTTCAATTTATGGCTAGGCTGAAAAGTACAGTTTGAAAATCTAGGCAACATCATCAATGCCCATTGGGTTGATTTTGGGTCACAGTATATTCCTGTTCTCTCCAGGAATACCCTGGTCTTTCATCCCTGAAATTGTTGTTGCCTACTTCCATTCAGACCTGTGAGCCCCTTATCCTACAAATGGGGTACTGATCTATTTTCACTTGAAATGGGGTGCTGATCTATTTTCAGACTGGCTGAAGGCAAATGTTGTCCTTGTCTTCAAGAAGGGGAAAAAGAGGACCCAAAAAATTCCCGTCCAGTCAGCCTGACATCAATACCAGGAAAGATTCTGGAGCAGATCATTAAGGAGGCAGTCTCCAATCACTTAGAAAGGAATGCTGTGATTACTAAAAGTCAACACGGATTTCTTAAAAACAAGTCATGCCAGCCAGACTAATCTTATATCTTTTTTGATAGAGTTACAAGCTTGGCAGATGGAGGAAATGCTGTGGATGTAGCATATCTTGATTTCAGTAAGGACTCTGACAAAGTCCTTCATGAACTTGCAAACAAACTAGTCAAATGTGTGCTAGGCAATGCTACTATGAAGTGGATTTGTAACTGGTTAAGCGACCTAACACAAAGGTGCTCACCAATTATTCCACTTCATACTGGAAAGAAAGTGACTAGTGAAGTGCCTCAGGGTTCGGTCCTTGGCTCAGTACTGTTCAACATCTTTATTAATAACTTGGATGGTTTAGAGGGCATGCTCATCAAATTGGTGGATAACACCAAATTAGGAGGGATAGTTCATAATTATCTTAGTTTCTAGAGGACAGGATCAGAATTCCAAATGATCTTAACAGAATAGAGAGCTGGGCCAAAACTAACAAAATAAATTTCTACAAGGACAAATGTAAGATACAACACTTGGGCAGAAAAAATGAAATGCCAAGATATAGGATGGGTGATGCCTGACTCAACAACAGTACATGTGAAAAAGATCTTGGGAATCTTTGTGGATAATAAGTTTAAACATGAGCCAACAGTCTGGTGCAGCAGCTAAAAAAGCCAATGAGATTTTGGGCTGCATCAAAAGGAGTATATTGTCTAGATCAAGGGAAGTCATGGTACCTTCTATTCTGCTTTGGTTAGACCTCACCTGGAATACAGTTTCCAGTTCTGGGCACCACAGTTCAAAAGACATTGACAAGATGGAAGGTGTCCAGAGGAGGGCAACTAAAATGGTTAAAGTTCTGGAGACCATTCCCTATGAGGAGCATCTTAAAGAACTGGGTATGTTTAGCCTGCAGAAAAGAAGGCTGAGAGGAGACATGATTGCCATGTATAAATCTGTGAAAGTGTGTCATAAGGACTCAGAGCAGGCTTGTTTTCTGCTGCCCTTGAAACTAGGACTTGGAGCAATGGGTTCAAATTACAGGAAAGGAGATTCCACTTGAACATTAGGAAGAACTTCCTGACTGTTAAAGCTGTTCAACAGTGGAACTCTGTTCCTTGGAGTGTGGTGCCTCCGAGTGTGGTGGAGGCTCCTTCTTTGGAAGCTTTTAAGCAGGGGCTGGATGACTATCAGGGGTGCTTTGTGTTTTTCCTGCATGGCAGGGGGTTGGACTAGATGGCCCACGTGGTCTCTTTCAACTCTGTTAAAAATAAAATAAAGGAAACTAGCCACATGGACATACAGAACATGAAAGCCATTGTAATACATAGCTATGGTAGGGATGGTCCTAGTAACTTCTGTCCCTGTAAGTACACTTGGAAAAAAGCCGAGAAAACACAACTCCAAAATTGCTGTATGTGTTGCTCACAAATTTAGCCAAATAATTATTTCTCTCTTGACAAAGCTTAAAGGCAACTGTCATTATAAATAGTTGGAAACAAAAAGGAAGCTTCTCAGCATTTCATTGAAGTTTCATTTGCAACAAAAGTTCAAGATCAGAGTTGGAACAAGGCTCAGATCATTTTCCACAACAAAACTATGAAGTGCAGTGTATGCAGAACGAGCTGCTGGAACATTGTAGGGCATACATACCGCTGGTATTGTATTCCTTGTTAACACATGGTTTTGATCCTACTACTTTATTTAAAGGAGTTTCTTCCCCTAGAATATTCTTAGAACAAATGTGGCTGACAATTGCATTGTAAATGAACGGATGCATTTGGAACAGCTGATCTGATTATAAAATCAGTTTACCTAAAAGACACATGAGTTGTACAACAGCATCAGCTTGGCAGTATCAATCTTTAAAGAAAGATTTAAAATAATATTTGAACCTAAATGTGCAGTTTACAGCAAATGGCAAGGAGGTTGTGTCGTTTTGTTTTAGCACATTCAGATGTATTGTTTTTTTTTCATTTCAACCTGGATCCTAACCTCCCCCCCTCCCCCAAGATAGTCTATAAAGTCCATGATATGGTTGTTGCTTGGGGATGATCGTCTAATACATTGGAAAACTCAAGGTGTTTTAACAACAGAATTTACAAGCTAGCTGGCATTGCTCCCCCCCCCCCCCAAAGTGTGATGGGAAGTTGCCGCTAACTATGAGAGAAATAAGATTGAAAACTCTGAAAGCTACCCACTGCATGGCTATCAACCTCCTACCATTAGACGCAAATCAAGGAAAAGCTTCCCAATTAGATGGCCCCTCATGAGGGTCTTCCTCCAGGAGCAAACCAAGAATGGGCAACTTGAAAGTCCCTGAACAGACTCAGAAGTGGAGTGGGCAGATCAAAAGACAATCTGGCAAAATGGAACTACCTAAAAGAATCTTCCACCTTGTGTGACTGTGGAGCAAAACAGACAACTCCACACCTGTATGCTTGTCCAGAATGTCCTGTCTGATGTACAGAGGAATATTGTTTAAAGCTACAGACAATGAGCTTGCTGTTGCCTGGTTTTGGTAAAAAAATTATTTAGCTTCTTGTGCTCCTTCAATTTTTATCAGTTTTATACTTATGTATGCAATGCTTTTGATATGAAATAAATAAATAACAGTATCTCAGCATACATCATGTTCAGTTCCGTTTTGACCTTGATTTTATCTCTCTTTTCACACCCAGTCTTAAACATGTATAATATCTGCTTCTTCTTCAAACAACATTTTTATTAAAAGTTAACATGGTGTAATGTTAACAAAGCACAAATTTCTCAAAATAGAGGTAAAACATTCTAAAACAAAGACTTAGGAATGGGAATAAATTTGAATTTTGTTATCTGTATCCTTTGTCTCATTCTTAGCAACTGTGTGCTCCACCGAGGGAGGAGGTGAGTGAAAAGTAACATTACAGAAGGGAATTGAGACAAAAATGAGGAAAGGAAAAACCAATTGTTCCCTGCTTGCAACCCTTCAACTGCTTCCTGTTCTTCGGCTGGGTTTTTTCACCTAGCAACAAAACCACATGATGTCTTGTCTCAATCCCTAAATTGTCTTTGGTCTTCCCAGTCTACCTTATCTGCCAGAGGAAGAACCACCTATCTTAACAAAATTTAATGTTTTAAAATTAGCTAACCATTGCTAAAACATTAGCATTAATGTGGAAATGTAATGATTTAGGCCACAAATGAATTAGTTATTCTTTTATACCACTAATTGCATTTACCAAATCTATGTGCCTTTTCTTTGAGGGATACATAAGGGCTGTTTCCCCACTTAATTGGAAGTAGTCACTGTGATCAATGGATCTGTTTCTCTATCTTTTGGAACGTGGCTGACTCCCCCTCGCAAACTTGCAAGGGGAAACTGCAATTGAGGCTGCCCATTGGGTGTGTGAGAACTTGAATTAACGACTCCTAATCAACAATAAATTGGGTTGGAAAGGGATCCATTGCAACTATAGAGCTTGCATTGTTATAACTCACCAACAGGATTTCAACCCATTATAATACTAAAGAATTAAAGTTGATACTAGTGATATTATTTGTTACCTGAAAAAGTGCGGCAAGTGCTACTGGTACGATGTGAAAGATTAGCAGACTTCCTTCGTGTTGCTGTGAAAACATGAACATAAATTAGATAATCTGTAAGAAGAATCCACACAAATCCAAAAAAATACTAAAGGTCAGAAATATTTTAGCAGAATACTTCCTTGTATATGATGTTTTCCCCCAAAATGAGATTGCTTTAAGAATGATGATGATTAATAATAATAATAATAATAATAATAATAATAATAATAATAATAATAATACTTTATTTATATTCCACCCTATCTCCCCGGAGGGACTTAGGGTGGATTCCAAACATAAAGGGCAAACATTCAATGCCGAACACAACAACAATACAGTAGTCCCTTGCTACTTAGCAGTTCACTTCGCGGACTCACTGTTTTGTGGTTTTCAATATGGACTTAATAGCTTTGTCTGTATGGAGAGACTGCCTCTGCGGATAAAGCCGGAGCCAAGGATTACGTGAACAGCACCTTCAAGGAGGGTTATGTAGTTTATAAGTGTGTGTGGAGGGTTTATAAAGACTTAAAACAGTGTATAACTTCTAAAATGATGTATAAATATTAAAATAAATATAGCATCCCTACTTTCGCAGGTGGTCCTGGAACATAACACCCGGGATAAGTGAGGGAATACTGTACATCCATAGTAACGAAATTTGGCAACCCAACATATAAAAACAAATTACAACTAAAATTAGATAAAATATGCAATCTGTTATATCAGACATAAGACAAAAGATCAAACATCAAACAGAAACATCAATTTCCCAGTTCCTTGGGGGCATATAGATTGATCATTGCTCAAGATATCTATAGAACTGGTGGGGCGTACAGGGCATGGAAAATAAAATAATAGATTTGATTTTATTCAATCCTGAGGACATGTTCAGATGTTTTGGCTGCAGGAATTATAATTAGTAACCGCGCTCTGTCCTAATGAGGGCAATGAAGCATTTCTTAGATTTTTCTCCACCACAGACCGCTCAATATCTTTTTTTGTAGCAGATTACCAAAACTTCAAGTAGATTATTTAAAATCCTAAAGTGCATTAAATATGTATTTAAAGTTGTACATCAAGGATCTTCAAATTCAAAGAGAAGGGAAACATAAATAAATAAATGGATACACTCCTAATATTTTGTTAGAATAATTCAATACAAAATAATACTGACGGAACATCAAACCGTGGCCTAATATTACTCGTTAATTTCAATTAATCAATTAAATTAACACGAAGATTGGTACTCATGTGTAATAGCTGAAACATATATTAGTTCTAACTACATTGTTAAAATGATTTTTATGCATATTTTTAAAGAAAAAACGAACAGGGAATTATTTTTCACACAAATATGTTGTTACAAAAAACATCACCAAATATACATTTTCACAGATATATCAGTGCATGTCTCCTATTTACTGAAGTACAGTAGAGTTTTGCTTATCCAATATAACCGGGCCGGAAGAACGTTGGATATGCGAAAATGTTGGACAGTAAGGAGGGTTTAAGGAAAAGCCTATTAAATGTCAAATTACATTATGATTTTACAAATTAAGCACCAAAACATCATGTTTTGCAACAAATTGATAGAAAAAGCAGTTCAATACATGATAATGTTATGTAGTAATTACAGTATTTACAAATTTAGCACCAAAACATCGCAGTGTATTGAAACAGCTGTGGATCTGGGCAGGAGGCAGACTGCGTTGAATAAGCAAGACCCTACTGTATATTAAAGATACATTGTTCTCTAAATCTGTTTTATTTGCACAATCTGTACATTGGTTTGAACTTGTTTCATTCATACTTCATATATGAAACAAAGAGATCATTCATAGAAAAATCCTATAGTGTCCACAATCTAAAGAGAGAACAATGCTCTGTGGTCATATCTTTAGTCAGGAAAAAGATACTGTACTCAGATGATTCCTTGTCTAAGGAAATGCCACGAAACCCATAATGTTGTTATAAATTGACAGGCAACTTAAAAGTGCATGTACACATTTACATGTATGCATTTTTTTCTCTTTCTCAGTTGGTTTAGGTTTTTTTTTTCATCAACATAAAAACATTTTGCTAAATGTACTATCAATTTTGCAGTGTTCTATAACTTGATTCCTCTGAGGATGCTTGCCATAGATGCAGGTGAAACGTCAGGAGAGAATGCTTCTAGAACATGGCCATATAGCCAGAAAAACCTATAACAACCCAGTGATTACAGTCATGAAAACCTTCGACAATACATTGATTCCTTAGTAGTTTAAAAATGTTCTTGTAACATGATTGCTCTAGGTTCAAGGCTGTTTTAATGGGGCAGGAGTTAATCTCATCAGGTTAATTCAGTAAATTGGATCCTGTTGATTTACTTATCAGATCCATCCAAATCAGGATTAATTTAACAAATTGGATCCACTTGAAACTCTGACTCAGTTGTAAAACACTGTGTAATATGACTCCGGGGGTGATTTAAGAGGTAATGTATCACATCTTTCTCAGTTTTTCACACCAATTTTAAAACATTGAAAACTAGATGCAATTAAATTGATGAGAGCAAATGTCAACATGGAGTTATGCTAACACAGAAGACAACAGGCCTATACCTGAGTGCTGCAAATTATCCGAAAAGCTCAGCACTGCTATCTGTGTGTCTACAGAGTTCATGCTACCGCTAAGCTCATTAGTGTCATGATTAGTGTCAAGATCTAATCACAATGGTTTGTTGAAGTGGGAGAGCCACACATTGCCCTCATTAGCTTATATCGAAATGTACACAAGTGGAAGCCATGTTTCCTAGTATTACGGTTTTCCAGCTAACTCTTTACCAGAATACCTGTTTCAGTGCATGCTGGATGTCCTGGGTTCAGTCCTTTGTACTGGGAATTTGAACATGGCAAGTGGAAATGGAACAGTGGCAATAATGACGAGGGTCTGTTCCCCTGTTGTTCTGGAAGCAGCTCACTGCCATTTCCACCTTCATTCATTAGTCCTCATTGTGACCCCACTGACTAGTTAAGTCATTATTTTAACTCTTTGCTGGCATGGCACCAACCACCATGTCAGACTACACAGAGAAGCCATTGAAATTCTGTTCAACATCTTTATTAATGACTTGGATGAAGGGCTAGAAGGCATGATCATCAAGTTTGCAGACGACACCAAATTGGGAGGGATAGCCAATACTCCAGAGGACAACAGCAGGATTCAAAACGATCTTGACAGATTCGAGAGATGGGCCAAAACTAACAAAATGAAGTTCAACGGTGACAAATGCAAGATACTCCACTTTGGCAGGAAAAAGAAATGCAAAGATACAGAATGGGGGACAATGCCTGGCTCGAGAGCAGTACGTGTGAAAAAGATCTTGGAGTCCTCGTGGACAACAAGTTAAACATGAGCCAACAATGTGATGTGGCGGCAAAAAAAGCCAATGGGATTTTGGCCTGCATCAATAGGAGCATAGTGTCTAGATCGGGAAGTCATGCTACCCCTCTATTCTGCTTTGGTTAGACCACACCTGGAATATTGTGTCCAATTCTGGGCACCACAATTCAAGAGAGATATTGACAAGCTGGAATGTGTCCAGAGGAGGGCGACTAAAATGTTCAAGGGTCTGGAGAACAAGCCCTATGAGGAGCGGCTTAAGGAGCTGGGCATGTTTAGCCTGAAGAAGAGAAGGCTGAGAGGAGATATGATAGCCATGTATAAATATGTGAGAGGAAGCCACAGGGAGGAGGGAGCAAGCTTGTTTTCTGCTTCCTTGGAGACTAGTACGCGGAACAATGGCTTCAAACTACAAGAGAGGAGATTCCATCTGAACATGAGGAAGAACTTCCTGACTGTGAGAGCCGTTCAGCAGTGGAACTCTCTGCCCGGAGTGTGGTGGAGGCTCCTTCTTTGGAAGCTTTTAAACAGAGGCTGGATGGCCATCTGTCAGGGGTGATTTGAATGCAATATTCCTGCTTCTTGGCAGGGGGTTGGACTGGATGGCCCATGAGGTCTCTTCCAACTCTTTAATTCTATGATTCTATGAAATCCACAAGCATGTTGACTAGTTCAACAGAAAGGAGGAAACCATGAAAATGAACAAAATCAGTATTTTAAAAAGGCCAAAATCAGGTTAGTAAATAAAGTGCAACACTAAAAAAGCAAGGGAATTCCAGACAGCAAACAATCAGGGCCAGCAAACACCTCCCAACAAAGGATTCCCCCAGGCAGGAAGCAGCCAGGCATTGAAGCTGCAAGGCTCTTCTATGCTCATCAAGCTGGCCAATTGCAACATTCACACTTGCCTCAAACAGACAAGAGTTCTTTCTCCCATCCTGGACATTCCACAGATATACAAACCCCTCTTTCCTAGTTTCCACAGACATCACAACCTCTGAGGATGCCTGCCATAGATGTGGGTGAAATGTTAGGAGAGAATGCTTCTGGAACATGGCCATACAGCCTGGAAAACTCACAGCAACCCAGTGATTCCAGCCATGAAAGCCTCCGACAACACACAAAAATAGTTCTCAAACAGATCAATATTCTTGCTTGCTTCAATTCAGATGCTCTATGTGAACTCACTGGCTTCTTGAAAGACATCTTTATAAACACACACACACCTCACTTACAGAATGAAGAACATAGCCATTAAAAAGCCCCTAATAGTTTATGACTAAAAGACCCTTTCTTATAAATAGTTCTCCAAAGCCTGTCTTGAGACACCTTGGCCTATAATGGGAGAAACATGGGATATTGTATATTCACCTATTGATGGAAATACAAGAAAGAGGGAGCTAGTCCAGCCTCTCTTGAAAAGGTCTTTCAAAAGTTGAGAGCAATCACCAAGAAAAGCTCTGTTTAGCAATCCCGCCAAACATTCCTGCCAATGGGATGTCACTCAGAGGGAAGCCTCACTTAAATACTCCAAAGCCTAGGCAGGTTCATATGAGACAATACAACCCTTCAGAGAATGGAAACCAGAGTTGCACAGATCATAGCAAGCATTTTACAGACATGGCTCTACCTCGTTTCAAGCAGTATCGGGGAAAGCCTAAAACACAGTTTCTCACAGTCGGGACCCCTGGGGGGGTTGCAGGGGGGTGTCAGAGAGGTCACCAAAGACCATCAGAAAACATAGTATTTTCTGTTGGTCATGGGGGTTCTATGTGGGAAATTTGGCCGAATTCTATGATTGGTGGGGTTAAGGCTCTTTGATTATAGGTAAACTATAAATCCCAGCAACTATAACTCCCAAATGTCGAGGTCTATTTTCTCCAAACGTCATCATTGTTCACATTTGGGCATATTAAGTATTCGAGTCAAGTCTGGTCCAGATCCATCATTGTTTGAGTCCACAGTACTCTCTGAATGTAGGTGAACTACAACTTCAATGCCTACCAAACAATTCCAGTATTTTCTGTTGGTGTCCCAAGTTTGCTTCAATTCCATCATTTATTGAATTCAGAATGCTTTTTGATTGTAGGTTAACAATACATCCCAGCAACTACAACTCCCAAATGACAAAATCACCCCCCCCCCAACCCCATCAGTATTCAAATGTGGGTGTATTGGGTATTTGTGCCAAATTTGGCCCAGTGAATGAAAATACATCCTGCATATATAAAAGTATCAAATTACAGTTATGAAAGAGCAACAAAAATAATTTTATGGTTGGTGGTCACCACAACAGGAGGAATGGCATTGAAGGGTCACCAGCATTAGGAAGCACTGGCCTAAAAGAAAATTCCAGCAGTATAGGTCAAACTCTTCTGCATTAAATGTACATCTATTCAATCCCAGCAACTACAACTCCCAAATGACAAAATCTTTCCTTTCTTCTCATGATGTGGCCAAAATACTTCATCTTTGCCTCTACTATCTTTCTCTCCAATGAGAAGTTGGGCTTTATTTCCTGAAGTATGGACTGGTTGGATCTTCTCGTGGTCCAAGGCACTCTCAGCACTTTCCTCCAACACCACAGTCCAAATTTATTTCAACTACTGCTGTTAAAACTATCCCTCAGGCCTTCCAAAAAGTCAACCCTTACCCTCCTTTAAATGAGGAATTAAGAAGGCCCAATACCTTCTCTAAAGTTCTCTACAACATTGTTCCAACGGAAACCCTATAAAGCTGATGTTTTCTGTGCACACCAAACTGTTTCCAAACTGAGCATATATCTTAACTGGCACAGAGAAGGGTTATATTATTAGTAAAATTGGGGGTAAGTGCCAGGTTATCTTCCCAACCCTACACTTTGTACCTTCATATCTACTGCAGTTGCGTGCCTGATCCTTCACCCATCCTGTCCCAAGACTGGGCTGCTTTTTACTTTTTACTCCTATGTCAAACATCCACATGTCAGCATGTCACCCAGAGGTGGGGCCAGATAGAATTCAAATTGCAATTATACCTCCAGGTGAATTTCTCTGGGATGTCGTAGCTTCCAAGTCATAAAGTTGAGCCTGCAACTCTTCTACCCGTTGGTAAGCATTCAGTTTTAAACTGCGCTCCTGTGTTAACTGACTTCTTATCTAAAAAGATAATAACCTCTTAATCAACAACATAATTTCAAGTTTTCCTATATTGTAATTAATTGCCAGAATCCTGGAACAGACCCCAGTGACTATCGCAGCTGCTTCCCAGGAAACGGGGACTTGGGGATTTTTTACAGTGTTTGCATAGCAGGCCATAATTATACAGCAGTGACAAGTTTGTAAATCCAGGCAACTGCCATAGAGGTCCCTGGGTCATTTTCAAAAATAGAATAAGAGTATGGCCATCAAGGCAACTAGGGTAACATTAGAACCTGAATAAGGTTTTTGGAGATGGAACTGAAGACATGTTATTCAATTAGGAAACATATATCTTCTTTTCAACCCCACAATTCTATGTTTTACATCTCCTTCCAAGTTCATGATAATTTAGAGCAGTGGTTCTCAACCTGTGGGTCCCCAGAAGTTTTGGCTTTCAACTCCCAGAAATCCTAACAGCTGGTAAACTGGCTGGGATTTCTGGGAGTTGTAGGCCGAAACATCTGGGGACCCACAGGTTGAGAACCACTGATTTAAAGCATCAACCCAACACAAAAACTTTTGCCAACCCTGATTTTAAAATGATTGAAAACTGAAAGTACTTGTATTTTCACATTTTAATTTCACTTAAACCATAATATCACCATGACTGTACCTTGTGAAAAAAAGTTGCAAAAAAATATGGTATAGCCTATTTGCTAGTCCCAGCCAGAGGACCATGGAATTTGAATAAATAGAATTTACATAAGTGTTCATTAACCAAGGTCTTGTTGATTTAATAGGTCTTTTTGAGCTGAAATTAGCAAATTAGACTTCAATATTTTAAGAACAAACCAAAACAAAAAATTAATTGAGCACTTGTAGTTACATACACCTTGGCAGACCTCTCCATACTATAAATATTTTTTCCTAAAGAAGTCAGTTCCTCCACATTTGCAGTTTTGACTTTCACAGATTTGGCTAGAATGTTCTCTTTAGGAATCTCTAGGTCCTCCAGTGTGACTTTATGGTCAACTTCCTTCAATCATGCTGGAAGACCTAGAAATTCATACAGAGTTGTTCTCTCAAGGAAAAAAAAGCAATTTCTTTATTTACGGTTTTGGTTTTTACAAGCCTGCTTTCCCCAGCAAATGTGGAGGTCTTTTTTTTTAATCGTGTAAGAAGCAAATTGAGAATATACTGCAAGTCACTTTTGGTGTGAGAGAATTGGTTGTCTGCAAGGACGTTGCCCAGGGGATGCCCGGATGTGTTACCATCATGTGGGAAGCTTCTCTCATGTCCCCGCACGGGAAGGTGAGGCTGACAGATGGGAGCTCACTCTGTCTCACAGATTCTATGGATTTGAACTGTCAGCCTTCAGATCCTCAGATCAGCAGTTCAGTTGGCACAAGGGCTTAACCCATTGCACCACCACGGCCCCTTATGTGGAGGGCTGAATGTAATACATAAAAGAGTGTAGTGTGCAACATCAACCTTAGTGAGCATTCTCACATTCACAGTGCCAATGAGAGAAGGAATGAGAACTCCTTATGTTTTAAGCAATATTTTTATGTTTTACAGTTGGGATTGCTTGTGGACACTTGTTATCAGTATATAAAACCATAGTACACTCCCAGTTATTTACCATTTTTGGCACAAGTTACTTAACAGGTGTATTTATAATCTTACTTGCTGGATTTCTTTCTTAACCTTTTTCTCTTGAAGTTGTTGTATCTTAGCAGATTTCTCTGCTTCTTCTGTCAAGCTCTGCAGTTTCACTTCTTTCCCACCAAGGTCTTCTAGCATCTTCTCCAAGTTTTCCGTCTTCATCAGATCAACCTGCTGCCATCTGCTGACCTCTTGATTCATTTTATGTTCTACCTTCTGTAGCAAATGTCCCTGTGCATGAAATCACACAGATCCTGTTGCAATCTACTTCCTAATACGACTCTTCACTGCAATGTTCACACTCTGCCTCTTTTCTGAAAATTTGGGGGCTCCCTCAAGATAAATGATACTGACCCATTGTGTATGAATGCTGCCACTTTGTTTACATGAGGAATGACACAGATGCTTTGGATACACAAGGAGTGACACACACTCCTGAACTTTCCAAACAGAGGGAATTATCCAACTGTGCCATAGACAGGAATGGTGTATTGCAAGAATGAAACCATTCTGGCTAGACCAGGCATGGGCAATCTTCAACCCTTCAGGTGTTTTGGACTTCAACTCCCACAATTCCTAACATCCTACCAGCTGTTAGGAATTGTGGGAGTTGAAGTCCAGAACACCTGGAGGGCTGAAGTTTGCCCATGCCTGCACTAGACTATTGTTAACGGCATACACAGATACATACATCCACTTTTCTTTTCTTTCCTTTCTTTTGTGGCAACCAAGACTTGCTGAGTGGTTGGGAGGGGCCTTCAAACCATATATTAGAATAGTAGTAAATGGCTCAACAGAATTGCTATGTTGTATTGAACCATGCAAGATTGCGGCCTCTGACATACAGGCAAACGGTTCTTAAAAGTTGAGAAAATTGCAATCCAACAGAACAAAGAGAAGAAAATGATTTCTGCGTAAGCAGTGATGTAACAGAGTCATCTCTGTACCTGTTTGTCTAGCTGTCCCTTCAGTTTTTTATTCTCCGCTTGAGACTGTGCCAAGGCTTTTCTTGCAGACCTGAGTTGCCGGCGAAATAAAACCGCCTCTTTTTCTGCCATCATCTTCAATTTCAAGTACTCTTTTTTATTTTTATTGTCCTCCTGTGAATGCAATGGATTTAGTACACTGTGAAGTGCAAAATAAAAGCCATTTGCAATTATTATTATTATTATTATTATTATTATTATTATTATTATTACTATTATTATTATTTGAAACACAACAAGATGAGTCCATAGCAAACACGATCACTCTACTGGCTGTTGTATTGGATCACATGTCGGACACTTCCCAAGTGTCTCGGACTGTGTGATGTATCGGCGAATGATGCGTGCAGATCCCAGTAAGGTGGCCTTTTGCAACTGGCAGATGGTAATTTTGTCAGCGCCAATTGTGTTTAAGTGCAGGCCAAGATCTTTAGGCACTGCACCCAGTGTGCCGATCATCACTTGAACCACCTTGACTGGCTTGTGCCAGAGTCTTTGCAGTTCAATCTTTAAATCCTCATATCGTGTCAGCTTTTCCAGTTTTTCATTATTATTATTAATAATAATAATAATAATAATAATACTTCACTTTTTCCTCTCCATAAGGGTTACTCATGAGCAAGCATCTTGTGAGGTTTACGTCCTTTATCATGGAAGAAAAGGGACTGTTTAAAAATGTGTGTACATAGCTAACATACCTACCTTCTAAATCAGGCATGGGCAAACTTCGGCCCTCTAGGTGTTTTGAACTCCAACTCCCACCATTCCTAACAGCCTTAGGCTTAAGCAGCTGAGGGAGAAAAGGAAGGGGTCTGAGGCTGTTAGGAATGGAGTTGAAGATCAAAACACTTAGAGGGCTGAAGTTTGCCCATGCCTGTTTTAAATTCATGCAGTTTGCTATGCATGCACACATTTGTTGGAATTGGACCATTTAAGTGTACTAGCCATTGAAATTTTAAAACAAGAATCTTTATTTTCATGATTTAGAATAAGATAGGACCCTTTCACACTATACAGTTAAAGCACAATTATTCCAGCTTAACTGCCATGGTTGCATTCTGTGGGATCTTGTAAATTTTCAAATGGAAGCAAACTAGAACGCTCTAGCAAAGAATTTTATCTGCCTCTCCCTAAACTACAAATGAAATCCAGTGTAGTACAGTTTGAATATTGGGCTAAGATTCGTCCTGCTGCTCAGCCATGAAAACTCATCAGATGATATTGGACAAGTTCCACTCTCTCAGCCTCAGAGGAATCATAGAATCATAGAGTTGGAAGTGACAACATGGACCATCCAGTCCAATCTCCTGCCAAGCAGGAAAAGCACATTCAAAGTATCCCTGACAGGAAGGCAAAGGCAAACCCTTTTGAACAAATCCAGGCATGCAAATCCTGTGATAGGGTCACCCTAAGTTAGAAATTGCTTGAAGAAATGCAATACCTAAAACAAAAGCAAAACTGTAGATCTAATAATTCCATAGCATGATAAAAGACAATCACAGCACTACAATTGTGTGTTGTGAAATAGCCCTCTTTTCTAACACACTGATAGGAGGTTTGCAAAGATCTCACCTTCTCTGCTTCTCTCACTGTGGCTGACAGGCGTGCTTTGTGCACCGTTTGCTTCCAGTAATTCATGGCCTTCAGTTTGAATACCAATATTTGCAGCTGGCCATTTTCATCCCGTAACTCCTGTAACTGCTCCTGCTAATAAGAACACATCATTTCTGTTTTTTAAAAAAATCTACTCACATTTGGGGGGGGGGGGAATTGTGTAAATGTATAATTAAGAATTGGCATCAGCCTCTATACTTGGAAGAAATTCAAGCCCTGTTACATGCACTTCAACTACTCCAAGCTCCTTTTAGAAGCAGTTGACATATTATTCTGTTCAGAGTCATCCAAACCTATGAATTTGGCTGATCATTCTCTGGAGAATAGATTTGAAAATGCTGTATTTTCATTGATGACAATAACACACACAGTTCTGTTTTCTGAGTTCTGGGTCAACTTCGAAGTCCCTAAACAGACTCAGAAGTGGAGTGGGCAGATCAAAAGACAACCTGGCAAAATGGCATTACCTAAAAGAATCCTACACCTTGTGTGAACGTGGAGCAGAACAAATAACTCTGCATCTGTATGCTTGTCCACAATGTCCTGCCTCATGCACAGAGGAAGAACTGTTTAAAGCTACAGACAATGCAATCGCTGTTGCCTGTTTTAGGTCAAAAATATTTAGCCACTTTCTATTTTTATCAGTTTTATACTTATTTATGTAATGCTTTTAATATGAAATAATTTTTTTGGGTCAGCTTCCCCCCCCCCCCCCCATGTACTATATTTTACCTTTGATAGCAACTATTTTTTGATAAAGCCTGAGGCATTGCTTTTCTCAGGACCCTCTGGTTTCTCCAGTTTTTTGAACGTAACAAATGTTGTAATGTTTGATTTGTATTGTAAGTGCTTACCTTTAAGCTTAACCAGCTGAGGGAGAAAAGGAAAGGGCCTGAGGCTGTTAGAAATGGTGGGAGTTGAAGTCCAAAACACCTGGAGGGCCCAAGTTTGCCCATGCCTGCTCTATCTTCTTAACCACTGGCCTCCTATTTCAAATATCTACTCAGTAGTAAGTCCTATTGAACTCTGTGGTGTCCAGAGAGTCTGGACAGGAAAGCAGCGTCAAGTGCATTGCTAGCATTGAATTGCACTACCTTTTGTCACCAGAGTTTTTAATTTGTCTATAAACTTCTTTAGAGAAACCATTAAAGCAACTTTTTGACATATGATTTTACCCGAGCCAAGCGTTCTTGGAGTGCGCTGTTATCTTTAGTGGAGCCAAACTTTCTCTTCAGGGCAATCATCTTGTCTACTCCATCTCTTCTCACGTCACTGACAATTTCAAACATGCGTTGGCTCAGGCTTAAGCGATATTCATCCACCTTTCCCTGAAACCAAAACCAAGAGCCAAAATATAAATACTGTAAATAAATAAATAAATAAATATTCAGCCATATCAAAGTAACTGCTTAAACGCATTTATCATTAGTACATTATTTTAAAAAATCAAATAGCTTAGCCTTAATCTACATTATATACAGGTCAAGAAAGGCCACAGCAGTTATTTCAGCATAAACCCTCTCTGAAACTGGAGGGATTTGGGTTAAAGTAACAAAGTGAAGTCCACAGATGAAGGTATATATATCCAACTTGCTATAGCTCAGGCATGGGCAAACCATGCCTGAGCTATAGTACAAAATATGCAACCATGGCTTGAAGTAATACAAATGTTTAAAAGAGGCATTTAATTTAATAAACAAATATAAGTATTCATTCATATACATTTTTTCAAGAAAATGTTTTTTAAAATATCGACAAATCTTTGTATCATTGTTTGTTTAATGATAAAAGGTGACAGTTTCCTTCTAATAATTATAAAGAAAGAAAAAAAAACAGTCTTAATTATTATTCCCAGTAAAAACTCCATTGTAATTCATACAATAACTTCACAGTGGTCTTCAAATTAGTGGATTTTTCAGTCTTACAGGAGTCATTGTACATGCATATGTTATACCTTTCCTGACATCTTGTGTCCAGAATGGTGAATTGTATGGTTTGATTTATCAATTAAAAATTAAAAAATTAAAAAATATAAAATCTCATAACTGTTCAAGTGATAAATTACTATATAAATGGAATTTATATAAGTTGGTATGTAACGTCTTTCTGCATAAATCCAGGCCAAAATGAAATACCGAAATTGACACAGATCTCGCAGAGGGATTTATATGCTGTGGAGGTATGTCACGTTTCATTCAGCAGTTAAATGAAAGATATAGAAATGTTATACAAACAATATTGAAAACTATATAAAATGTGCAGAAATCCAAAAACAAATGAGGTTGCAGTTCACGGTTAGATATGCTATACTTTTCTGAATTATAGTTTATTGCACCCTAACTTTTTCCAGGCACAAATCACAAATGGAACACATTTCTCTGCCACCAGGCACTTATAAACAGGTAAGGACTGGACTTTAAATGCTAAGTGGTATTTTAGTGTTTGTATAAAGTTTTTAATAATTTTAAATATTTTAATTAAATTTCAGGAGAAGCACTTTACCATTTTTTTTGTTAGAGGAAGGGCTTTTTGAAGAAGCCAGAGGCCATAAACCCCCAGTTTTGGGGTCCACATCAACTCCAGGGATGAACTTGCTCCATCCATGTAGTAAAGTGGCATTCCCCATATTTTGCATTCAGATGTATCTTCTATACCTACTTTGAGATGCACACACGTCATAAACATGCTTTGCACTAATGCTTCATAATCCTCCTGTACTTTCTTCCTTATCTTCTCTCTGAGGCTATGGTTTTCTTCTTGGAGATCAGCAGTTTTGGCTCTCAGAGCCGTTACCTCCATAATCATGTCATGATTCATCTCTGCTACCTGTTCGAAAGAGAGATTATGCAAACAAGCCTATTAATAAATCTTTTCATGATTCAGTTTCTCAAAGAGTAATAACGGACAAGTTAAGATTTCCAAGGGACAACTCTGGTGCCATTGTCGTTGTGTCCCTTCAACATATCCATCCTGAGTCATGGGGGTTTGTGGGCAAGATTTGTTCAGAGGGGGATTGCCTTAGCCTTCCTCTGAGATTTGACCAAGATCACCCAGTGGGCTTCTACAGCTGAGTGGGAATTCAAACCATGATCTCTACAGTTGTTGACCAACACACAAACCACCACTGTGCTGGCTCTCTTTATCTGGAGCTATCTGAATGAAAATAACAAAGTCAATGTTTCCACTCACCTGACTGAGATTCAGCTCAGCATTTACCCCCTTGTTTTCTGTTGCAGACATTTCCTGAAATAGAATCAAACAGTATCTTTGAAGTAGGTTCTCCCTTAAAAATTACTTGCAGACATCCCTTGAGCCAATAATGTCATGCGGCAGCTTAAAAAGCCAGTAGGATTTTGGCCTGCATAAATCGGAGTATAGTGTCTAGATCCAGGGAAGTCGTGCGATTCCTCTATTCTGCCTTGGTCAGACCACACCTGGAATACTGTGTCCAATCCTGGGCACCACAACTGAAGCGAGATGTTGACAAGCTGGAATGTGTCCAGAGTAGGGCAACTAAAATGATCAAGGGTCTGGAGAACAAGCCCTATGAGGAGTGGCTTAAAGAGCTGGGCATGTTTAGCCTGAAGAAGAGAAGGCTGATGTATAAATATGTGAAGGGAAGTCATACAGAAGAGGGAGCAAGCTTGTTTTCTGCTGCCCTGGCAACGCGGAACAATGGCTTCAAACTACAAGAAAGGAGATTCCACCTGAACATTAGGAAAAACTTCCTGGCTGTGAGAGCTGTTCAGCAGCGGAACTCTCTGCCCCAGAGTGTGATAGAGGCTCCTTCTTTGGAAGCTTTTAAACAGAGGCTGGATGGCCGTCTGTTGGGGGTGCTTTGAATGTGATTGTCCTGCTTCTTGGCGGGGGGCTGAACTGGATTGCCCATGAGGTCTCTTCCAACTCTATGATTCTATGAGCGTATGACTCACTTAATATACCAACAACAAGAGAACCACTCCCAGAACAAAACAAATAAGTACAACACACTGCTCTTTCACCCCATAAGAAAGGACAGCATGAGAAATACTTGTTCTTTTTTATAGAGGAGCTGATGCTGCTGGTGGAGTATATTTTCATAAAACATGGAGTAGTTTTCAAAGTTGCTGCGTTCTCTGGCCATGACGTCACATCCGAGCGCAGTGAGGCACTTTTGTAAGTCGTCTTTCTGAAAGGCAATCTGGAGAAAAAAAATAAAGCGAGCCAGTAAATTAAATGCACATAGACAGATCTGATTGCTTCTCATGCTTCCTCCGTGGTTTAAGGACCCTGGGATTACATGCTCTGAATATTTTTCAGCTCCCATGCTTCATTCCCCCAAATCCTAGGAGCTTTCCACCCATCAGGATTGATTATCCATATACCTCTGTTTCTGTTTCTTGGTGATTTTCCATTAGTCTTTGTATAAATGACTCAACTATTTCTGGCCTTGTGACAGAGAAGATTTCTTGCATGCTATGGTGCTTCCAGAGTTCTGAAAAAAAACACCTTCATCAGGAAATTCAAAATAATGGCCAAAAGTTATGTTACCTTTATTTCATAGCTAGCTACTATACCATGCCCATGTTGTGTGTACACGTTTCTTTGAGACTGAAAAACATGAGATATGAAGTATAATGCTCCCCAACAATAATCATACATAATAAAAATACACACACACATGGAATGGTGCAGGGAAAAGTTTCTAGTGATAATAGTAACTGCATTGTGGCAATCTCCCTTTCCCATGCGCCACTCCCCTTACGCCTCATTCACCAAGTATTGAGTGTAAATAAAAAACACCTGTGGCTGTTAACCATTCAACAACCAAGGTTGTGTACTATAGACCAATAACATGATTTCCCAAGATCTCAGAATAATGATGTACTTTATATGCACATGTATAAGTCAAGCTCAGATAAGTTGAGGGCACGGTTGGGCGTCAAAATTATGGATTTTGATGTAACCTATGGGTAAGTCATCTCCTGGTGGCGCAGCAGGTTAACCTGCTGAGCTGCTGAACTTGCTGACCGAAAGGTTGGCAGTTCAAATCTGGGGAGTGGGGTGAGCTCTCACTGTTAACCCCAGCTTCTGCTAACCTAGCAGTTCGAAAATATGCAAATGTGAGTAGGTCAATAGGTACCGCTTTGGAAGGAAGGTAATGGCACTCCATGCAGTCATGCCAGCCACATGATCTAGGAGGCGTCTACGGACAATGCCAGCTCTTCGGCTTAGAGATGGAGATGAGCACCGTCCCCAGAATTGGACACAACTAGACAATATCAGGGGAAACCTTTACCTTTATATGGGTAAGCTGAGAGTCAATCCATGGGAAGAGGAAATGGCAATATTTGTCTCAAGGGGTCAGCCACTATTGGCCACTGCCACCATTTCCTTGCCCCCGGACTCAAAAAGAGGGAGAGAGTAGAGATGGTTGATGTTTTGTTTAGATTTGCCTGGAATGGATTAAGCTCTTGACTTTTGCCACTCCATGCAGAGAAGCAGATAGTTCCTTTTCTGTTAAGATACAGTAGCTACAAACCTTGGAGGCAGAGGCATGATAACCTGCATATTAAATGTGTTCAAGTTATTACCAGTAGGGAGGTTTCTCTCTTGTCTTGCTTTTTCGGATATAACCAGTGTTATCTCTTTGTTGACTTTCTTTTGCACATCATGAATCATATGTACTTCTAGACTTTCCAGGAGTTTTTGCAGCTAGCATTAAAAAGCAAAAAATAACACTTAATGGTGTCTCTATCTTCTCATTTAGCAATTGGGGGCAGGCCCCCCTCAAAAATAATAATAGTAAGAACATAATCATTTTGAATGTATATGTGCCAAATTCAAACATAATACATCTGACAAAAAATGGTTTTTTTCTACTGTAGGATACCATATTTGAAGGCCAAGAGGAAACTGATACCTTCTGCACTTTACCTGGTATGTTTTTATCTCCACTTGTGAGGCTTCTTTAAGGGGGAACACAGACTGGGATGTGGCTCCAAATCCTTCAAATTCAACTTCTATGCCTCTGCGTCTAGCTAGGGATCTCATAGCTGGACACAAAACTTCAGCACTAGAAAAATGCAGAGGCACAGGCATTGCGTACTCCAGTCTAATCATGACAATCATGACAAATTTGCACAATTATATAATTCAATACAGCTGTGTTAATGAGAATTTTCCCTCTGTAGCACTAAACTACTTATATATATATATATATATATATATATATATATATATATATATACACACACACACACCTGCCAACATCTCCCTGAAGGGACTCAGGGTGGCTTACAAAAAGCACACAATAGTGCCGTAGCATAACACCAGACATTTACATAAAACAACATACATTTTCATAAAAAACAACATACATTTACACAAAACAGTATACTAATATAAACCCTACCAATTTAAAATCCAACACCAATATCTTCTTTTGGATAACGTAAGATATTTAGGTGGGCAAGGCAATAGACGGGGGAAAGGTCACTGCTGATCAAAGGCAGCTGTGTGTTAGAAGATGGGAAGTTGAATGTTTTGTGAATCAGCTCGCCAGCATCACCCACTCCATTTATGCCAGAACGGTCTGTTCAAATTTTCTGAGGGTCTGTAGATTTAGGACCTCATCACACTGAGGTCCTGAAGCCAGGCGACAGCAGGAGGAATCTGTGGGGCAACATGGCAAATCTATGGGGCAGTGGAGGAAACGGTTGCCCTGTGCCTTGCATTACCTGGATCACTCTCTTCCCAATCACCTGGGGAAAGCCATCACAATGGGGATTTCCAGCTCACTCAATCAGAACATGGTCAGTCACCCATGTATTCTTCCTTCCAGCATACTTACAACATGGAGCCAGCACGGAGCCGCGCTGGAAGTAGCACATCATGTGATGGGCTGTATCAGCTCCATGCTGAAAGCTTGCTATGATCAGGGAAAAGCCCCATGTGATGAGATCCTTAGTGGCTGGTACAACACAGGCCACCTGTTGTTAATGCTTTCTGTGTGCATCACAGCATGGAATAGGGGTTTGAGTGTTGAGAGATCAAGGTTCAAATCCCCACTAGGACATTAAAACTCACTACACGATCTTGGGCGAAACACACACTCTCAACCCCGAAGGACAAACTCCTTTAAAAATCTTCCCAAGAAAACCCTGTGATAGGTTTGCCTTGGAGCATCATGAGGCACACAACAACAAAGCATCATATTATATAAATATATAATCCTGGTTTCTTTGTTGTATCAGTTCGGCATTCTGCATTTGGTTTTTGCTTCTTGCGTTGTAATAAAGAAATCCCAGATAAGAAAAAGACAAGACATTTTTACCCTCCCTCTCTTCTTTCGGATTTTGAAAACTAAAAAGTGCTGAGGAATTATTTATTTATTTATTTATTGTCATCTGTACTTTTGTAGTTTTATATTTATTGCAATTTTCACAACAGAATGTAACTTACCCATATAGCTCAGAAAACTGTTTATACAGAGCAACCGTATTAATATCCTCGACTTTCAGTTTAAGTCTTCCCCATTCTGCCTTCAATGTTTCAAGCTGCTTCCATAGAATAAGGTAAGATTTCTGTGAGGCGCACGAGGCCATTGAATTGGGCAGCTCCAAAGGTACTTCTGACGGCTTTCCACTTGCTTCAGCAATTGTCGCCGAGTCTGGCTGAAAGTATTATTACAAAATGCAATATCAGAGATATTTTTGGAAATAGCCTTAAAGACAGAACTTGTTGACAGAGCTGCAAATTACAGATTTGGAAATTGCAACAGGATCTGCATTTGTTTATTTATTCATTATACGTTTATCCAATCCTTTCCTGTAAGGAGTTAATGGTAGGATATATGGTCCTACCATATATAGTTAATGGTAGGATATACTTGCCTAGTTTCTGTTGGAAACTAGGCAAGTGAGGTTTATATATTTGTGGAATGCCCATGGTGGGAGAAAGAATTATTGTCTGTTGGAGGCAAGTGTGAATGTTGCAATTGGCCACCTTGATAAGCAATTAATAGCCTGGCAACTTCAAAGCTTGGTTGCTTCCTGTGCGGGGGGAATCCTTTGTTGAGAGGTGTTAGTTGTCCCTGATTGTTTCCTCACTAGAATCCCCGTTTTCTGAGTGCTGTTCTTTATTTATTGTCCTTACCCCACTTGCCTAGTTTCCAACAGACCTCACAACCTCTGAGGATGCCTGTGGGCGAAACATCAGGAGCAAATGCTTCTGGAATATGGCCATATATGGTTTTAAAAGATGGTTTTAAACAACTGATTTTCAAGTGGAGATAACTGATTTTAGTTTTTATGTGTATTTATAGTTTATTTTATGTTCCAGCATTGAATGTTTGCCATATATAAGTTGTGCTCCGCCCTGAGTCCCCTTCGGGATGCGAAGGGCAGAATATAAATGTTTTCAATAAATAAATACAGCCCAGAAAACTCATAGTAACCCAGTGATTCTGGCCTTGAAAGCCAGGAACATGCCTGCAACAAAGTGAAATATATTAGCTAAATTGAACTCTCCAAGTGTCTATGGCAATAGATGCTAATGTATTAAAGATTTAAAATGTGATAAGCTATATCTTAACAATTTTACCTTTTTGAAAGATGTTTGCTGGCTGCTCAGGTCACTCAGCATTTCATAATTATTCAAGAGTACATCTTCTATTACAAATTGCATCCCAACCAGCTCCCCGTGAGCAGTTTTTCGATCCTCATAATTCAGTCCAGACAGACATAACTAAGAAAAATAGAAAACTTAACTGCTTGAGATGCCCATAGAAAGCAAACCTCAGATGATCTTATCAAAACTAAAGTTCATCCTTACATGTTCAATGGTCTAGAACAGAATTTATTGTTCTTCTGTGCTACAGTGTTTAACAAGTAACCTGCATTACTCATTAAACTACTACTCGACGGCTGCGGTGGTGCAATGGGTTAAACCCTTGTGGTGCTGAACTGCTGAGCTGAAGGTAGGCGTTTGAATAAATGGGATGGGGTGAGCTCTTGCTGTTAGTCCGAGCTCCTGCCAACCTAGCAGTTTGAAAGCACGCAAATGTGAGTAGATCAAGAGGCATCGCCTCAGGGGAAGGCAAAAAGATGCTCCATGCAGTCATGATGCCCACACAACCAAGACGTATCTATGGACAACTTAGGCTCCTCGCCTTGAAATTGAGATGAGCACCACTCCCCAGAGCCAGAAATGAAAGGAGAAGCCTTTGCCTTTGCCTGTGTATTTATGTTTCATTGTATTTCATTGTAACAAGGCATTGAATGTTTGCCTGTGTCTGTTTATATGCTGTAATCCACTCTAAGTCCCCTTGGGGAGAAGGGCGGAATATAAATAAAGTGTATTATTATATTATTATTATTATTATTATTATTATTATTATTATTATTATTATTATAGAGATAGAGAATAGCAAAACAATGAACATTCTTAATAAAATACCTTTAACATGTATTTAAAAGTCAATTAAAATAAGACAGATATTCCTGTTCCCTCTACTAGTAATCTCTAATCTGTTTTTCATATTCTTATGCCTCATTCGTGCTTCAAGGGTAACTCATTGAAGAAAGTTACATTATCTGTACCTAATTGTCCCCAAGCTCTGAGAGAAAGAGATGAAACTAATAAGATACTTATTTAAGAGGGTGGTGCTCATACAGGAATGAGGATCTGAGTTAAAACACTGAGGTTTGGTTCCAGCTTCCCCCCCCCCCCCCCAATACCAAAATCCATGGATGTTCATACCTGCATGCAGTATTCTATGGGATTTAAATTGTCAATAATAGTAGGGAATGGACCGCTGTTTGCTTGAAAGGTTCTCCATGGAAATAATATCTGTGCCTAAAATAAAAGAATTGTAATATCAGAGCAACATTAATTTCTCCAGGAACATGTGTGTATGTGTGTGTGTTGATAAAGAAAGTTTTGCTAACGGGAATGTTTGCTCATCTCAAAGGCTGGCCAATGATTAGGCAGAGTGAAGCCATAATCTCGTGAATTGTCATGGAAAGAGTAAACAAATGGCCAGTTGTTTCATTTGTCATTATTATTGTCTGATTGGCAGTAATGAGAGCAGGAGGTTTAATCACACAAGGCAGGCAAATCACAGTAGTACAACAGCACCTTTGCTTTGGATTTATCACATGCCACCATTTCTTTTACAGTGTTCATCCAGTAGGAGACCATGGGAAGGTTTTCATTTTACAGACACAAAATATCTATTAATAGCTTCCTTTCGTAAAAACCTTCCAACTGTCTCCCATGTGATAAGTCAAAGAAAAAGACAATGTTGTCTTGCTGTAATTGCAATTTTCCTGCCTCAAAGTACATATGTGAAAAGTTTTAAAAAATAAATAGCTTAGGCTATTTAGTGTGAAATGATATTGCTCAACAAAGGTAAACATATTTGCCTTTTAGCGATTGCATCATCTGAAAGTCAGCATCCATGACTCTTACTAGCAGTCAATGCTGTCCTCTGCACACAGCCGCTCTCATTTTAGTGATGAGTGATAATCAAATATAAGCAAAAATTATATTTTTTCTCACACACAGGGCCACACTTGTGAGTTGCAGTGAGAGTCATGATCATAGCTTATTGCAACAGCTGTACGGACACAAAAGGGTTCTAGCTACTGTATTCTAAATCAATAAGGTCATACGATTAGAAGAATTTTCTATCTATAACTTTAAAAATCAATTTTACTCACTCTGCGACCATGTGGATCTAATGGCTGTGGCAGCTGGAACTGGGAAGCAAAGAGATTTCCAACTATGGCATTACTTAGAGGAGGCAATCCATGGTAAATGTTGTCCGTAATACTCTGATAGGCACAAATATTCCCAGAGGATAAAAAGGCTTCTCTGAGGAGTGGCCAGAAAAATAAATCAATCACATTTTAAAGTAAGACACTTATATTGTATTTGCTCTGCCATTCAAAGAGCTCCATTGAATCTTTTATTTATGAAAAGCTTTGCCTGCAAGTGACACAGGAATTGTGCTTTGATGAGATATTACTTTTTTAAGGGAGCTGAATGTTCATTTTACTCATTCTGACTGACAAAGACTTTGCTTTGTTGACAGTAGCATTTTGCTGGAAACCTCATTTTCCTATGATATTTAAATATACATCCTTCTCCATAATTGTGAGGTAGGTTTAGGAGCCTTGTGAACTGAGCTAGCCAATTTTCAGTTTGTGTGACGTTCCAGAGTGCCATGCGGTGTTATCATGGTTGCCATTTGGGTCTATTTATTAGTTTTTTACTCCTTCTGGACAGAGAGCACCTTGAAAAAATGCACAATACTATTATAAAGGAATCCTTACTCTTTAATTGGTGCCCCCAGTGGTGCAATGGGTTAAACTCTTGTGCTGGCAGGACTGCTAACTGACAGGTCAGCGGTTTGAATCCGGGGAGAGCAGGTTGAGCTCCCTCTGTCAGCTCCAGCTCCCCATGCGGGGACATGAGAGAAGCCTCACACAAGGATGGTAAAACATCAAACATCCAGGTGTTCCCTGGGCAACGTCCCCAGAGATGGCCAATTCTCTCACACCAGAAGAGATTTGCAGTTTCTCAAGTCGCTCCTGACATGAAAAGAAATCCTCTTTAATTTGCCCTTTTACTTTGCCCTTTAATTTGCCTCAAAACGACTTGTTTTTTGGCTGACATTTCAGGTGAATGATAATAGGAATCCGAAAGACTCCATGATTCATAACCACCTCCAGTATCAACAAAAGTTACTGAAGTGAAGTGAAAGTGGCGAGGGGGGGGGGCATCTATAGCACCGATATCTACAACAGTTAGATCAGCTTGTCATGGTTATATCCTCCTAACTCTATTCCTTGTTCTACTCTCACTAGTTCAGTTTTACCAATTTCCTTGTCCACATGCATGTAGGAAATGATTGTCTCCCTATAGAAGAGACGTGCAAGTTTTTCATTCAAATGCTATTTTAAAAGGTCCTTGAAAGACACAAGAAAGGGCATATTCATACCCATGTCAGTATCTTGGTTCTAAAAGTGCCTTTCTCATGACTTGTTTTCTGCAACCCTGGACATTAGGACGCAAAACAATGACTTCAAACTACAGGAAAGAAGATTCCACCTGAACACGAGGAAGAACTTCCTAACTCTAAGAGCTGTTCAACAGTGGAACTCCCTGCCCCAGAGTGTGGTGGAGGCTCCTTCTTTCGAGGCCTTGAAGCATATGCTGGATGGCCATCTGTTGGGGATGCTTTGGCAGGGGGTTGGACTGAATCATCTAACACTTTATTTATTATTATTATTTATTTATTTACTTCACTTGTATACCGCTCTTCTCAACCATCAGGCGACTCAGAGCGGTTAACAACCAGTATCAACAATACAATACAAAATCATTAATCATTTAAAACAGTAATATCCATTAATTAACATCAGAACATCAATACAACAATACAGGAAAACAACAATCCATCACGTCTCATCAATAGAATCAGCATCCAATCTCGTTGTCCATTAATCCATATTCCAATAATCAATCAATTGTACTGCTTAGTTGAAAGCCTGTTCGAAGAGCCAGGTCTTCACTCTCTTCCTGAATGCCAATAAGGAGGGGGCTGATCTAATGTCTGTAGGAAGGGCGTTCCACTTTGAGTCTATATACAGCTGCTAACTTGTCTGGCGGCTGAATCTTATTTTGATGTTGCCATTGGAAAAACACAGCTCTTGCACTGAACTCAGGAGAATAGCCAGGAGACTCAGCATGAATGGTTGGGAAGGAGGCTAGCACCTGAGGCATTTGCTTAATTCTGCCCTTTAAGTATTACACCATAGGGCACTGATCTCCCCCCCCCCCCCCCCCCCCCCCCCCGCAAAAAAAACACACATAGAAAATACACATTTCAAAAATTAGGACTTCATCCCATGGTCTTCAGGCTCTATTTCCACGTGCTTTGGAAACGGAGCCCAATGGAAGCCTTCACATGACTTGAGGATCCTTCCAGTGGGAATCTGTGGCCCTCCGTTTCCTAAGTGCATGGAAACAGAGCCCAATGACCGTCTTCAGAAGTCAAGTGTGACCCAACTCCAAGTAGCAGAATGCAGGGGGAAGAGAAGACGGGGAGAGGCATGGTAATCATGTGAGATGGCTGGCCATCCTTGAAGATGGGGAAAGATGGGAGGGAACGGTGTAAGACCATTGCCTCTGCTATCCCTGCTTTCCCCCTACTCGGCTGATGATGTCTTTAGGGAATTAAAAGAGCAAACATGAAACACATTTAAATATTTTCATTCAGATCCCTTGGTTTGCTTGATATTCATAAGGAACAAATGCTAAGATGTATTTATGAAACACAGAGACATCTTCCCTTATTCGACGTTTCATAGTAGCTTCAGTACAAAATGCTGTAACGTGCTAGTCATACATTTTTAAGTTGTTTCCAGGACTAGCCAAGTTCCATGTATTAGTATGTACATCTGTCTGCTACTATAAATTGTGAAGTCTTAACTGAAACTAGATATACAAGCATGTGTAGCGCACTCCCAGCTAATTTATTTTGAAAAATCAGAGTGTTTCAGAATCTAAATAGAGGAACGGTGGAGTAAAGAGGCTATTTAACCGTTTGCCCTGTGGGTACTTTCCCCCTCAAAATCCCCTACAACTGCCTTTTTAGACTTACAAGGGAAGGCATAACAATACTTTTAAATTTTCCTTTAGTTGATGGAGGAAAATGGGGAAAACTTAAAAACAACTGGGGGGGAGGGAGCTGAAGCAGCTCGATTCCTTTATTTAGATTTTCAAATTCTCATCACTGCTTTTGAACAGAAGTAACCAACACCTCAATTACTGTTTCATTTCAGTCTTATAGAAAACACATGTGAGATTCTCCTTTTTTTACAGTCTCCTAAGGCTCTGTCAGGGTCCTTTTTCCTAGACTATACAGTAGAGTGTCGACAGAACGTCAGATAAACAAATATGTCAGATAATACGGAGTCTCCTACTGTTACCCATCTGACGTGGCGCTAGACATCTAGAATGCTAACAACAGGGACTCAAAAAGTTAAGGCAAGACAATGCCTCCAGGCTAGAGAGGTCCAGCAGGAAGTCCCCGGATGCAGAAGAGGACTGTGGAAATCACAGAGGGAAGGAGAGAGGACGCTTCTGCTTCCAGTCCTGCCTCTTTTCCCCCTTTCCTCCCTACTCCTCCTCCTTGTCTTGCCTTTTTCACTTATTGGAGAAAGAGTTGGGGAACACTCCTTTAATTGAAGGGAAAATGCTGGAGGAAAAGGGAGACATCGGATAAGAGCGTCGCATAAGACAGAATGTCAGATAAGCAAAGGTCGGATAAGCGAGACTCTACTATAACACGTTTCAGCTGTAAGACTTCTGCTGATTAGGGAGGACCTGACTTTGCAAACATTGATATCTTACCGCATTGAATGTCGAACTGCTGCATCAAACTGCAGAAACAGAAGTTCTCTGTGAATGCTCAGCATCTGAGTAACTTTCTTAGGATCTGTAGGGTTGTGGAGATAATCTATTTTCTTCTGTAGTTCTTGAAGCTCATTTCCTAGCATCCCAACAAGAACAATTGATTAAATATGCTGGCATTCTCCATCTCTGCTGTAAATCACTGTTCATCAATACAATTCGGTAGTAAGGTCTGGAATCCGATAAGAGGCAAGTAGGGTAGAAGAAGTTTGCTTTGTTAGGAACTGTTGGAAATTACAACCTTCTTCAAACCTCCTCTAGTAATTTGTTTATCTATAATCCCATTGCTTATGAATTGTATGTATGCTCTGGTATGCAGCTTTCTTTCCTTGCTCTATGTTTTTTCCTGAGAAGTTGTTGGAGTTGTTGGAGTGGCTGCAGACTACATGATTCACTCTGGGACGAGCACAGGCTTCTTTAAGCTTTGGGACTGCTCAGATCTCAGACTTGCAAACACTTGCCTGCTGTTGATTATAAGAGAGATGTTGTGACCAGATGGCACAGAAACTATCTCAAACATATCTGTAACTGACTGATAAGTTGTGTACCTGTGTAAACTGAACACATGAAGGTTGTGAGTAAACCAAATATGTTGTTTATTTATTTATACCAAAGTCTACTTTATTTCGTCTCTTGAGTGAATAATATAACATAAGTTGCTTTATGGGAGAGGAGATATGTTCTGGGCACTGAAAAACACTATTTTTATGCACTGGCATATTCTCTGTTTCCTAACAGATCAGAAACAACAGGTTGTTCAGTCTAACAACTGAAGCCAATTGCCTTACATAATTATATTTGGTAGTACAGTATACCACTTGAGAAGATTCTACTAAAATGGGTTTTGGCTCTTCTCTAAAAGGTTATGATCTCTAAAAGGTCATGCTCATGAATCTAGCTTATAGAGCAGGGAGAAGAGACCACTGGTCCTCCAGATATTCTAGAGCAGATGTGTCAAACTCAAGGCTCACGAGCCAAATCCAGCCTGTCACATCATTAAATGTGGACCTCCAAATGTTGGACTACAACTCTTGTATTCTTCATCATTAGACATCATAGCTACAGCTGATGGGAAGTGTGATACAGTAAGATTTGGGAGGCTGCAATTTGTTCTGTCTAGTCAGGATAGTGGGGTTTGAATTAAGATACAAGGCTTGTGGATATGATACCTGACTTTTAAATGTCCTTTAACTTGTTAGGAATTGTGGGAGTTGAAGTCCAAAACACATGGAGGGCCAAAGTTTGCCCATGCCTGATCTATAGAGGGTTTAACAAAGTATATGGTACTTATGCAAGATTTACCTGACTAGTTGTTTCATTTCACATGTGCACACTGTTAAGTTTTGAATAAAAAGTTTGCTGAAACATGTTGAACTGATCTCTGCTCTTGTTTTTCAATGGGGTAGGAAGTTGGACCCTATCTCTATTTTCTCCATATCATTTCTGCCTTTAGTACCAAAATTTTTGATAACAAAATAATGTTTAGTAACACAGCTAACTGAGGCATATCTGTTTAACCCCTGACTTAAAATGTAAACATGCTTTGTTTTGTCCTTCCTTTCCTGAAAAGTATTAGAACTGGCAATAGAACCAGTTCCAAAAGCAAGGAAGATACTACTAACCAATCCATTCAGTTCCTCCCCAGTCTGCGCTGAGATGGTCAGAAGGACAGAAGTAATCAAAGCAGTCTGGTGGACTTCCTAGCTGAACAAAGCTGAAAACGTATGAAATAATGTCGTGAAAAGTTGCCACAAGTTGAAGGGTTTGCTTCAGGGCTCTGTACGCAGTCTATGGAAAACAGGTTTACAAAAAGAGAGAGAGAGATTTAAATAAACAATCAAGTACAAAACATCAAAAAAAGACAAAAACTTACTGGGTTGATAGATTTTCCCCTAAACACAAATGCCAACATCTACGTAATTATGTTGAATCATACAGGAGAACACTTCAGAAGAGCAGAAACTACCTGCAGCTGAACAAACCAAAGTACAGCAGCCTGATTTGTGGTGGGTCTCCACTCCTGCTTTAACCTGCTTCGCGACAGCCCATACTGTTCAGAAGATTCCCCTAGCTCTGCAGAAAGTGTTTGGGGAAAATGGAAAGGAGAAGCAATGCTCAGCCAGAGATTCCCAACCTTTGGGCCTCCAGGTGTTTTATACTTCAACTCCCACAGTTCCTAACAGCTGGTAAGCTGGCTGGGATTTCTGGGAGTTGAAGTCCAAAACACCTGGAGGCACAAAGGTTGGGAACCACTGGTTAAGCAGTCTTATTCACATGTGACCTTTAGATTCAACTTAGTCTACCTTTGTATGGGTTTTAACTGAAAATCCAATTGGAAATATCTTGGCCAAAAAGGAGGGTGCAGGCTGAGCATCCCTTATCTGGAATTCCAAAATCTGAAAATTTCCATGTGGGTAGCTGAGATAGCGACACCTTAACTTTCAGATAGGTCAGTGTCTATAAACTTTGTCTCATGCACAAAATTATTTAAAATACTTTGTATAAGGTTACCTTCCATGTATGTGGAGGAACACAAACACATTTTCATGTTTAGATTTGGGTCCCACTTCCAGGAGATCTCATTAAGTATATGCAAGTATTTAAAAATCTGAACTTTATTTATTTATTTATTTATTTATTTATTCTATTTACATTCTGCCTTTCTATACCCCAAAAGGGACTCAAGGCAGTTTTACAGTTTGATGCCTTTGGAGAACAACAATTAAATACATTTAAGTTCAAATTTAACATTGAAAAATTGAAAAATTAGAGTTAAAAAGCACATTAAAACTTATAAACGTTATAATCACTATTAAAATCACGCCATCCACAATCATAATCCGGGGCTCATCCAAACAAAAATCATTGCACCCATTTCATAGTAATTTTGCACTGTAGTTAATCTCCAAAGGCTTGACCCCAGAGCCAGGTTTTTACTTTCCTCTGACGGTCAGGAGGGAGGGAGCTGCTCTAATATCACTGGGGAGGGAGTTCCACAACCGAGGGGCCACTACTGAAAAGGCCCTGACTCTCGTTCCCACCAGATGCACCTTTGCACATGGCAGGTCGGAAAGCAGGGCCTCCCCCAAACGATCTTAGTCTTCCTAGGTGGTTCATAGGAGGAGATATGTTCAGACATCCACCTGGGCTGGAACCGTTTAAGGCTTTATAGGCTAAAGCCAGCACTTTGAATTGTGCTCAGTAGCAAACTGGCAGCCAGTGGAGCTGATGCAACAGGGATTGTATGCTCCCTGTATGCCACTCCAGCGATCTGGCTGCTGTCCGTTGGACTATTTGAAGCTTCCAAACAATCTTGGAAGGCAATCCCATGTAGAGCACATTGCAATAATATATTCAGGATGTAACCACAGCGTGGTCTACCACGGCCAAATCTGGCTTCCCAAGGTACAGAGGGTTGCAGTCCAAGAACATTTGGAGGTCCACACTTTGCTCTCCTTTGCTTTAAGCATACTGACCTTCTCTGGTAGCATTCTGAAGAGCGATAGGACTTCTGACGGGTGAGGAATGAACCAGAGATTCAAGAAAGATCGTCCATCAGAGGACAGCAAGCAGCGGGGCCGTGGCTGGAATGATCTGAATTGTGACAGGTGGAAGATGAATTACATGGATAATCACATCACACAGTTCTGTGGCACCCAAGTGTCACATGACTGGGATTGTTGCACAATGCTTGCACAGCTATTTCTTATTTTCTGTAAGCAATACATATGAGTAATATAGATAGATTAATATGACAGTTATTCCTATTCCTGTCATGATAATTTGTGTACCACTGATGAGCTTAAACCACCCCACAACATAAGAATAAGAATAGCAAAGTTCTGGGTAAATCTGATGCTGTAGAAACTGAGGAAATATAGAAATCATTACAAGCAGTCCCCGAGTTACAAACATCTGGTTTACAAATAACTCATAGTTAAGAATGGGGGTGAGACAACAGGAAGTGAAAGAAATCTACCCCCCCCCCCCCCAGAAGGGAAATTCACTCCTGGAAGAGTTATTAATAACATTACATAAGTACCAGAATAAACCAATGGTTATCAAGACTAATCCTCTTCTTTCCAATTTACAAATCAAACAAGTGTGGAATCGGAAACAGCTTAAACTAGTTACAAACCTGGGGTCATCTCCAAGCTTTCCTTTTAATTCTCCCTCTCCTTTCTTCTCGTGTGGCAACCCTATAATGAAGTATTTGGCTTTCACACTGGGGAAATCATTCAGCATAGCTCTGATGCTATTGTAATAGGCAATGATCTGACTTCGAAGAGAGTACTGCGATATCCGATGGTTCACCCTAAATTATTCCAAAATGCAACATTAGCAAAATACTACACAGTCAGAATCTTAGAAAACAAAAGTGCCTGCCCTGCTCTATGATTGTTCTGTCTGAAATGCAAAGTGGCAAAGCCTAATATACAAAATTTCACATTTTTAGATCATCATGAGTAAATACTTTTTGAAATAAAAATAATTATTTTCTTTACTTATGAATTACTAGCACTGTGAACCCTACCAGCAATCTAGACCAGGCATGGGCAAACATTCTAACTTGGGGGCCACATGCTAGCACTCCCTGCTAAGAGGACTGGCTACCCACTGATGGAAGGAAGGAAGGAAGGAAGGAAGGAAGGGAAGGAGGAAGGAATGAGAGAAGGAAGGGAGGTAGGGAATGATAGAAGGAGAATCAGGGAGGTAAGGCAGGGTGGGAGAGAGGTAAGAAGGAAGGAAAGAGAGAAGGAAGGAAATACAAAAGTGAAGGAAGGAAGGATGACAGGGTGGAAGGGAAGGATGGATGGAAAGAGAAGGAAGGAAAGAGAGAAGGAAGGAAGGATGAAAGGGTGAAAGGGAAAGGAGGGAAGGAGAAAGAGGGAGGGAGGGAGGGATGGAAGGGAGGGAGGAATGAGAGAAGGAAAGAAAGATGGAAGGAAATAATAATAATMATCATCATCATCATCTTTATTTATATCCCACCACCATCTCCCAAAAGGGACTTGAGGCTGCTTACAAGGCACTACAAGTGTAGTATATAACATAAACAGTACATGAGTATAAAAACAATATCACATAAATGTTATAAAAAAAAACACTATTAACACATAAAATAAAATAAGATCACAGTTTGAAACGGAAGGACAAAAGGAAGGAATGAAGGAAAGAAGGAGAAAGAGGGAGAGAGGCAAGGAGGAAGGAAAGGGGGAAGGAAGGAAGGTTAGGATGGTGAGAGAGAGGAGGACCTGAGAAAAGATCCCAAGGGGCTGCATCCAGCCTCCGGGCCTGGGTTTGGCCATACCAGATCTAGACTAAACTTGGCACACATACCAATCATGACTAACTAACAAATGGTGTGGTTTGGGGGTAATGGCAGATGATGATGGCAGTTGTAATTTACCCACATCTTTATGAATTTTCTAATTGAGGCATTCATAAAATTCAAAAATAAACAATGACCATTTTTTTCTAATATTTATCAATTCAAAAGACCTAGAATCATAGAATCATAGAGTTGGAAGAGACCTCATGGGCCATCCAGTCCAACCTCCTAGCCCAGACATTGCCAAATACATAAGCTAATACTTCTTTAAGAGAAAATTCAGTCTGTTTAGGGAGCTTTGAAAATGCTGGCTTTGTTATCAGTAAATGTTTGATGTTTAGACCTGTTTTATATACCTATATCCCAGGGTCACCTAAAAATTTCTCAAGCCAAAAGGGGTTGCAAGTGGAAATGTTTAAGAAGTTCTGCTTTAAGGTATCAAATGTTAAACTTATGTTTTTTGAAAAGCTTATTGGTTTGTTTTCTTTGGCTTCATATATTAGCTCAGGCATGAGCAAACTTGGAATTGTGGGAGTTGAAGTCCAAAACACCTGGAGGGCCCAAGTTTGCCCATGCCTGAGCTAGCTGCTTTGAAACTGTGCATCTCCTGGGCAAGTGGAGTGGAGATGTTTCTCCAGTCCTAAAGTATGTTGCCTCACTACTGAACCAGTGTATTGTCAAGTCTTAGCTTAAACTAAGAATGGGAGAAAAGGGCTTTATATACACAACTCTCGAGGAGATCACATTATATATCTTTCTTATACTTACTTATGGCAGTATTCAACAATAACTTCTCTTTTGACTTTTTCAGCTTCATCCTACAACAAATGTTGTTGTTTACATAATATTTTGCAGCAATTTATACATCAGATGAAATATAAAAACAAAACATAGACATACAAAACCACATCGGCGCCATTCAGGGAACAGAATTCAATAAGAGTACATATGTTCAAATCAATCAATTACAGGAGTTACAACTGATAACTCTAATACATTTTAATAGGTCTACTCTAGTTGGGAATAACACTTGATGTAGTCTAAAGCACTTTCACACAGAAAGAGACAGTGTGATGTAGGGGTTTTTTTCTGTTAAGAGTTACTTGGGGCTGTTGTCATATCGCCTCTTGAACCTTTTTTTTCTTTTTTCTTTTTCTTTTTTCTTTTTCTCTTTTTATGTATGTGTGTGTTGTTGGTTGAGATGGGTTCATAGGAAGGGGTCTGATGATTGGGGGGTGTGGGAGGAGTATAACTATAGGAAGAGGGTTGAGTTAAGAGATAGAAGTGTGGAGAGGTGAAGCAGATACCCATGAGAGATTACTATGAGATTAGATGGTGGATGGATGAGGGCGTGAGAGAATTGGCCATCTGCAAGGACATTTCCCAGGGGACACCCAGATGTTTTACCATCCTGTGAGAGGCTTATCTCATGTCCTTGCATGAGAAGCTGGAGCTGACAGATGGGAGCTCACTCCACCTTGTGGATTCAAACTGCTGACCTTCAGGTCAGCAGTTCAGCCATCACAAGGGTTTAACCTATTGCGCCACCATGGCTCCTTCAGTGTGATGTAGTGATTTGAGCATTGAAAATTCACATTTTATTATTGCTTTGTTAATTTAACCACACAAACACACAAACTTTTGTTCTTTATAAGTTTTACATAGGTGAAATACTACAATTCTTTTGAAAATGGAGGTTTTGTTCACCTCCATTTTTGCAATACATGGATGCTGGGAGTTGCAGTCCAATAACATTAAAGACCACACAATTCCCATCCTTGTTTTTCACAGCTAAGGAGACTGAAATTATTCCACAGAAATCATTCTAAAAATAACTATATAATTTCTAAAAGAAAAACATTCCTGATGGACTTACTGTATTCTGCATCCTGCTTCCCAAGGTGTGTTTCTTTTGAATGAAAGCATTCAGCATTGTGTCTCGAGGACCCTGTTTCTCCAACTGGATGGAAACAAAAGCTTCAGGGTTCCTGGAGAATAAATGAATGACTGTTTTTGAGACAGAAATACTGGTACTCGTCTGTTAACAGACAAAATGCATGGTAGATAAAGCTAAATGTTTCCCTTGACATTAAGTCTAGCTGTGTCTGGCGGGGGGGGGGGGGGGGGGGGGGGGGGAGGTAAAAATTACCTCCTTAAATTATAGTGTCCAGCGATAATATGTCGAGTGAAATATGAACTCAGTGGTGTAGTAGCAAGAAACTGATCTTCTATTTCATTTCCAGCTGTGGAATTCTTTCCATTTGCTGAACTGCTCTGACTTCTCAGACTTAGAGCTCCTTCCTGAAACAGATGTATATACAGATAATGAATTCTACTTATTATTGTAATAGACAGAAGGATACCATGTAGGTAAAATAAAGGTAAAGGTTTTCCCCTGACATTAAGTCCAGTCGTGTTCGACTCTGGGGGGGGGGGTGCTCATCTCCATTTCTAAGCCGAAGAGCCGGTGTTGTCCATAAACACCTCCAAGGTCATGTGGCCAGCATTACTGCATGGAGCACCATTACCTTCCTGCCACCAAAGCGGTGCCTACTGATTTACTCACATTTGCATGTTTTCGAACTGCTAGGTTGGCAGAAGCTGGGCCTAACAGCGGGAGCCCACCCTGCTCCCCTGATTTGAACCACCAACATTTCGGTCAACAAGTGCAGCAGCTCAGCAGTTTAACCTGCTGAGCAACCTACAGTATACCAAAACAAGTAACCAACACATAGCTAGAAGACAATTTCACTCATATTAGCCTATTGTTACTAAACAAAATACGCAAATATATTGAATAGATTTAGATTCATCAGAGGATGCATTTTTGTCTGGGGAGAAATAATGACACTGTTTGAAATATATACATGGTCTAATTCTTCTCTAATGACTTTGAAGAAAAAAATATAATAGACAATTTAATATTCAGTCAAGTGTTAACATTACCCTGGAGAAATTTTATGACACCCTTAGCTAAATTGTTGTAAAAGATGTTAAGCAAAATATACTTAATGTTTTTTATAATTTATTCTCTTTTACATTGGCAACATGCACTGTGTTTTGCATGAAGAAATTGTGAAATAAGTGAGTTGGTATAAGCCATTTAGGAATGTACAAGTAGACAAACAGCTAGCTACATACTACCATTAGCAATTGGTATGCCTTCTGATTAGATTCAGTGTGGTAGATAGATTCAGACTTGGAAATCCTGACTTAAATCCCCATTCACACATGAAGGATACTAGTAGGTAACCTGAAGCCAATCTCTCTCTCAATTGACACAACATACTTCGCAAGGTTGTTGTGATGATAAACAAGTAAGTTAGGGTATTTTGAATTATTTGCCATAAAACTTTAGTGGTTTACCTCGGGATTCTGTAAAATCCAGGTGTGGCAGGTAAAGTGGATTCAGACTGCTATAATTGTGCAATATGAAAGAGACCTCAATATTTTTGTGTTAGGGAAGAAAATATTTTGCGCAATGTTTCACTCCCAATTCAAATAATGAAAATAGGAACTACAAATTAGAGATAGAAATATTTTTTATTGAGGGGACAGTGGTAAACCTTTCCTGTATAGTGGGAGGCTGTGAGTTTTCTGGGGTGTATGGCCATGTTCCAGAAGTATTCTCTCCTGACATTTTGCCCACATCTATGGCAGGCATCTTGTGAAGTCTGTTGGAAGCTAGGTAAATAAGGTTTATATATCTGTGGTAGTCCAGGTGGGAGAAAGAACTCTTGTCTGTTGGAGGCAAGTGTGAATGTTGCAATTGGCCAGCTTGATGAGCATTGAATAGCCTTGCAGTTTCAATGCCCGATTGCTTCCTGCCTGGGGGAATCCTTTTTTGGGAGGTTTTAGCTGGCCCTGATTGTTTGCTGTCTGGAATTCCCCTGTTTTTTGAGTGGCCTTGTAGTTTCAAAACCTGGTTGATTGCCGCCTGGGGAGATTCTTGAGAGGTGTTACCTGACCTGTATATATGCAAGAATGAAGCAGTATGAGTGGTGCAATTGCATGTAACATTTACTTTTCATTCCAAAGTCTGTCCATACCTTATCAGCAGCCCATGCTGCTTTTAATTTTGGGTAACTACATGTTTTGTGCTGTTTGCTGCCCTCAGGTGAGATGAGAGAACAAATTCTAACCTTTATGCCCTTGCTTCGTGTGGGTTGCACCATGGGGCAAAACGTAGCCTGTTGAATAGCCACAAGGAGTAAGTTTTTATGACTTGTTTGGCAAGCAAGAGCAATCTGCAAATTTTCCATTCCATAAGGATTCAGTAAGATCTGAAGAATAGGCATAAAAAGACAAGCAATTACACAACCATAATAGGCAGTTGCACAATTCTTGTGTGTGTTTGTCATCGATAAGCTTGACAAAGAATGTAATACTTTTTATGTGAATTCAGAGAAATGATCTTGTTCTGTATGGAATCTGGAATAATAATTAAGTACAATACAAAGCAATAAAAGGTTTTAACACATATGACAAGGAATTTAAATTTGGTGAAATAGTTCAGCCCAGAGTTAATTCTTGATTCAAATTATAGTTGCAACTTTCTGAACAGAGTCCACAAAGAATAGGCATATAGCTGTGTGTATGTCCTAAATGACCCCATGGAATGGAGGGTCAGTGGACTACCTCTAAACAGTGGGTAAGGACTGTATTGCACAATGTCATGTGCTACCCATTACTGCTCCACAAGCTCTTTGCAACAAACCTGTCCCTGGATCACGCCACAGTGCTGCAACATGTGTGATGATCTGACATATAAGCATTGAATTGACATCAGGGGGAAGGATTATCCTATTATTATGCTATCCCCCTCTCGTTCACTTCCAGTAATTAAAAGAGATTTAAAAAATAACTAAACTTAGCAGAAACTTCAAAAAAAATTAAATTATGTAGCTACAGAACGGTGAAAGGGCAGAATTTCCTCCCCAACAGGAAATGTGGCCATGGGACCACAGAGCTGCAGCTGTACAGAAAGTTGGGATAACAAGTGTGACTGTCCCAGAAAGTTTCCAAGATTAGTGATTGGACAAATGCTGTGGGAAGATGGCTTCATGCAATGAAGTCCTAAAAAGGGCATTTACTGATATAACAATGGAGCATTTGCAATGTGGAATCCAAGTAGTGTGGAGAAAAAACAACAACATCAGCGATTGAATGAACTCATGCTGGACACCAGAGATCATAGGTTTGAAGTGCTATTCCCACTGCTAAACACAGCCTGTGTCTTCTTTTGCTTGCACTTCCCAACAGCTGCATATACATCTCACAGCATGCAGTTATCCAGTTGTAGGGTTTGTACAATATTTATTCATTTATTTATTTATTTATTTATTTATTTATTTACTGCATTTATATACCACTTTTCTCACCCCTGGAGGGACTCAAAGATATGTAAATCAACTAATGGCAAGATTCCATGCCAACATATATACAAAACCAAAGTATAATAACTAGACCAATAACCTAGAACTATAAATTAAACCATTAAAATCATATTAAAAATAGAACATAAACAGGCATGGAAACAATTAAAACATACAATTAAAAACATCTTAATATACGAGGGTTATCCAGAAAGTAAGGTCACAAGGCACGTAGCTCTCGCTGGGAATCTTCTCAGGGGAAGTTGGTATCACTGCTGTGTAGCGGGAAGCCAGCGGAAGCAAACAAAGCAGTGCCAGCCGTCAGAGGCTCATTGATTGGTGTTGTGGTGAAGGTTAGAAATGAGAGTCCTCATTTCATTCCCCTCCAAGTGTGAAGTTCGCGCTGTAATATGCTACCTAAATGCTAAAGGCATGAATGCCACTGTGATTCGTTGCAAAATCATTTCAGTTTATGGAGAGGACATAATGTCAAAACAGCATGTGACAAGATGGGTATGGAATATATTGTGAGACCATGAAGAAACTTCGCAGAGACATCCAAAACAAACACTGTGGGATGCTGATGGTGGAAGTCTGTCTCCCTCATGACAATGCACATCCGTACACTGCTCATGTAACACAGCCCCCCCCCCCCCGAAATTCTCATGGTGTTTCGCGAAAAGGCCTTACTGGTGCATTATTTAAACTGTTATGTTTATTCATATCATGATCTGATCACCATACTCAATATATCCCATATGCATGGGGGTATTGGGGTAATGATACAAAAGGTTTGCTAGGCTAGACCCTCTTTCACTCAGACTCACCCCCCCCCAAAACTCAGCCCTCCCGAACCCCCCCTTAAAATTTTTTAGCCCCCCCCCAAATGAAATCCTGGCTACGGGCCTGTTCATGACAATGCCCATTCTCATACAGCTCATGCAATACAAGAGTTGTTGACTCCATTTGGTTGGAGTGTTTTAAGCCACCCCTCTCACAGCCCCGATCCCACACCCAGTGACTATCACCTGTTCACTAAATTGAAGGAACACTTTGGTGGAAAATACTTTTCCAACCACAACAAGGTGAAAATTGAAGTGATGAACTAGTTGAAAAAGGCAGAGGGAAACTTCTATGACACAGGCATCAAAAACTCGTCCCACGGATGACAAAATGTATTGAACTGAATGGTGATTATGTGGAAAAATAATGTAATGCCTATGCCATAATCCATGTAAATTTTATTAAAATAGATTCCTTGTTTGTATTTTAAAAAAAATCTTGTAGCCTCCCTTTCTGGATAACCCTTGTAAAAAATCATATAATCCAGAATCGTAATCCGAAGCCATTCCTATTGTCAATTGCACTTATTCCTATTCATTTCTTGTACTGCTGTACTTTACGGCCCAAAGGCTTGGTCCCTCAGCCGTGTTTTTACATTTTTTCTGAAGGCCAGGAGGGAGGGCATTGATCTAATTTCACTGGTGAAGGAATTCCAGAGCCAAGGGGACACCACTGAGAAGGCCCCGTCAAAAAACGGAAATATTGCTTGTTTCCATACACATTTGGACGAACAAAAAAAAAATTCAAGGCAAAGGGTGTGCTAAAATATAATGCTTTAACAGTGTTTGAGTTGAATGGAGAAAAAAAATAATTCAGGCACCTGAAGAATGCTTTCTCTTGTACGAAAACTAAATTTGCCAATTTGATTGTCAATGTCCTGGATGCTTAACATTAATGTGGATGGAATATATCTGTAAGGGAGAGAAATGTTTCTTAGCTATTAAAACACAAATGCAAATGTTTCCCACCTAGCAATTAAAAGAAAACACTTTTACTGGCTTTCTGTATATTCCCTTACTGCAAAGAAGTATAGTTTTCGTTCTTTTAAAAAAAATCCAATCATATCATTGGGGAGTTTTCAATAAAATTCTTGAAAATACTAACTATATAAGCAGTATAGGAACAACATGGCCTATCTTTTACAAAGAGGGGTGGTTTGAAATGACTGATATGAAGTAAAATGTCTATTTCTGTACACTACTGCAATTTTTTGACGTATACCAGTAAAAAGTCACACACTGTACAAAAGCAACCCTCCCCGACCTGAAAATCGCAGATCTTGGCAAACAGACTTTATTTCTGCCTTTAGTACAAAGAGTCAAGTAGAAGCTGGCAAGGCCCTTGAATGTGTCAAGAACAGATGGAAAGTTCAGAGTCACCATGCCCTGACCTAATAATGGTGGGAAAACACATAGCATGTGGGTAGAGCACATCCAGGTGCTGTGTGGAAGGCTGTCTGGGAAAGGTGCCAGCAGCAACCGTTTCTACCGTGTGTAAAGCATTCATATACTGTTCTCTTAAGATTACTCATAAGGGCAGAATTGGCAGTTCCATCCTCAGCAAGGCAATAACTAGACTGGAATACATATTCAGGTATCAGCATGAACATCTGGTATGTTGCCACCAAGGAAATACGGAGATAGTCTAGTACAGCCCCTTGGACTCTTTTCTCAGGCCCTCCTTTCTCTTGCCATCCTTTCCTTCCTTCTCTCTTTCCTTTCTCCTTCCCTCCCTCCCTTCCTTACCTCCCTCTTTCTTCCTCCCTCCTTCCTTCCCTTCCACCCTTTTGTGCTTCTTTCCCTCCCTCCTCCCTCCTTCCCTCTCTTCCTTCCTTCCGTCCATCCTCCCTTCCCCTTTTGTCATTTCTTCCTTCTCTCCTTCCTCCTTCACCCTCTCTCTTTCTCCTTCCTTCCTTTCCTTACTTATCTTTTGTCTTTCCTTCCTTCCCTCTTTCCTCTCTCCTTCATTCTCCTTCCTTCCTTCTTTCTTCCCCTTTTGTCTTCTTTCTTCTCCTCTTCCTTCCTCCTTCCCTCTCTCTCTCTTTCTCCTTCCTTCCTTCCTTCCTTCCTTTTCCTTTCCTTTCCTTCCCTTTCCTCCTCCTTCCTCTCTTTTCCTTCCTTCCTTCCTTCCCTTTCTTTGTCTTTCCTCCCTTTTCCCCTTCCCTCCCTCCTTTCCTCTCTTTCTCCTTCTTCCTTCTTCCTTCTCTTTCTCCTCCCTCCTATTCCCTCCATTCCCTCCCTCCCTCCCTTCCTTCCTTCTCTTCACCCTTTTCTTTCTCCCTTCTTTTTCTTTTTTCTTTTCCTTTCTTCCTGGGGGATGTTTAGCTGGGAGAAGAGAAGGTGGAGAGGGAACATGAGAACCATATTTCAAGACTTAAAAAGGTGTCCCATTGAGGAGGGCAAGGGACTGACTTTCTGCTGCTCTAGAGACCAGGGCACAAGCAATGGTTTCAAATGACAAAGAAAGCGATTCAACTGAAAAGATTAGGAAGAACATCCTGAGAGTAAGAGCTGTTGGAGAGTGGCATAAGCTGCCTGGGAGTGTAGTGGCGTCTCCTTCTCTGGAGGTTTTCCACAGAGGCTGTCTACTGGGAGTGCTCTGATTGTGCCTTCCTGCATGGCAGGGGGTTGGACAGGATGGCCTTAGAGGTCTCTTCCTGCTGGCTGTTAGGAATTGTGGGAGTTGAAGTCCAAAACACCTGGAGGGCCAAAGCTTGCCCATGCCTGCCTTAGAGGGTTACATCCCTGTAGCTCCCCCTGCAAAAACCTATGCTAAATGTTTGTCCTCACACACTTCCAAACATCCTGGGTGGAGGCAATGAGGGCATTTTCACTATGTTTTGGGAATATCCTGAGCCATTCTAGGCCCAGTGACAAGAAGCCACTTTCCTATCCTTACTTTTAAAAGACATTTCCTGGATGCAAATTGGCTGAGAGGGGCACATGGCCCACAGCTGCACTTTGGCCATCCCGGTTCTATACAACACAGCATATAGTGTACTGTAAGTTAATCTGGAGCATGACATCTCAAACCGAGTGGTGATATACTTACAACATGACTGAAATACTCACAAACCCCTGTCTTACCTATCAACACTACTGTCCTGGCGTTCAAGAGAAGTAATAAATGTTGGCGCAGGCTGGTCTGTTTTTTCTTTGTGCGTTGCAAATTCAAAATACACCGGCCTTAAGTACAGGTGGAACTCGTCAAAACCCATTTCTCCTGCAAATTCCTTGTACAGTCTAAAAGGGAAACGAATACGTCTGAAGCTACATATGCCATTATACCTTAGGATGATTTTGAAACTCAGGATACATATATGTATGTACTGTACATATTTAATTCATGCTGTGTCTTTCTCTCAACATGGGATTCAAGATTCCTGACAACAAGTCTCAAGTAGAACAGCTCCATTCAATCAATTGTTGAATGAAGAGTCGACTCATAGGTAATTCCCACTGATTCAATGAGTCTATTCCATTGGTTCTCAACCTGTGGGTCTCCAGGTGTTTTGGCCTACAACTCCTAGAAATCCCGGCCAGTTTAGCATCTGTTAGGATTTCTGGGAACTGAAGGCCAAAGCATCTGGGGACACACAGGTTGAGAACCACTGGCCTATTCTAATTAGGACTAAAATTAAGAGCCCCCTATGGCGCAATGAGTTAAACCCTTGTGCCGGCAGGACTGCTGACCAAAAGGAGGTGGGACCAAGAGCAGGGCCTCCCCAAATGATCTTAATCTCCGAAATGGTTTATAGAGGAAGATATGTTCGGATAGGTACGCTGGCCAGGAACCGTTCAAATAATAATAATCTTTATTTATATCCTGCCCCCGCCCGATGAAATATTGTACTGGAGGATCCAAGAGACCCACAAACACTTCTGTGCGGACTGTGTGTGTGTTTTTGTTTTTGATTTTGTTTTTTGGAGCATGGGCAACTGAAGCCATAGATATGTGGAGTTCGTACTGTATAGTAATGTATTCCCCATTCCCACCCACCCCCCAACATGAAAACAGTTTAGAGCAAGCCCTACCATCTGTCTCTCCACAGAGCAGCAGTGGGGAATGACTGGATCTCCAGATGTTCCCATCATTCCTGATGTAGACCACTGACTAGTGACGAGTGATGGAATCCACAATGAAAAGGCCACAGTTTCTCCCTCCCATCATAAAGGGTTCAACAGAATACTCTACATTCCAATACTAACCTGCCCATCTGTGCACTCTCCATTGCTGCCTCTATCAATCGATGGCGAAGGACTAGAAGTTCAAGAAGCCTTGAGAAGATGTTCAGAATTAACGTTTGTTTTTCTTTATTCCCTTTATTCTGTTCCTCCTTTGCTACTGACTTCAGTGCCGAAACAGCAATCTCCCTTACAAGAGACGGATCTTCAACCAAAACCTCTGTAAATAACTACCAAGGAAACATTGACTTATAAACTTCCAATACAAAGAATGCAATAAATTGTGTTATTGATTTTATGACAGCCATTTCATTGGTCGCACTGTTATGTCTTAACCTGGAAATACTTCAGTGAAAGTCAGACTACAATTTATTTTATCGGTATATAAAACAGACCTTTTTGTCACATCATCCTTTATACTTCTTCATGCTTCATAGTAAAATATCAGCAAAAAAATATTAGGTCTGGAAACATTTTTATGTAACTGGATTGTTGTGTTTTTTCCAGGCTATATAGCCATGTTCTAGAAGCATTCTCTCCTGATGTTTTGCCTGCATCTATGGCAGGCATCCTCAGAGGTTGTGAGATCCTCACAACCTCTTAGGATGCCTGCCACAGATGCAGCCAAAATGTCAGGAGAGAATGCTTCTAGAACATGGCCACACAGCCCAGAAAACACACAACAACTCAGTGATTCCAGCCATGAAAGCCTTTGACAATACACTTTTATGTAACTAACAATAGTGCCTGTTATAAAGAAATAACTGCTAGGGTTTGTTTTCTACTGTTTTTCCATATATATTAAAATAAAACACAATTGGATGTCATGCATTTCTGCTGAAAAACTTGACAAAACTTTAAAAAATTGAAACCAAACAAGCCGTAGGCAGAAGACAGCAGGTAATATAAAAACAAATACAGCAGTGAAGAGGAATTGGCTAGAAAAGCAAGTCTGTCAACATCCTTCAAGCCAAATGACTGCCAATCTGGTCAGTTTATGTTTTACTTTGAGTGGAAGGACAGCAGGGAGGAGAAGGAAAAGAAATGAAATTGGGCATTTAATAAAATAAGTGCAGCAAAAGAAAAGGCCCTGTTATGTGCCCGAGGCCAAACTTGAGCTAACAGTGGAACATAAAGAAGAGAGTTACATTATCCTTTTTTTCCATATCAAGAGTGACTTGAGAAACTGCAAGTCGCTTCTGGTTTGAGAGGATTGGCTGTCTGCAAGGACGTTGCCCAGGGGGCGCCCAGATGTTTGATGTTTTACCATCCTGTGGGAAGCTTCCCTCATGTCCCCACGTGGGGAGCTGGAGCTGACAGAGGGAGCTCACCCTGCTCCTTGGATTTGAACCGCCAACCTGTTGGTCAGCAGTCCTGCCAGCACAAGGGTTTCATCCATTGCGCCACCATGAAAGCAGACAGGCTTATGGAGTACATTCTTTCTTGGATTTTACTTAACCATAAAAAATTAATAAACATATTTCTTTAATAATCAAATCCTTCTGAAGAGTGCAACAAGGATCTTTATCCAGTTTACAAAGGCCCCATCTATACGGCCATATAATGCATTGAACTGGATTGTATAAGTCCACACTGCCATAGGATCTAGTTCAATGCAGTTAATCTGCATTCCAAAACTGCATTAGATGACAGTGTGGATGGAGCCAAATACATTAATCAAATATCTATACTGATTCAATATGACCAGTGAAGAAACACTGATAACACGGATTGAGTTCTGCAACAGCAAGTACTTTGTGGTGAGTAACATGACTTTTGAGCGAGGGTAGAGAACATGTTGGACAGCAATTCCCATCAGTGCTAGGTCTTTTTTTTCCCTTTTATAGTGAAATAGAGGCCAGGAGGAGAGCTTTTTGCATCTTTCATATCTTTTTGATATGAAAGATCGTAGAATGATAGAATCATAGAGTTGGAAGAGACCTCATGGGCCATCCAGTCCAACCTGCTGCCAAGAAGCAGGAAAATTGCATTCAAATCACCCCTGACAGATGGCCATCCAGCTTCTGCTTAAAAGCCTCCAGAGAAGGAGCCTCCACTATACTCCAGGGCAGAGAGTTCCATTGGTGAACAGCCCCCACAGTTAGGAAGCTCTTCCTAATGTTCAAGTGGAATCTCCTTTCCTGTAGTTTGAAGCCATTGTTCTGTGTCCTAGTCTCCAGGGCAGCAGAAAACAAGCTTGCTCCCTCCTCCCTATGACTTCTTCTCACATACTTATACATGTCTCCTCTCAGCCTTCTCTTTTTCGGGCTAAACATGCCTAGCTCTTTAAGCCACTCCTCGTAGGGCTTGTTCTCCAGACCCTTGATCATTTTAGTCGCCCTCCTCTAGACACATTCCAACATGTCACCATCTCCCTTCAATTGCGGTGCCCAGAATTGGACACAGTGTGATTCCAGGTGTAGTCTGACAAAGGCAAAATAGAGAGGTAACATGTCTTCCCTAGATCTAGGCACTATGCTCCTATTGATGCAGGCCAAAATCCCATTAGCTTTTTTTTGCTGCTGCATCACATTGTTGGCTCATGTTAACTTGTTGTCCACAAGGACTCCAAGATCTTTTTTACACGTACTGCTGTTCAGCCAGGCATCGCCTCCAATTCTGTATCTTTGCATTTCATTTTTTTTGCCATTCATTTTTTCTGCATTTGTTGCTGTTGAAGTTCATTTTGTAAGTTTTGGCCAATCATCTCTCTAATCTGTGAAGATCGTTTTGCATCCTGCTCCTGTCCTCTGGAGTATTAGCTATTCCTCCCAATTTGGTGTCGTCTGCAAACTTGATGATCTTGCCTTCTAACACTTCATCTCAGTCATTAATCACTTAATCCCAGCTAAATGTTGTTCTCCTGTGACAACTGAAATTTAACTATGCCAAATGGTGAAGCCAACCTAGATTAAATATATATTACATTGCAGTCTGTGTTATTTATTTCAAAACAATATTAAATTCACCATAAAGTTTTGAAGAGCAAGACAAGCATACCTCCTTCTGTGTTTGAGAGCCGTAGAAAGACCCAGGACTTTCCAGGGTCAGCCATGTATCCAGAGCAAGATGAAGCACTTGCTTCTCCAGTTGAATTGCCTCTTGGGCTGTCTTTGGCCTACAGATTTGCTGGAACTCTTGCAAGATATGACCCAAAGCTTTTGGGATTAAAGATATCAGGCCAAGAGATGGGTGAAACTCTAACAAATAGATGTTCTTCAAAGCTGTGCTTTAAAAAGAAGGGGAAAGATAAAAGAATGATGAAAACTTATGATGATGAAATGGGGGAGGAAGAGAAAAACTCTTGTTTTAAAAGAAAGTCACAAGGATCTTCATAGTCAAGATAGGAACAATGAACAAGGAAACCCAAAAAAGAAAATAAAGTTACCAGGTGTCCTTCACTTCATATACAGCAAAATGACTATGATGTTTTTAATTGGACTAATCACATCAGACAAGTTCATTGTGAGGGGCTTCCAATGGCGCAATGGGTTAAACCTTTGTGCCGGCAGGACAGCTGACCAGAAGGTCGGTGCTTTGAATCCGGGGAGCAGGGTGAATTCCCGTCTGTCAGCTCCAGCTTCCCATGCGGAGACATGAGAGAAGCCTCCCACAGGATGGTAACACACCCAGCCATCCCCAGGGCAACATCCTTGCAGACAGCCAATTCTCTCACACCAGAAGTGACTTGCAGTTTCTCAAGTCACTCCTGACATGAAAAAAGAGTAGGATTTTTTAAAATAACATCCAAATTTTGATATTAAAGAAACTTTATTATTATCAACCAGAAATGAATAATCAACCAAGATATTATGCATAGATATGTACTGGTGTAAGATACAAATAATTACATGCATACCTGTTAGTGTTTGTTGGGAAAACAATTATTTTTTACATTTTTAATTAGACATGAAAAATAGAAATGCTGCAGCTAACAAACACTCAGCTACACAAACTTAATGAGTTTCCTAAAACAGAATCACTATAATTATATTGGCAGAGAAACAAATATTACTCACGGGCTGTTATTAACAGCAATTAATTGTTTTGGAACAATATATGGGGGGAAACCAAATTCTTGGATGCCACCTTTGGGTCCATCACGCCAAATCTTGTGGTTATAATCACGCTGTGTATCTATCTGAAAATCAACAGGCAAAAAAATGTCTACAAGATATAGCAATTGCTGAATTTTTTCTAGGACATGTGCTTAAATAACATATCAATGATATTACAGGTATTATAATAATAGAATCATAGAGTGGGAAGAGACCACCTTGTGGGTCATCCAGTCCAACCCCCTGCCAAGAAGTAGGAAAATCGCATTCAAAGCACCCACGACAGATGGCCATCCAGCCTCTGCTTCAAAGCCTCCAAAGAAGGAGCCTCCACCACACTCCGGGGCGGAGAGTTCCACTGCTGAACAGCTCTAACAGTTAGGAAGTTCTTCCTCATGTTCACGTGGAATCTCCCTTCCTGTAGTTTGAAGCCATTGCTCCGCATCTTCGTCTCCAGGGCAGCAGAAAAAAGCTTTCTCCCTCTTCCCTATGACTTCCCCTCACATATTTATGTATGGCCATTATGTCTCCTCTCAGTCTTCTCTTCTGCACGCTAAACATGTCCAGATCATTAAGCCGCTCCTCATTGGGCTTGTTCTCCAGACTCCTGATCATTTTAGTCACCCTCCCCTGAACACATTCCAGCTTGTCAACATCTCCCTTAAATTGCAATGCTCATTGTAGACAGATGTGCTGGCACAATGGTCAAGAATGAGGTAAATATTTTTACACAATGTACATGTTTTGAAAATTAGATTCACCTATAATAATATAACTTGGACCATTTTGTGTTTTAACATGTATGGCTGAATAGTTCCTTGTAGAACTGGTACCGAAATTAACCATATCACAGAAAATTCTCAAAGCCCAACCCAACTGGCCACGCTGGCTGGGACATCATGCGAACTTTAGTTTCCCCAAATAAACTTTTCCAAGCTCTGACCTGGTACAACCTTGGTTGAAACGAGCATTTGTTGTCCTGCGCATAACTCCAAGTCTGCTCACCTGCTGGTTCAATATATCCCTCGCCAGCTGTGTGTGAAGCCTTAGGCAAGCACACTCATCCTTATAGAGGTTCACAAAATATCCAAGGTGGAAATCAATTCGAGGGCGTCTAGACATGACATCGGTTATTGCTTGGGCCAAAGCAAATCTTTCTTCCCAAACTAAAGCATGTTGGTATGCTTCAAAGTAACTATCCAGGAGCTGAAAAGATGTTTAAAACAAAGAAAAGCTGGTTTCTTTCTATTCTTTTACACTGCTTCCTATTAATTTTATATACTAATCATAAAACTATTTCAGGATGAAAGAAATACTTAGAAAGTTTGAAATAACTACTTCAGGAGTTTGCCAGATCTTTGTCTGGGATTTTCTTTATATTGCATGTCCATATGGGTTCATAGCCCAAAAAAGGTTAAACACACTCAAACAGACTCTATGTCATATCTGAACCAGTCCTACACTTAGAGCCCCATCATATTACAATGTTATAGAACTATTATTCCACTTCAATAACTTCCATGGTAATTATGGAATACATTATGGGATCCTGGAGTTGCAGTTTGGAGGGGGTTGTTGTTTACAGTCCTCAATCTGAGTGCTCTTAAAATCCCAAACTTGGAAGTGACCATAATGGCTATCCAGTCCAACCTCCTGCCATGCAGGAAAAGCACAATCAAAGCACCCCCAACAGGTGGCCATCCAACCTCTGCTTAAAAGCTGCCAAGGAAGGAGCCTCCACACACTCTGAGACAGAGAGTTCCACTGCTGAACAGCTCTTATAGTCAGGAAGTTCTTCTGAATGTTTAGGTGGAATCTCCTCTCCTGTAATTTGCTGAGTCCTAGTCTCCAGGGCAACAGAAAACAAGACTGTTTGCTCTTCCTTGTGACACCCTTTCACATATTTATAAATGGTTATCCTGTCTTCTCTCAGCCTTCTCTTCTGCAGGCTAAACATACCCAGTTCTTTAAGATGCTCCGCATAGGGCATAGTCTCCAGACCTTTGATCCTTGGGTCGCAATAAATTACAAATGCCAGATTTCCTGAGAATGTTGCCATGTAGTTTTGCAATGGCTGCCAGTATGCTTCCTGCCAAAATTCATTTAAAGCCCTACTTTTTTAAAAAAAAGTCTTCACCTCTTGACAAAAGGATACCAGTGAAGGAGCCTTGGCATACATCCTAACAATCTTTCAGCTTTAATTGCTCTATTAAAAATATATATAGAAATTTGTGGAGAGCTTTAGAGGGAAGAAAATCTGCAAGGAAATAGAAAGGTTTACCTCTCTGCAAATGTAAAAAGGACAACAAATTAGATAAAGACTCTTCTGTCCAGCTCAAGGTGCAACTGAACGTGGCCTGTTTTGCCCAGAAAGGGATGCACTTGGTAGAGCAGCCAAAGGTGATCAAAGGCACAATGGGCAATTGATCTTACCTGTGTCTCCACAAATAACAGTAAGTCCAAGTGGTCACAAATAACATTAAGTCCAATCCCAAGTCCCTACCCTTTTGGGATTTTTGTGATGTTGAATTAAATTCAATTGTGAAATGCTAACAACAGCTTTTTGCCTATGTAGATGGTATGTACAGTTCTACATACAATTGTACCCACTAATACACACACACACACACACACACAAACACACACACACACACAAACACAGACATGCACATGTTGCTAACAAATATGTATACCTGCTGTTTGTTTTTCAAGAATCCTGTTTCACAAGTCCAAAGGTCAAGCAGCACTGCAGAACGATCCACTGACCCATGTGCCCATCTTGAATTATTGTTGGGATTATTGCTGGCTTTCTGGCCTTGGAAAGAAAAAAGATTGTTCAACAGATATTGCTAAGGAAACTAATATTCAAGCAGCCACAGAACCTGCAGTTGAGAATCCTCAATTGATCTGGGTAGGCTTTATTTCTCCAAGCTCTGTGTTCTAATTTGGAAGGGTCTCTCTGCTTCACACAACCCAACAGTAGTCAACACACATAGAAGTTTCTTCAGATGTTTCACCAAAGTCTGCTGTGTACTATGGGAGCTCTCAGGACGATAGCTGGAGCCCCTAGCTTGACATCTGCAACACCCACCAATACCGCCATCGGAAGCCATATCTTCTTATAATTTTTTGCATTTTTCACATCTACTTGTATTTCTGTAGAAGTGCAGTACTTTGACTACAGGACAAGGAAGTGTCGGCCTCCTGCTGTCCTGATATCTTCCTTTTGGTTTGGGCCCCACACTAAACAAGTGGAATCTGTCCCTAAGAGAAGGGATAAGCACCTCTGATTTCAGCATGCCTACTTGCCAATTAAAATTGCTTCCTTTTAGAACAGGAAAAGAGAACAAGTGTTTGTTGTAGGTCAGTGTGTTTCTCAACCTGGGAGGAGGGACCCCTGGGAGGAGGGGTTGTGATGGAGTGTTAGAGGGGTTGCCAAAGACCATCAGAAAACACAGTATTTTTCTGTTGGTCATGGGGTTCTGTGTGGGAAGTTTGGCCCGATTCTATCATTGGTAGAGTTCAGAATGCTGTCTGTTTATAAGGGAACTATAAATCACAGCAACGACAACTCCCAATATCAAAGCCTTTTTTCCCCAAACTCCACCAGTGTTCACATTTGGGCATATTGAGTATTTGTGCCAAGTTTGGTCCAGATCCATCATTGCTGGATCACCCAGGTCACCCTTGTTTAAATTCTTGTACTGTTTTTATACTGTTTTATTGTTATTGTTACTACTTTAATGGCTTATTATGTTATTGTATAAGCATTTTTTTGATGTTGTCGTGTGTCTTGTGTGTATTTTATTTTGCTTTATTGTAATTGCTTGGTTTGGCCCCATGTTAGCCGCCCCAAGTCCCTTCGGGGAGATGGAGGAGGGGTACAACTAAAGTTATTAGTTATGATTATTCTTTGAGTCCACAGTGCTCTCTGGATGTAGGTGAACTACAACTCCCAAACTCAAAGTCAATGCCCACCAGACCCTTCCAGTATTTTCAGTTGGTCGTGGGAGTTCTGTGTGCCAAGTTTGGTTCAATTCCATCACTGCAGTTATGAAGTACCAACAAACATAATGTTATGATTGGGGGGGGGTCACCATAATATAACACACTGTATTAAGGGGTCGCAGCATTAGGAAGGTTGAGAACCACTGTTGTAGGTGATGGGAGCCAGGACCAATCTGTTGCAACAAGAAGAACCCATGAAGGTGAGGGAGGGTAGCCGAGGATTCGAAGGATAGCATTTCACCTGTAAGTGATGTGTTTTTTGTGCATGACCTTTATGTGTGGCCTCAATTTAGGGTTGCCAGATGAAATATAGAACAGGTGTCCTGTACATTTATTGGTTGTGTAGAAGAAGACATTCCACAGGGGCCACTTGCATGATAAGCCATCAATACTTGCTGGAATTCCCTCTTGTATGTAACTGTTCAGGGTGCAGGCACCCGGTCCATATTATATCTGGTATCCCTACCTGAATCCCATTGGTAGTCATAGAGTAGACTCATTCAATCCACTGACTACATTTGGGCTGTGTCATTTTCTACACGGTTGCGCTGAAGATATTACAGAAATGATTAATGTACCACCACCTTACCTCTTTCCCTTTCGATGTACTGGGTTGCCACAAGCAAAAGCTGTTCTTCTAGCTCTTTCAGGTCTTGGAGGGCTACATCATAGATTACAAAAGCCCCCCTCTGATCCTGTGTGTGAATGTACATGTCTTCTACTGTGTAAAAGTCATCATGATTTTCTACCTCTGCAAACTCCATAAACTGTACACTGTGAACCTACAAAACAACATGTATTTTTTAAAAGAGAGAAATAAAAGCTGGCTACAAAGTATATTACAAACTAAAACATGTTTGCATTTTTCACATCTTCTTGGCAAATCTCCAGAAATGTGGGAGAAGATCCTTTTAGTGATGAGAAACAAATCCAATGATCTTGACTGATAGTGCAAACTCCTTGGAGGAGTTTGAAGATTAGCCTAACTGGAGGGTTTGGGTCTGTAAAACAGGAAATCAAAAGACAATGGAACAACACTTGCGGTCAGATATTATAGCTGTCACACAGCCAACATGTGAATGATAACCAAATATGGAAAGACAAAATGTAGGGAATGTAAATGTGAATGATGATTAAAGTACTTCTTGCATATTTTTATGTAAACACAGCACTTCTATCTGAATTGCTTTTACATTTTAGACATATTCTCCTTATATACAAATGTATAGGGAAATCTTGAGTGGCATCCAACCTCTCAGTGTAAGCAGAAAGAGGCTACATTTACAGAATGAGAGTTGCATCTATGGAAGGGAAAAGGTACCCGTAGTGTAATTACACCACTCAGTGTAATTTACACCACTCAGACTTTCCAAAAAGAGATGTAAAATCTCAAGTCAACACACCTGCTGGCACTCCTTGGGCAAATTCTAGGAGAAAGTCACTTGTTTTGAAATATATATTGAACAGAACACTTTTTATTCAGATTATTTTACAAGGACTTTCTAAAGTTTCAACATTATAGTCATCCTGTATTACTGTTGGATTCCTAAACCCAAAAGGTTGGAAAACCCCATCTGCCATTCGGGGATAAAGGGCTGCAACTAGACTGTGGAAACAAATTGGCATCCAAGAAACGGTGTCCTGATATGCTTTGTATACACGTATGGACCCCTTTGGTTCTTTAGCTCTCTTTGTCTTCAGTGAAAGAAACGTTTCTAATTGAATGTAAAATTAGAATGCTACAATCTTGTTTAATCTGTAAAATAGAAGAAGATGCTGCAATCCAAAGTATAATTTCTAAAGATCAAGAGCTATGGGGATTACTGGAACATTTGGGTAGAAGGGCAAAAGATTTCCACTGTCTGTTTTCCAGAAATATGGGGTTAGTTCAGGGAATTTTGTAGTGCTTGAGTTTGATGTTCTTGCCTAGCAGTTTTTTTCCATGTCAGGAGTGATTTGAGAAACTGCAAGTCGCTTCTGGTGTGAGAATTGGCCACCTGCAAGGGCATTGCCCAGGAGACACCTGGATGTTTCACCACCCTTTGGGATGCTTCTCTCATGTCCACACATGGGAAGCTGGAGCTGACAGACAGGAGCTCACCTTGCTCCCCAGATTCAAACCACCAACCTTTCAGTCAGCAGTCCTGCTGGCACAAGGGTTTAATTCATTGTGCCACTGGGGGCTCCACCTAGCAGTTAAGAAAGGGCAGCTTAGAATTGGATAAGGAGCAGCCACATGCACTTTCCCAAAGACAAACAGCATTTAAATTTTCACACCACGCTTTGTCAGTTTGATTAAACAGAGCATGCCATAAATACAGTCAAGCCCATTCCCTTTGAAATAAGACTGAGAATTCCCCTAAAGACCTTGATGTGGGCTTGTAATGTAAAATGAATATACTGTGTTTGGGTTGCTGTGAGTGTTCCAGGCTGTATGGCCATGTTCCAGAAGCATTCTCTCCTGACATTGCGCCTGCAGCTATGGCAGGCATCCTCAGAGGTTGTGAGGTCTCATGGCTGTATGAACATGACCATATAACCCGAAAAATTTACAACAACCCAGTGATTCCAGCCTTGAAAACCTTCGACAAGACATTATGCTGTGCCTACTATGCAGATGTTCTGTGACAAAAAGTCTCACCTTATAGTCGGCTGGCATATAATGCACATAGGAGTGTGATTCAAGTCCACCGAAGGCACCAATGCCCCCCTTGGCTGCATTTACCCAACAGGAGTCTTCAGCAGAGGAAACCAAATGGCCAGCATTCAAGGCAAGGCCGCAAGTGTTGATTGTTAGTGTTCTTTCGATGGATCTGAAGTAGTTGAGGATTCCCAAGCAAATTCTCTGGCACAAATTGGACAACAATAACATGTATAAATTAAAACAACCAGAACAATCACCACAAATAGGAAGGCATAATTAAATAATTATTATAATTATAATTATATAAATAATTATTAATATAATATGAATAATTATTAATATAATAAGCTGACATGATATGAGAATTTAAAGATAGAACTATAAGGACTTTGGCACAAGCCAGTAAAGGTGGTCCCAGCTGTGATCGGCACACTGGGTGCAGTGCCTGAAGACCTTGGCCTGCACTTAAACACAATCAGCGCTGTCAAAATTACCATCTGCCAGCTGCAGAATGCCACCTTACTGGGATCTGCACACATTATTTGCCGATACATCACACAGTCCTAGACAATTGGGAAGTGTCCGACGTGTGATCCAATACAACAGCCAGCAGAGTGATCTTGTTTGCTGTGGACTCATATTGTTGTGTTTCTAATAATAATAATACTAATCATCATCATCATCATCATCATCACTGTCCTAGACACTTGGGAAGTGTTCGACTTGTGATTTTGTGATATGTAGTCCAGCATATAGATCTTGTTTACTGTGACATATTGTGCTTTTGTGTCAGTAAAATAATAATAATCATTATCATCATCATCATCATCATCATCATCATCATCATCATCATCGTAACCACCACAAACAGGAAGGCCTTGAATCGTAAGCTTCATGGAAAAGGTTTTCAATATTTCCTTTCTTTTTTTTTACCTGCAGTTCCCGAATCCTCAAGTGACGCAAATAAAGGAGAGATAAATAGGCTCCTTTTCTTGAGACAAGGTCCTTGTCACTGGCCTCCATGTCCTCATCTAGCCCCAGCAGCCGCAAAGTGGTTGTATAACTATATATTGTTTTTTCCAAGAAGGAGAAATTTAATTAATCACTGCTCCTCAAACAGATTTCTAAGACACTTCTAAATTAAATAATCTCCTTATATTTTGTCTTCTTGAGGCGAACTCCCTACTGAGGTCACTTACACAGAAAACTCTGCACCAGTATGAAATTTAAAAAGAAAGAGGCAATATATTCTGATTCAGTCACATTTTAGGTGGTAAGCAGTAAATAAGGAATATCTACATTGTTGATCTAGTGCAGACATGGGCAAACTTTGGCCCTCTAGGTATTTTGGACTCCAACTCCCACCATTCCTAACAGCCTCAGGCCCCTTCCTTTTCCCCCTCAGCCGCTTAAGTGGCTGAGGGGGAAAAGGAAAGGGCACGAGGCTGTTAGGAATGGTGGGAGTTGGAGTCCAAAATACTTAGCAAAAGAAACTTCTTCTGATCTAATCTTGCCAAGAAAACCTCATGACAACAACATTTAAGCACATACAAATACAATGCACACATTTAAGGCACTAAAGCTCTACCCAGTTATGGTTAAGATATTTCAATCCAGAGAAAGTACCTTTGTCTTTCCGCAGCATTTAACACTCCCACATTTCCTGCCCTGTTCTCTCCTATCACTACCCATAACTATTTCCCCTAAATTCCTGAAGCAGGTGAAACATTCAGCTCACTTCCCAGTAGGCATTAGGATATAAGAAAGAAAGACTCACATACTAGACAAAGTGAAAGAAATAGGAGCTCTTTCTGGTGGCAGAAAGTTACTGCTTGTCATAGCACATGGTTTCCTTATAATGTATCTTACACTGAGCTCCCAGTGGCACAATGCGGTAAACCTTTGTGCCAGCAGGACTGCAGACCAACAGGTTGGAGGTTTGAATCCAGGGAGAGCACAGATGAGCTCCCTCTGTCAGCTCCAGCTCCCCATGCGGGGGCATGAGAGAAGCTTCCCACAAGGATGGCAAAACATCCAGGCAACCCTTGGGCAACGTTCTTGCAGACGAACAATTCTCTTATACCAGAAGCGACTTGCAGTTTCTCAAGTTGCTCCTGGCACACACACAAAAAAGCATGCTTTGTTTGTGGTTGTTCACTTGGTTTTTTTGTATGTAAACACAGTCTGCATCAGTAAGTGTGACTTCTGGAAATCCCAAAATGAGAGGGAAGCCAAACAGATTTTTAAGAATTATTATAAAATCCAATTTTAACTTATAATTATTATATATAATAATAGTGAATGCATTCTCATTGCATAAGGTTTTATAGCATGGATGTTCGTAGACCAAAGAGTTTATCACACAAAGTAGGCAAATTGCAATTTCAGCAGTGTCTATGACTGGACCTCATTACATAAAGCCGTCCTTCTTCTGTGATTCTCCTAGTACAGTGGTTCTCAACCTGTGGGTCCCCAGATGTTTTGGCCTTCAACTCCCAGAAAACCTAACAGCTGGTAAACTAGCAAGGATTTCTGGGAGTTGAAGGTCAAAACACCTGGGGACCCACAAGTTGAGAATCACATGGGAAGTCTTTCTTTTACAAGTACAGATAATCTGATGATAACCTGTTTCTGTGAAAGCAAAACATTCCATCAGACTCCCACTGAAAGAACAACAGAAGAGGAACAATGTCATAAGATAAGTCCCACTGTTATCCTGCTGAAATTGTGCTTTACTTGCCTCATGTGATAAAGTCCCAAGATCAAGTCTCATCAGATGAGAACTATCACATTGAGTGACATTCCTAGGAATGTTCTCCATTACCCTAAAAACACATATCTACATCAAGAAGAAAGTGCGTAAGCTGGGTTGCAGTTAAACATTAAAAAAAAACCAAAATGATGGCAGCCAAACTGATTTGACGACTGGCAAGTAGAAGAAGAAAACGTGAAAGCAGTGACAGACTTTGTATTTCTAGGCGCAAAGATTACTGCAGACGCAGACTGCAGCCAGGAAATTATTATTATTATTATTATTATTATTATTATTTGGAGTGCTTTTACCCCACCCTTCTCAACCCCCTAGGGGGGACTCAGGGCGGCTTACAAAAGGCACAATTCGATGCCTAACAATTACAACATACAATACACTATACAATACACAATTTTACCACATAATATCACAGTTATAACTAATTAAAACCATCAGACAGTATACTAGCAGCAATAAAACATCGTGTGGTCAGTGTTCACCAAATCCAAGTCCGTAAACCATTTAGCATCGTCATTATCCTTTCCTACTCTGGTCATTATTGGTTGTTTTTGTCCATCTGCCAGCTTACCCGAATGCTTGGTCCCACATCCAGGTTTTTAGCTTCTTCCTGAAATCAAGAGATGCTTACTTCTTGGAAGGAGAGCAATGACTAATCTTGGCAGAATAGTGAAGAGTAGAGACATCACACTGGCAACAAAGATCCTCATAGTTAAAGCAATGGTATTCCCTGTAGTCACCTATGGATGTGAGAGCTGGACCATAGGGAAGGCTGAGCGAAGGAAGCTAGATGCTTTTGAACTGTGGTGGTGGAGGAAAATTCTGAGAGTGCCTTAGACTGCGAGAAGATCCAACCAGTCCATACTTCAGGAAATAAAGCCTGACTGTTCACTAGAGGGAAGGATATTAGAGGCAAAGATAAAGTACTTTAGCCACATCATGAGAAGACAGGAAAGCTTGGAGAAAATACTGATGCTGGGGAAAATGGAAGGAAAAAGGAAGAGAGGCCAACCAAGGGCAAGATGGATGGATGGCATCCTTAAAGTGACTGGATTGACCTTGAAGAAGCTGGGGGTGGCCACGGCCAACACGGAGCTCTGGCATGGGCTGGTCCATGAGGTCACAAAGAGTCAGAAGCAACTGAATGAATAAACAACAAATATCAAGAAGCAAAATATATCACTGAGGAACCCTGAGTTTCTGCTCTTCTAAGTAGCATGCTGTATGAATGCATTTTGCCATATCTATTTTTCTGACTATACATGCTACACATATACTTTAAAGCGTAAGAGACAAGCACAATGAGGAAAGAACCAGCAATATTAGTTTCACCTTGTGTCTTTCTTCTTTCTTGAAAATCTAGAGCCCTCGTTCAAACAGCTGTTTTTCATCCCGTTCTCATTAGCTGTAATGGCAGGATTTTCATCATCACCATTTGGTTGCAGTTCCTATCCATATTTAAGGAATAAGTATTATGGTCAAACATCTCTTTAACACAGGTTTTTCATGTTTAAGTGTTATATAAATGTAAAACTATCTAGGTTTGGGAACAGCTTTGTGAATTTTTCATTAATTTAACTCAAGATATGAACATTTTCATCTGGATGTGTTATTCATACACTGAGGTAACCTTTTAAAAAGACTATGAATAATAATCAAAATAATTTAAAAATCAAGAAAGCTAAGCAGAAAGAAATATTTAGCATTGTGGTCACAAAAAGTAGCCTTTCCAGACTGATTGCCTGGCCCTAAACCTGATAGTCATTGAGTAAAAAGCTTACAGCTAATAATCTGCATTGTTCCACAACTCTCTGGGTTAATAAAAGATCTGCATTCAGAATCGGTCTATGCTTTTTATCTCTTCAGACATCTGTGGAATGAACTGCACTAACTACAAGATAATAGAGGACTGTGGTTTCATACAGTTCACCAAACAATAACAGAATTTAATCCTGCATTGCAGTTTCCATTTCCATTTCAGAAAATTCATTCTCAAAGAAGTCTGCGGAAACCCTACAGAGACCCACACAAATTTCAGATTATATTCCCCTTGCTGTTACCTGGTGGAATTCTGGATTGTGATAAACATCTTCCCAGATTTGGTCGTACTGTTGTGAATTAAAAGAAGTCATAAAAGCTGATGTACTTTGCTTCGGCTCTAGTACTGCTGCTGCTTGCTCTCGGAGAGTCTCCATCACCCATTCCAAATTGGAAACCTAATTGGTTACAGCAATATGTTGTAGTTCACCAAAAGAAAAGGCACAGGCTAGATACCAAATATATTGTGCATATAGGAAAGAGAGTTCATATCTGGGACTACATCATTTCATATGTAATTTGGCATGTTGTTTACATCACAGCAGGAAGCATGGTGAAATAGCCTGAGACAGAAAACTGAAAACACTGTATTTTAGTTAGGATCCCATCTTCCCAAAGCTTATTCTATTTTGGTAAGCACAAGGCCTCAATATTTTGTTGATTTTCCAGAGTAAGGAATTGTTTTTATCTATTTTTTTGATTGAACTGTTGGAGGCAGCAATCTTCTGGCAGGCAATACTGACATTTGTGGTGGGTGCAACCACAGCTACAAGCAGGATTTATTTTATTTTATTTACAGTATTCATATTTTGCCCTTCTCATCCCACAGGGGACTCAGGGCAGATTACAATGCACATATACATGCAATTTAGACATATAACATATATTGTGCTGGTACAGTTGTACCAGGAGCTCCTATTTTGTTTGCTTTGCAGTTAATGTTTGTTTGCAATCCCAGGCTTGGGATTTTGCAGCAGGATGGCTTCCTGTTATAGGCTGCAACCATAGGGTAAGCCACCTGCCAATTATAGTTAGGATCCCTGGTCCCGCCCCCTTTTTGCTTTTTGGAGGGAAAGGGCCATTTTTCAGTTAGTTACAGCAAGAGAAGCCAAGGCAGAGGATGCATACAGACATTCCTCCTGTCCAAAAGCTTCGTCTTTTAAGACTTCCTGGGGAAGAACAGATTGAAGGCTTCTACAGATTCCCAAAGGGTTCCAGGGAACAGCTTCACAGCCCTGAGGACCTCCAGAGGGAATAACGGCTCTTCAGCTAAGTGATTTCAAGCCTGATGGTACATCTGTTTCGGTTCTGAGACGCAGTTCAGCCGGTAGCAGACTCAAACCAGTTAGGTTTAAGTTCACAGCAGCTTGGGAGGAGCTTTAAAGGGGAATTTTTTTGTTAAAGTTTTCTTGAAGATAGTGCCTGTTTCTTGCAAACAAGACTGCAAAGCCAATAGACTTTAGAAACTTTACAATTCTTGCTTGTTCATTAATAAAGACTGTTGTATTTAAGCTCCAAGTCTCCTAAAGCCTGCTTAATAGGAAAAGTTCCTCTAAAGGCTCCTTCTCGGGGCCCCGGGCTTCCCGCCGGACGCAAGCCTTGCATCCTCTTTTAGAAGCACTTAATTTCGGCTCCAGCAGCGACAGAACATATATAAATAGACACAGAGGCAATTTAACATTCCAGCTTTCCGGCTTCATGAAGGTATGCTCGATTCTGGCCACAGGGGGAGCTGTCGCTTCACCGTTCATTTGTGACACCAAGTCCTTGATGGAGTCTTCCTCATTCTTACGCATACTGCTGGAAGGTTTTATGGTGTCGTAAATTAGTTAAATTAGCCTCCCCGCATAAAGCGGTACCTAAATTTCCAACTTGACAGATGCAACTGTCTTTTGGGCTGCATAGGCAAAGAGCAAGCTAGACTATTAATGGTTGGGAGCTCACTCCGACTCAGGCTGGCTTTGAACTCATGACCTCTTGGTCAGTAGTGATTTAATTCAGCTGGCTACTAACCAGCTATGCCACAGCCCGGTCCCAAGAAGACTCTCTTCTTTACACACACACAACTTTTCCCTTCTCTCCCTAGCCAGTAGGCTGCCCATGGAGTGAGATGATCATTAGAGATTTGAAGAGAACACTTTCAGAAAACTTTTCAAATTAGGAAGAGGGTCATATTTTGTTCAACACTGCCTTCTACTTTGGAAGACAATCCAAAAAAGAAATGGGATAATATAATGGGAGAACAGCTTCCAGAAAGTAACTCCAGTATAGGAATGTCTATAAACAGGTTACTGAAGGTAAAACACCAACATAAGTAAATAGTGATGTGTTTGCTTTTATATACCAAAGACAATGGACTGGAGACAGACTGTTACCCACAGTCTGTTCGCTACAATGAATGACCACAATGAATGGCTTAAATTTTATGTTTGTACTTATGACGAGGCATTGAATGTTTGCCTCTATGTTTTTTTCCTGTGTGTTGGAATCTGCCCTGAGTCCCTTAGGAGCGATAGAGCAGAATACAAATAAAGTATGGATTGCTGGCTGTCTTTGTGACACATAGCACCTTCTGGGAAGGATTACAGAGGTGTTTTTTCCCCTTTTAAACCACCTTGACTGGAAACCTTGACATATCCCAGAGCTTCAGGACAGTCTAAACAGTGGGATTGGGTCTAATTCAGACTGACCCACTGTCTATACTTGACACTGGTGCCTTTACCTTTTCCCTGCACACACTAGTGCAGGGGGAAAAGATGGATCATGCCCATGTTGCCACCGGAATGGGACATCCAAGAAAGAAGAAGAGGGGAAGCAAACGGACCCTAGATTTGGTAAAGGTAAAGGTTTCCCCTTGACATTAAGTTTAGTCAAGTCCAACTCTGGGGGGTGGTGCTCACCTCCATTTCTAAGCTGAAGAGTCGGTGTTGTCTGTAGACACCTCCAAGGTCATGTAGCTGGCATGACTTCATGGAGCACGGTTACTTTCCTGCTGGAGTAGTACCTATTGATCTACTCACATTTGCATGTTTTTGAACTGCTAGGTTGGCAGAAGCTGGGGCTAACAATGGGAACTCACCCTACTCTCCAGATCTGAACCACTGACCTTTTGGTCAGCAAGTTCCGCAGCTCAGCAGTTTAACCCACCATGCCAACGGGAGCCTTCTAGATTTGGTACGCACCTGCTAAATCCTGGTCTGGTTCAGATTTACATCGGACTACACTGGTTAGTATAGCTGCACCCTTAGATGTGGTTGAACATTGTGAACTGTTTTGGTCCTGTTTACCTTTAAAAAGTTTGACTGAATGATCAGCATTTCATCCACCTTTTTCCATTGTTTCAATTTCATTAGTAGTTTGTGTTGCCATGGATCTTGTTTAGCTTTAATCTGCAAACACAAAGGACAGACATGTGAACAAAACTGTCACATGTATATGTGAACATTACTCAAGTTAGTGCAGTTATACTGGATAACCCCATTGAGCAAAAGCATTGCAATGGCTTCTTGTGCAGTTGCCTTACCCGCAAAAGTTTGGATGTCGGCTTTGCACCAACTCCTTGAATAACTAGCACAAAGGGCCTTATACATGTGGAACTGAAACACAGAAGAATACCACGGAAAGTACATTTCTGACCCTAATCTAGCAATGATGGTCAGTGGCAACCAATGGTGGGGGAAATAGTGGCTCTCCTGGTGGAGACTACAACTCCAATCAGCCCCAGGCAACATAGACAATAGTGAAAATGAAAAATAATGAGAATTGGAATCCAATAGCATTTGACTGTCAATAAGACAATCATCCTTAGTGAAGATTATCAGTCTTCTGCTTTTTTTTTTTAACATGTCAGAAGTGAATTGGAGTTGCTTCCGGTGTGAGAGAATTGGCTGTCTACAAGGACATTGCCCAGGGGATGCCCAAATATGTTACCCTCCTGTGGGATGGTAACACATCCAGGCGTCCCCTGAGCAATGTCCTTGCAGATGGCCAATTCTCTCACACCAGAAGCAACTCCAATTTGCTTCTGACATGATTTTAAAAAAACCTTCTGTTGGTAGATTGTTATGTATTCAAAAAGGATGATAGGACAGAAAACCGTGCAGCCTGTAGATTTCAAATGCAAGTGTACTTGAATATTTTGCAAAAATGGCTAGGTGGGCATCTTCCCATCTTCCCACTCTACAGCTGATTGGTGTTGTCTTGTTGTTTCTGTGTGCCTTCCAGTCTTCAGCTTAAGACGAAGAACACATAATCATTTGTCACTGAGAATCTGGGAAGTGCGAAGTCTAATGAAAGTTTTCTAAAGTGTGATCTCAGAAATGTATCAGCACAACAGATTCTGGTGTTTTTTTTTTTTTTTACCTTTTTAAAAGGAATCCAGTTGGCTCTCTTTTTCAATGCCATTTTGGGATTCATACCCCAGTTTTCCAGTCCTGGATTTGCAGCATCGTAAACAGGAAACGTTCTCATGGTCTGCTGCTCACTGAAAATGCTTCTAAACTTTTGCAAGACCTAAGTGCCTCAAGAAAAAAAGCTCATCAGGTTACAGAAATCGGAACACACGTTTCCGTTGGACACTGCAAGTGTTTATCCATGTTACTACAAGAGTTTCTTAAACAGAATCTATTTCTTTCATGTAGCATCATTACTGTGAAGCCAGAAAAGGCTATTTGCTCTTAATATTTCTGCTTAGCATTCAATTGTTGACTTAAAGATTAATATTAATTGAATCTAATTTGAATCAACGGGGGGGGGGGGGGGCGGATTGTGCAGCTCTCCATATGTTGTCAGATTGTACTTCTATCAGTAAGAGCCACATTACAGATCAACAACATCTGGAGGGACACACTTTGTCCACCCTTGCACTAGATTAATGGCTGTTGATTTATCACTCAGCTATATGTTCACTGAAATAACAGTAATTACAGCTAGCAATTGGATTTAGATCAAAATTCTTAGATTGCCCTTACCAGAAGAAAAGTTGTTATTATTTATTGATGTTGACGTAATTAACAGTTTGGACTGTATCTTTCAGCCACTGATCTGCAGTGACAGTTAGTTAAAACAGCATGTAGATGATAAGACAGTCAGTTAACCATATAAAGCAGTGGTTCCCAATCTGTAGTCTGCAAGATATGGTCCGCAGCCGCACCATTACTACACCATTGCAATGAGAGCGACTAATCTCGCGAAACCCTCTTATAGTGCCGAGGCTTATTAAATATGGTATCTGTGGGTGAGCAGATGGTGACTACCGGATGGCATATGTTCTGTATCAGAAACTATTGCTGATGTGGTCTATCCAATGCAGTTTTCTGAATCAGCACCTCAAATAAGCAAACGGAATCTAAAGTTGGCCAAAAACTGATTCGTAAGCCTTTGGTACTAATGTTGGGGAGTGGTCCCTGATCAGGTGGTCCCTGGTCCAGTGGCCCCTGGTTAAAAAAAGGTTGGGAACCACTGATATAAAGGAAGTTCATACCCTATGAAAGGACTTCTCTCTCTAGAGATATTTATTACTTCTCTTACTAAAGCAACTAGAAATAAATATATTACTTTTTGGAGTGGTAGCCAATAAAGTACTTGTCTTTGGTATAGTATACAAGTAAAAGTAAAAATGGCAGGGTGGGAATCTGACCATATGCTAAGTGTTAGGACAGGCATGGGCAAACTTGGGCGCTCCAGGTGTTTTGGACTTCAACTCCCACCATTCCTAACAGCCTCAGGTCCTTTCCTTTTACCCCTCAGCCACTTAAACACTGAGGTGGGGGGAGGAAGGGACATGAGGGTGTGAGGAATTGTGAGAGCTGGAGTCCAAATCACCTGGAGGGCTGAAGTTTGCCCATGCTTGTGCTAGAACATGGAGAGTCAACTAAATTCAGGTCTTATAGGTAGCACTGAACACTATTCAAAAACACTATTGCATTCTGTTGGCATATATAATATGAAATTTAAATTACCATGGAAAGAAGTTCCATCTCACTAGCAGCATGCCTGAGATTTTCTACATCATAGCTGATACCAAACTGAGAAAGCAAAAGGCTGAGTTGGGGCTTCAGATCTTCAATTTCTGCACTGTGTTGGGGAAGTGCAGAGGCAGCCTCCTTTGACAAGTGTCCTGGAAGAGGGCAGAATCATGCAGACAGCACAAGAATAATTACACACAGTGAAGCTTTAGGAGGCACCGGTTCCTGAAACATGTTTTTTAAAACAGCTATGGGTGCTTTGTGCATCAGACATTTGTTCAGGGACAGACCCACCATTAGGCAGAGTAAAACACCTTCCCATTCCATGGCATCTCAAAGCATTCCTCTTGAGTCTGTGGGAGGACAAACATGTGCATGATGCACATACTATTCTGAACTAAACTTGAAGCAATTGGCATGCATTGCTCCTTTTACACTGATGACATGAGACACACGTGCCGCTCCAGTTTGTTTATCATCATGGAATTGGGGTCACCTTGGAGAGGGTGTTGCAGGTAAGGAACTAGGAAGCGTGCATACAGCTTTCATGGAAGATCATAGAGTTGGAAGAGACCACAAGTGTCATCTAGTCCACCCCCCTGCCATGGAGAAAGACCCAATTAAAGCACTCTGGAGAAAAAGTTATTCAACCTCTGTTTCCAAAAATTGTTGAACAGCTCACACAGTAAAAAAAAAAGTACTTTCTAATGTTTAGGTGGAATTTTTTTGTAATTTGAATGCATTGGTTCACGTTCTTTGCAGCAGCAGAAAAGATGCAGGCTCTATCATATATATAACTTCCCTCAGATATTAAAAGAGTTATCATATTACACCTCTGCCGTCTCCCCTCCAAGCTAAACATAAGGCTTGGTTTCCCAACCTTTGGTTTACAGATCTCCATATTTATAAAAAGGAATATATGTCAAAACAGCTGAAGAGGAATAACTTTCCAAAACTGTTAATAGGACAGCATCCTACAAGCACATGGAGGTAAAGGTAAAGGTTTCTCCTGACATTAAGTCTAGTCAATTCTGACTGTGGGGGGTGGTGCTCATCTCCATTTCTAAGCCAAAGAGCCGGCGTTGTCCGTAGACACCTCCAAGGTCATGTGGCCGGCATGACTGCCTGGAGCACTGTTACATTCCCACTGCAGCGGTACCTATTGATCTACTCACAGTTGCATGTTTTCAAACTGCTCGGTTGGCTGAAGCTGGGTCTAACAGCGGGAGCTCACCCTGCTCCCCGGATTCAGACCTTTCAGACAGCAAGTTCAGCAGCTCAGCAGTTTAACCTGCTGCGCTGGAGCTCCCTATGTAGGCACATGTAGGCAGCACTATCTTGGGGGGGGGGCTAAGGAAGCTATGCAAAACACCAATCTTTGGCCTCCATCACTGTGCCCTATCCATGGCCTGCCATGGTCCCTGACACTCCTCACTCTCCCACCTGATTGTGCTGGGCCTTTTCCCCCAGATAAACTTCTGTTGAGAGACTTTTTCAAGTTACACTTCAAAACCCTATGTACTATATAATTAACAGTTACAGATGTCCCTTTGCACAACCCTTTATTGACACACCAAGAATTTTAATCACTATGCAACAACTTGCTAAAGTTCAATAAAGCTCATGAGGGTTTGTAGAGTTATATGTAATCTAATTTATTACCTTATTACTTGGCAGTAATGGGCCATCTGTGTTCCTATTTTACACTTTGCTCTAGCATTGCCTTTAATGTTTTACTTAATCATTTTCTCCTGTTTAATCAATCCAGCTTAGATCTATATAGCAGATGAAGATAGACTTTATTTAATATCTTTAAAACAAATGGTTCTGGATAACGTGTTACTGAAAGCAAACAGCAAAGCAACAAATCATCTTGATTAGCTCTCTGTCTCCATAAAAACCCATTTTCCCTGCAAAGTTAATAGCCAGATGCAGACGGAGTAGTCTACATATTCCCCTACAGCTACTATCCTGAAATGACCTTAGCTTCTTTCCAAGGAAGAGAGAGAGAGATCCTGCACTAAAACTCAACAAAACTCAAATTGGCTGTAACATCACAAAGATGCAATCTACACAGCATCCATTCAAAGGGAGGAGAGGAGATAAATGGGGCAAAACCGCTTCCCCCAAAACCAATACTGCAGTTTTGTACAATAGAGACTTCCAAAAAGTTTCCTTTTGGACTACACAGCCCAGAATCCCTAAGGTAGCAGAAGAAGTGAGGTGCTGCTTGGATAATTCTAAGAGTGGCAGTCTGTGAAGTCTTGGCTCTGCCATCTCCTCTCCTCTGTTTTAGTTCCCCCCGTTTATAGGTTTCCCCAATAGTGTAGTTACCTTCCCTTATATTAGTTTTTGGTGGAGTTTAAAATCCCCCCCCCCCCAGAGGTCAATCTTAGTTGGTCTATTCCATTTCCTGTATAGAGCTCCCTTGCTGGACTCCTTGCTCTTTACAGCAGAGCTACAGTGTTCCCTCGCTACTTTGTGGATCGCTTTTAGCAGACTCACTGGTTTGCGGATTTTTGAAAATATTAATAAAATATATAAAATATAAAATATTTACGTCCAGTGGAGACCAGGGACCTTGGAAGTGCTGCAGCCTGAGGCATGGCAGGGAAGGCCTGCCTCCCTGGCCTCCACAGACCCCGGAAGTGCGGTGCCTGAGGTGCCTCCATGGCCTGCTGCTGCCAGCATGACTCCAAAGGCTCTGCCAGGGTCTGCAGAGGCCAGGGAGGCAGGGAGGCACCCTTGGGTTGGGCCGGGAGGCGGGTAAGGAAGCGTGGATAAGAAAATAATATATAATATATATAAAATAATGTATAAATATTAAAATTAATATGGCATCCCTACTTCACGGATTTTCTCTTATCCTGGGTGGTCCTGGAATGGAACCCCCGCAATAAGTGAGGGAACACTGTACTGTAATTTAGGCCCAAGCAATTCAAACAGGCATTCCTAGCTGCTGCGTTTAGTAGTATTATTATACCAACAGTCTAAAGGACAACAGAAGCTTTTGGCCAGCTAAGATTCACAGGAAAGAAGATTAAGACAGTTTATAAGCAACAACTTTTAATCCATCATTTTGCATCAAAGGCAGAAGATCTGAGAGATGACTACAACCAGCAAAATCTCCTTTTGTAATGTATTGTTTTAAGTTATTTTATGATAGTCCTGGGTGGAGTTTATTTATCTTGTTTCAGTAAACGCATTTAGTTATCTTTTCACCTTGCCTAAAGTGCCTCTGTCTGCTAAGGGTCTTAACAGAAGGTATACAGATAGCCCCCGAATAAAGCCAGACAATATAGTTTTCCCAAAGGCTTGGGCGTGCCATCACACAGTCCAAAAGGTATTCCTTCAAGCTCTGTTTACAGACGAAATTGTAACTGGAAGAAGATAAAGACCATGCACAACAACTATAGAGGAAATGTCAGGAGAGAATGCTTCTAGAACATGGTCATACAGCTCAGAAAACATAGAACAACCTAGTGATTCCAGCCATGAAAGCCTTCGACAATAAACTTTAGAGTTATTGTGCTGAAAATGACCACTTGGCACAAATGAATACCCTCTAAATGGCCTGGACCTCCATTTGCACCATTTTGTACTTGGAAGGCCATTGGGGGTGATGAGGATTGTAGTTCAATGCAGTTGGAGTGCATCCAGGTGAGTAAGGCATGTGGATGAAATTATTTCTTACCATGTGGCACAGATGTGTGAGGCCTGACAAGGAGCTGAATATTGGGAGATAAGAATTCTGTTTTGTTGGGAGTCTTGAAAGCATCTCCCTCATTCCAGGATGGTTGTCTGTCAACAGAAACTTCTGTCCTGTGAGAGATAGGCAGGTACTGGAGTGCCTACAAGATATGAACATAGATATGTTACAGGCATTGCTTGCCTTGAAAGCACAGAAAGGATCAAAGAACAAGCACCAAGTGCCACTGAGGGACTGAGCAAACCTAACTCTTATGTTCCCCACCCCCATCCCTGAACAAGGACCATGGAAACTGTAGTACACTATCCAGTATACTAGTTTCATTTATTTATGTCCATCAACATATGTCCATTTATCAATTTACAGCATTTATATTCTGCCCTTCTCACCCAGGGTGTATCACAGAACACATACATGGCAAACATTCAATGGCATTAGACATATAGGACAGACAGACAGAGGTATGTGGCTTTGGCATCCTGGAGGTTATGCTCGATTCCAGCCACAGGGGGTGCTGTCACTTCAACCTCTATTATGATGAGCCTTTTATGATCACAGACTTTCCTCCTATTAGTTGATCGCCAGCTTCTTATGGTGCCGAAAAACACCTAGTTGCTTAAGCATTGCCTAGTTTCTCTACTCACAGCTTTACAGCTTTTCAAACTGCTTGGGTGGACAGTAAGCTAGGCTGAAGGTCAGGAGCTCACCCTGACCCGGGTTCAAACTGCCAACTTTTCAGTTGGGAAAGATCTATTGCTCCTGGTGATTAAGCAGCTGTGCTAAAACCCGGCATTTTGTTGTTAGCCCAGGGTGACTGTATGGCATTGTTTGGGCAGAGATCCTTCGTTTCAGTAGAGATTGCTATAATCTGCGGTATCATATAATCCATGTGATGTCCAATAGCATATCTCTCATGAATACAGAGGTTGTACTAATAGGAATTGATGGGGATTTCAGGCCTTCCTTCAGAACTTCAAGTCATGGAGATTTACATTCTGCATGCTCCAGAGTCTTGACATTTATAAGAGAAGCTTTGGCTGTGCTACTTCCAGAGAATATTGACAACTCTTTATATTCATGAAACAAGTTAAGAATATCACAGCCTGTTTCCTACAGAAGATTCGCATGTGGGTGTGAGGTGATACATGAGGTGGAATGAAAATCACACGTAGTTCACATCTTTACCAATCCACACACTGTTTTGCAAGAGCAAAGATATGCCAGATGATCAGTAAAGAACAAGTGTTTACTCTTTGGGTTGTTGTAGGTTTTTTCGGGCTATATGGCCATGTTCTAGAGGCATTCTCTCCTGACGTTTCGCCTGCATCTATGGCAAGCATCCTCAGAGGTAGTGAGGATGCTTGCCATAGATGCAGGCGAAACGTCAGAAGAGAATGCCTCTAGAACATGGCCATATCGTCCAAAAAAAACCTACAACAACCCAGTGATTCCGGCCATGAAAGCCTTCGACAATACATTGTTTACTCTTTGTTATGCAGAGCAACATTTATACAATCATGTGAACAACTGCATTGACTCACACAATATCTGCTTTGAAGTGGAATAAATGAGAGTGTGGACTCAGATAACCCAGCTCAAAGCAGAAATTGTGGGATTTTCTGCCTTGATATTCTGGGTTTTATGGCTACCTGGAAGGCCCCTGGGATTTACAGCTTTCAGAGGGCCCTTCCACACAGCCCTATATCCCAGAATAGCAAGGCATAAAATCCCACAATATCTGCTTTGAACTGGGTTATCTGTGTTCACACTCAGATAATGTGTTATTTCCTGCCTTAATATTCTGAGATATAGGGCTGTGTGAAAGAGCCCTTAGTGAGAGCTTGACCAACCTGAGAAAAGGCCCAGCAAATACTGCTGATGAATGCAAAGAAATATGTCCCATTTCTTGGGTGGCCTACACATGCTATGTTAAGAGTTTCCGTCCTCTGTTTCACAATCTGTACCCATCATCTTACCCGGAGGTAGTTGTGAACGGCCTTAAGTGAGTGCAGGTGGCATATTAGCCATTGGGTGTAAATGGTCAGGTCTTCTAGGGTCACTAAATTGGTAGGATTTTCCTTTCCGGTCAGGAAGTTCTCCCTGGCGCTCGACAGCCTCTGAGCCCTTTGAACAGCATCACTGTACTCTTGCATGATGTGAGCCACTTGTTTCTAGGGAAAGAGCAGGAGCGAGAGAGGAGAGGCGTTGCTTTCCCAGAAAAATGAATTAATAAGATAGAACATGAAGGCAATACAGTTTAGCCTTCCTCTCTCCAAATGAGAGGATCTGAAGAGTAGGAGGAGCTGCCATTCATGGGGACAATTAAATCATAAAACTCAAATCTGAGCTTTTAAAAATCATTTTGAGAGAGCTCTGTCTTTAAAAAAAATGTGGAAACATCATGAGTTTTTATAGCTTGGGTGGCTAAGCACTATAAAACACTTGGCTACCAACAATATGTATAATGCAAGTCTGTTGTTTCAGTGCCTCCCCTGGTGATTTTAGCACCTTTCTAGACTGCCATATTATCCAGATTATCAAAGTGGATAATCCACATTATCTGCTTTGAACTATATTATATGAGTCTAGACTGCCATATAATCTAGTTCAAATCAGATTATTTGGATTTTATATGGCAGTGTGGAAGGGGTCTCGGTGTTAGAAATGAGTTATTTATATATTATTTATTTATTTTGAAAGTTTTTTTTATTTTGAAAGATATTATTTATATCCCGTCCTTCTCAACTCCGAAAAGGGACTCAGGACGGCTACCAACAGGCACTACTCAATGCCAACAACATGTAAAACATAACATACAGTACAATTAGCAAAATTAAAACCAGTTTTGGCAGTGGCCTGGGGAGCTTTTGAATAATTAAAACTTTTGTGCCAGTTGCGGCCATACCTTGGGAAGTCAGACTTGGCCACGGTGGTCCATGCTCTAGTTACATTCCATAGAGGCTACTGCAACACACTCTATGTGGGGTTGCCTTTGAAGACAGTTCAGAAGCTTCAAGTGGTCCAATAGGCAGCAGCCAGATTGCTCACTGGCTGACAGTCTGCTACTGAGTACAATTCAAAGTGCTGGCTTTAGCCTATAAAGCCCTAAACAGTTCTGGCCCAGCTTACCTGTCCAAACTCACCCCTCCTATGAACCATCTCAGAGGTTAAGATCTTCCGAGGAGGCCCTGCTTTCGGTCCCACCTCCTTCACAGGCATGACTGTTTGGGACGAGAGACAGGGCCTTCTCAGTGGTGGCCCCTTGGCTATGGAACTCCTTCCCCAGTGAAATCAGATCAGTGCCCTCCCTCACGGCCTTCAGAAAGAAAGGGAAGACATGGCTGTGGGACCAGGCCTTTGGTCAGTAAAATAATGCAGTGCTAGAAATGGATATGGAATATGTCCAATTGACAACTGGAATGGCTCTAGATTAGGATTTTGGACTGTGTAATTTTTAAATGCTGTTGCTAAAACGTTTTAATGCTATAGTTTTAATGTAACTGTTTTTTAAATTGATTGTTTGTTTTATATGGCATTGAACTGTTGCCCATTTGTAAGGCCACTCCGAGTCCCCTTTGGGGTAAGAAGGGCGAGGTATGGATATGGTAAATAAACAAATAAATTTAAAGGAAATGAAGTCATGTTGACAGTTGAGCTCTTGAACAAAAGCACCTATACTTGCATTTAGCGTTGTGTAGCTCTGAGAATGTTCATACCTGATAGAATGGATAGAGTTGCTCAACCACACTGCTGTGCTGACAAAATCTCTTCCATCTGAGCATGTGCAAATATTTGCTTTGGACCAACTGTGTAATTCTGTCTGTAAAAAACTTCATCAGAAGATCAAGGAGATGAAAGCAGCGATATTGCTTGCAGAAAATAAAGTGACATCATAAAAATAATATCTAGGTGTGTCCTTTTTTTGCATTAATACTTTAAAATTTCATTTCTTTTTGCATGGGTTATTCTCTGCACTATTATCACACTAAACTGGAAAGATGTTTCCAACAGCTGATCTAAAAGGCAGAGACATAAAATAATGGTCTGACACTGGACAGGAAACCTCATTTAAAGATTTCAAAGCCAAATGACAGCAAATGCGTGCTGACAAGTACTACATGATTCCTTAAATGTCAGAGACCAACACTACCTGGTGCAGTAATAAAGGTAAGTTTTCCGGGGTATGTTCTCTTTTTAGACAGCTCTCTGCCTCCCTCTGCAGGACATCAGCCTGAATTACAAGCGGCTTTGCCTCGGCGACCTGTAAAATATGGGCATGAAAACAAAATTATGGCACTCAGGATCCCATGGATACAGCAGTTGAGTCGTGTCAAATTCACTTTCAAATTCATATTCAGATTTACTTTGATTGGATCAGGAAAATATACCATCTCTTTCACAGTCTAGTAGACTTATTTGTAGTCAAGGGTCATACAAAGAGCTTAAACCAAATTTAATATTCATGGCAATGGTTTCTTCACCTGATCATCCTTTCCCTTTTGCCTGAGTAATATAGATTGGACATGAATTCTCCCTGAGTCCCTTTGGGGAGATAGAGTGGAAAATAAATAAAGATTATTATTATTATTATTATTATTATTATTATTATTATTCGTACATTTTTATTGCACCCTCATGGCAGGGTGAGAAGGCAGAGCAGTGCAATGATGGTAGGGAATCAGGCCTGTAGCAAGGGGGTGGTTTTTGGGGTTCAACCCCCCCCCGAAATGTTTCAGATTTTTTTTTAAAAAAACCTGGTTTACTCATGAATTTTAACTGGTTAACCAAATCCCCATGCTGCTAAGTCTATGAGATGCAAAAAATTAAGAGTCCCTCCAGAACTGTAAGCACTATCTCAAGCAAATATTGACAATTTATTCACACTGTCATTACTTGCAGCAATAGCCGATGTAGTGAAGCAACCAAGTTGGGTGTGTGTGTGTTGAATGCTCTCATTAAGGAGGCCAGACTTGGTGGAGGTGGTTGACAGGGGCGGAGCTGCAGGCTATTGAAGGCTACTCTGCCCCCTGCTGTGCTCTTTGCTTCAGCGTGCCCCCCCCCCCCGAAATTGTCAACCCTCCCCGAATTTTTTTTCTGGCTACGGCCCTGGTAGGGATGCCATTGTTTGATTGATTGATTGATTGATTGATTTATACCCCACCCTTCTCAACCAGAAGGGGATTCAAAGTATCTTACAAACTTCTGCCATGGTAGAAAGAAATGCCCTGTATACGCCTGAAGTTGTTGACTACAGACAAAGCAGGTGTAAATAATAGTAATAATAATAATAATAATAATAATAATAATAATAATAACTTTATTTATACCCGGCTACAATCTCCCCAAGGGACTCGGTGCGGCTTACATGAGACCAAGCCCACAATACATCAATAAACAAAAGCAATTCACAAAAAACAATCAATACAATACTATTAATATAAATCACATAAACAAAAAATAAGCAATAAAAAGTAAACAGTGACACACAGCATTTAAAAACCTATGGCCAGACCAAATGTAATAATTTAAAATATAGAAATAATGCTGGGCATGATCAAGGTAGGATATAACTGGGATAGGGTTTTCAAAGAGAGATGAGGGAACACAGTCAGTCCTAAATCAGTAGTAAAGTGCATTTGAGGGCATATTGCTGAGAGATTTCCTTATTCTGGGAAGGCACACTGGAACAACCACATTTTCAGGCTCCTCCTAAAGACTGCCAGAGATGGGGCATGTCTGATGTCCTTGGGAAGTGAGTTCCAGAGTCGGGGGGGAAACCACCAAGAAGGCCCTCTCCCTCGCCCCCACCAATCGCGCCTGCGAAGGAGATGGGAGCATGAGCAGGGCCTCTTCAGATGATCGAAGAGATTGTGTGGGTTCGTACACAGAAATGCAGTCAATGGTATTTCTCTTTTTCCAGTCTGTTTTCTTTCCATTTTTCCTCTCACTCACGCAAGTAGAAGTTGCCTCCTTCACCTTCAAACTGAGATGGTTAGCAGGCCCAATCTATGAGCATGGCAGGGAGTGATGGACTTGGTAGTTTCTGGCACCAAAAGGACTTCAACATGGCCATGAGACACACTGTTTCATCCCATGTTTGTACCAGGGACACCAATGGGGTTATATCTGCACCCAGGCTTCCTTTGAAGCTCCTTTCCATTAATGTAGAGTTGGGTAAGGTTTAGCCTTGCAGATATCAATGGACCGCAGTGCAAACCCCAAACAGGCTAAGGCTGATGGGCGCTATAATCTAACAACACACAGATCCAGCATTGAGTAGTTTCACCACTGTACCCAACAATCCCCCAGCTACCCTTTGTCTCGCTTTACATTTTTCATTGTTAATAAAGGGATTTAAATTTGTACGCTTTAGATAATTTGACTCTAAAATTCAAAAAGGGCAATAATAATAATAATAATAATAATAATAATAATCTTTATTTATACCCCGCCACCAGCTCCCCAATGGGGACTCGGAGCGGCTTACATGAGGCCAAGCCAAAACAACAAAATTACAATAAAATAAGACCGAAAACGCAAACCAAAAACACAAACAAAGCGAAAAAGCTTTTATAAAGCTAAAATGATGTAAAAACTGAAGGTATATAACACTGGACCAAATGGAGATCTTTCATATTCACATCATCAGTTTCTTAAGGCTTATTGCATCTATACATGGACCCCCATGAGTTTGCTACGATTGTTTCATTGAATTTTAATATGTATACATTGGTGTGCTTTTACTGAGATTTTTTAAAATTGTGGTAGAAGCCTCCATGGTCTGCTATTCTGGGATAAATCTAAGGAATGGATTTATCATGGCCGCGTTTTAGCACAGCAGTTTCACCACTAGCTGCATTAAATCTTGCCAATCAAAAGGTTGACAGTTCAAAGCCCAGGTCGTTGTGAGCTCCTGCCCTTTAGCCCAGCTTCTGCCTACCTAGCAGTTTGAAAGCAAATGTGAGTAGATAAATATATACCACTTTAAAGTGGGGAGGTATTTAAGGCACCCATAAGAAAATGCCAGAAAAATCTGGCAATTCGATCAAGGAGGAAGTTTACGAACTAAGCTCTTTGGCACGGAAGATGGAGTGACAGGTAAATGTGAGGGAGCGGATGGCAGTAGAATCTGAGCCCCTTCTCCAATCCCCTCTGGGATGTTTTCACATGGGTATTTTTCAGTACTTACCTGTAAACACTTCTTCAAGGCCAACTCCCTTTCTCTTCTGAAATAATCAATATCTTTTGGAAGGCGAACAGAGCTACGAAAGAAGATGGGGAAAAATTATTATCTAGATCAGTGGTTCCCAACCTGTGGTCTGCAAGAACGGAAATATAGTCCACAGCCGCCCCATTACTACATCTTTGTCTCGAAACCACGCAGCAATGAGAGCCACTGGTCTCGTGAAAGCTTCTTATAGTGCCAACCGAGGCAACAGGGATGTTGGGAGGGGAGAGGCTGACTAACCATGAAAGATTGCAACTTTCATATCAGCTCTAAATTATTAAATATGGTTTTCTGTGGGCGAGTAGATGATGACTACTGGATGGCATATGTTCTGTGTCAGAAACTAGAGCCAATGTGGTCTATTCAATGCAATTTTCTGAATAAGCACCCCAGATAATAAAACAAAATCTAAAGTTGACCAAAAACTGATTTGAAACTCTTTTGGTACTAATGTTGGAGAGTGTTCCCTGGTCAAAGTGGTCCCTGGTCAGAAAAAGGTTGGGAACCACTGATCTAGATCCAGATTGGGTTCGGTCGACTCAATATGGTAACTCAAAGTACCACACCCATGGACCTCACATTCCACATCATATTGCAATATTGTAGCTAAAATACAAAAAAATATGACAAAATTAGGTACTTTTTTAAAAAAAAATCTGCAATTAAATCATTTGTGTGCTCTGATTGGAGTGCATGCACATTAGAAAGTTCAAAAAGTAAACCAGGAGAGAGTTTTTGCCTTGTAAGTATATTGATATATTGATAACTAGATTTATGGAAAATGTTTTTGTGGTTGTAATTAAAAGGATATCTTATTTTTAAAAGGAATTTGTACACTGCACAAAAATTCAACAGACACTAGTCATTTTGTCATATCCATCTCTGTTGTGGTTTGTACCCCTCAAGTGATGCCACTGCAAGCGTATATAGCTGTCAAGAATCGGGGCTGGGGACTAAGGTATATTACTCTGGCATTATTTCTTTATTTATTTACTGTACTTGTATACCACCTTTCTCAGCCCGTAGGTGACTCAAGGTGGTTAACAGGGCAAAATTCAATGCTTACAATGTCATAAATACAATTAAAAACATAACATATAATAAAAACTAAACAAATCAATAAAATACAAATTCGTAGTGTCTCCTTCTTAAAGGCGTTGTCCGGACTCATTGTCTAATCGTTCCATTTTCCTGTGTCTGTTACTCTGCATTTGCAAACGCTTGTTCAAAAAGACACGTCTTGACTTTTTTCCAGAATGTTAAAAGGGAGGTGGCTGATCTAATATCTATAGGGAGGGCGTTCCACAGCCGAGGGGCCACCACTGAGAAGGCCCTGTCTCTCGTCTCCGCCAAACGTATTTCTGACGAAGGCGGTAACGGCAGCAGGGCCTCCCCAGATGATCTTAAGGTCCTAGATGGTTCATAGGGGGAGATGCATTCGGACATGTAAGTTGGGCCAGAACTGTTTAGGGCTTTATCGGCTAAAGCCAGCACTTTGAATTGTGCATTGGAAAAACTTGAGAAATTAATGTTGTTTGAAGCGGCAGTATCCCCATCTCTATCAACTGTTCAGCTCAAGGCATGTGGACATTCTCTCTTTGCTGATAACTGCTGTTTTGTTTCACTCTCTGTTCATAGCAACCGAGTCATCTGACTGGCTAAACACTGTCAAAATAAAACACTAGGATATGAACCAGCTGAATGAACATGCAGAAAGGCTTGTAAAAAAAACTGCTGATCTGACAATCCATTGCTTAATGGAACAACACTTTATGAATATACTACCATTTTAGGAGGCATTCAGGCACAACCATAATGCAAGCTTTGAAGAGTTACTTTTTTGAACTATGACTTCAAGACCTTTTGGAGAAATTTATCGGAGATGCAATCAGGAAAACTAACATTTTGAACTTCTAGGTAATCTAGATCAGGCATGGGCAAACTTTGGCCCTTCAGGTGTTTTGGACTTCAACTCCCACCATTCCTAACAGCCTCAGGCCCCTTCCTTTTCCCCCTCAGCCGCTTAAGCCATTGAAATCCACAAGCATGTGGACAATTTCAACAGAAAGGAGGAAACCATGAAAATGAACAAAATCTGGCTGCCAATATTTAAAACTCTTAAATTATAACAGCAAATAAAGAACAACACTCAAACACAGAGGAACTCCAGACAAGAAACAATCAGGGACAGCTAACACCTCTCAACAAAGGATTCCCCCAGGTAGTAACAAGCCACAACTAAAAACTGTCAGGCCACCAAATGCTAATCAAGGTGGTCAGTTGAAACATTCACACCTAGCTCCAACAGACAAGAGTTCTTTCTCCCACCCTGGACATTCCACAGGAATATAAATGCAATTTTTCTAGTTTCCAACATACCTCACAATCTCTGAGGATACCTGTCATAGATGCAGGCAAAATGTCAGGAGAGAATGGCCATATAGCCCGAAAACCTACAACAACCCTACCTTCCGACTACGTGTATAAAGAGTTTATGGTTCATAAATGAATTTGATTATTAGATTTGGGTCTCATTTCCAAGATACCTCATTATGGAATGATGAGATACAATGTAAGCCAATCTGAGTCCCCTCTGGGGTGAGACGGGCAAGGTATAAATATAGTAAATAAATAAATAAGTGTACATTTATGCAACTACAGATATTCCAAAATGGGAGGCGGGGGGCAAAATAAACAACAGTCATATGTCTAAAAGAGGCATATGTTAGAGCAACCTCATTCATTTATACTGACTGCAGCCAGATTTTTCCATGGGGAGAAATTATCTTTACCAGTCCAGTGATCCCTGCAGAACCCCATTTCCCTCTATTTCCGTCTTCAGTTCAGCCAGCTGTGCTGCTAGTTCCTTTTCCAACTGCTGGACCCTCTCAGTTGAAGAGATCTTGTAAATTTCATCCATTTAACCTGGCGCCATAGAAAGGAAATACAAGAGAAGAATAACACTCATTACCACATGTAATAGAGCATTTCAGTGTAACTCACTTGCTATGTAGTTCTTAAGCAAGCACACAAACATTCTCAGGCCAATCTGCCAAGCACATGTTCTCTCCCATTCAAGGATGCTGCCTTGCTGCTTTTGTAGGGTTGCTATCTGAAGCACAAACATCACTAACAAAAGCAGTATTTTTTTCCTCAGGTTGATGTTTAACTTACTACAGGTGTGCCTTATCATTGGCAAAACTCTTTATCTGCTAGACCTGAATAAAGGAGGAAAAGGAGTAACACCAAAATGGAGGAAATGCTTTAGCAGAAAGGTCAGTGGTTCAAATCCGGGGAGCGGGGTGAGCTCCTGCTGTTAGGCCCAGCTTCTGCCAACCTCGCAGTTTGAAAACATGCAAATGTGAGTAAATCAATAGGTATTGCTTCTGCAGGAAGGTAACGATGCTCCATGCAGTCATGCTGGCCACATGACATTGGAGGTATCTCCAGACAATTCCAGCTCTTCGGCTTAGAAATGGAGATGAACACCACCCCCCAGTGTCACGGCTGGTGACACAGACTGATAATTTTCAGGACTTAAAATCTCATGTTGACTCACAGTCCAGAGTTCCCATGCTCCACTTCCTCATTGACATTGGTATCAGCCGCAAGCATGGGCTGCACTTCAACAAAAATACATGGAGAGCCACAAGAGTGACCCCACTGCTCTAGATCTCCCAGTGCAATTCTATAGTTAGTTTCCAGTTTTTCACTTTTATGGGGGTTGCTAACTTCAGCAAACATGAAGCACCTAACCTCATAATAAATGTTTGCCTTTGCCACAGTCCTCTAATGTGCCAAACAGTATTTGCTGCTAACACCAGCATTTAATACTTGGGTGAGAAGATTACAGCACAGTCAGAGACAAGGGCAAAGTGCTAATAAAAAGGAAAATTAAGGTACAGTGGAGAATCGGCTCCACACATAATCCAGTTTTACGGTAGTAGTAAATCTGGTTATGCATCCCCTGCTGAATCTTGACTACCAGATGCAGGCTCCACATACCGTGAGTAACAGGTTTATTTAACAGAGAAATATATAGTTGCTCGGAAGGGCTCTACATACAAGCTTGGGGCATATTTAATGGGGTAACTGAGAGAAATCAATGAAGGGAGGTATTAATGAGTCAGGATGCTTAAACAGAAACCTCACTATGAAACAAGGATATAAAAGGAATATGCCCCTTGGCAGATATTAAAAGTGAGAGTCAAAGCACTGGTACTCATTCAAAACCAAGGGCCATCTGCATTGCAAAATTAATGCAGTTTGACACTACTCTAGTTGCCATGGCTCAATGCTGTGGACTCATAGGCGTTGTACTTTTACAGTATCTTTAGCCTCTGCCAAAGTACTGATATCATTCCAAACTACAAGTTCCATGATTCCATAGCACTGAGCCAAGACATTTAGATTGATTTCAAACTGCTTTAATTCTACTGTGTAGATGTAGCCTTAGTCCATGTGTTACTGTGCATTGCTTCCTTAACAGAAAAAATGGTACCAGAGCCAGAAATAACACAGAAGGAATAGGGAAGGGTTCCTGTACCAGAAAAAAGAAGAGCAGTTCAACATGTTTCAGCAAGTATTTTATTCAAAACTGAAGAAATACACAGAGCGCTTGAAAGCTTAATCCAAAAGGCATCCAGGAAAGTTTTTTTTTTCCATTTTTCCATTTTTTGGCTTCAACCTTCCTTATGAGTGCCATTTTACAGGACAAACATACACATTTATTATTTCTTTAATGTGCTGGGGATAGCTAGTGAGGCAGATGTATTAGTTCTCCCCTTTTCCCTTTAGTTTGCTCTTACACATTTAAATAGCTAGCCGTGGTGCCGCAATGGGATTACCCCTTGTGCTGCTGAACGGCTGACCTGAAGGTTTGCAGTTCGAAACTGCTGGTCAGAATGAGCTCCTGCTGTTAGCCCTAACTCCTGCCAACCAAGCAGTTTGAAAACATGAAAATGTGAGTAGATCAATAGGTACCGCCTCAGCAGGAAAGGTAAAAGGATGCTCCATGCAGTCATGCCTGCCACACGACCAGGAGGTGACTATGGACAATGCAGGCTCCTCGGTTTGGAAATGGAGAAGAGCATCTCCCCCAGAGCAGGGAAATGAAGGGAGAAGCCTTTGCTTTTGTCTGTGTTGTGTTTCATTGTATTTCACTGTAACGAGGCATTGAATGTTTTCCGGTGTCATTATTGTGGTAAATGAAGGGAAACTTCATAGATAAATTGATCAAAATATTTCAGGGCCATCCCTTAGCAGTGGCTCTAGGATGCCATTCTCACTCACTTCTACTTTTAGAATAAGATTCCATAACCTAGTATTTTCCTCATGGTAACTCTCATATCTTTTACAGTGAGACCCAATTCCCATCTTTTTTGAATCGCCAAGAAATCCAATTATGTTGGATCTAACACATCATAGTAAATACCCACAGCCACATATCAGGGACAGTTTTAATTGTTGTCTTACAAACTGAGATGATTTCCTTGCACAGTAGCAAACTTCCCAAACCGTACTGAACATCTTTGTTACTTGAAAAAGGTTCATTCCCCATCTCTTGGATACTTTTTTTTCCGTGTCAGGAGCAACTTGAGAAATTGCAAGTTGCTTCTGGTGTGAATTGGTCGTCTGCAAGGACATTGTCCAGGGGTGCCCAGGTGTTTTGATGTTTTGCCACCCTTGTGGGAGGCTTCTCTCATGCCCCAACATGATGAGCTGAAGCTGACAGAGGGAGCTCATCCGCACTCTCCCCAGATTCGGACCTCTGACCTGTCAGTCTTCAGTCCTGCCGGCACAAGGGTTTAACTCATTGCACCACTGAGGACTCATTGGATAAAATGGCACAGCTCAAATTCAAGAGATACTATAAAGGGGTTTTAAGTGCAAGTAGTTGAATTGGAGTAACTAATCAGGAAAACTCCCCGCAGAAAACTAATTTTTCACCCAGTTGCTGTTAACTAAACATACAAGCTGTTACTTGCAGCACTACACAAATCTATTCTACTTTATTTCCAAGGTCTAGACCTCAATTATTTTCTTTAATTATAGCCGATCGGTTTTATTGCCTCCTTTAAAGGCCACAGGCATGATTGAACAAGTTGAATTAGTAATGAGATTAGGATCAGAGCTGCAAATGTAGTGTCTAAAATTTCAGAGGCAACATGATTAATGACATTATAAACTTGTCTATCCACTTAAAGCACACACTAGTGAAATGCTTGTCATTACAAAGGGACAAGAAGAGAAAATGTGAAAGGAGACAAAGGATTCTTGTATCTAGTTGTATCTAATTTAGGGAATTCTTATTGAGTCTAATTAAATTGCCAAGACACCCAAACAGGAACTTTTAAAGTACAGATATAAGGCTTTTAACCAACTTGTATAAACTAGTTTCCTCTTCTTACTTCCACAGTGATCGAGACAAGTGTAAGTTTAGTTTAGTTCTGGCAGAGCAATGTACAGGTTTCTATGTGATACAACCTTTAGTAAAGCTCTTCAAAAAACATATCTGCAGCAATTTTGGCATGAATTGGCAAACAAGAGAACAAATCTAATGGGTTACATGTAACACAGAATGTTGTGATAAACAACAAACAGATTGGATGCAGTTTATTTTAAATGTTCTCGCTTCGATCATACAGCTTAAGAGCAATACAATACCTGGCAAAGGACTGCAAGGTCACAGTCTCCCAAACGCAGAAGGTAAACAGCCGCCAGCAAAGAAAAGCCCTGTTGTGTTATCAGAGGCTCTACCAGCAAATCGCTTCTCTCACAGGTTTCTATAGCAAAAGTAATCAAAGGCCTATGTAGCAATGGAAGGGCTCCTCACAGTGCTTGTGTAAGCTTGAATGTAACCATAGGAACTGCAGTGTGTTCACACACAAGCACACAGATAAAGAGAGAATCCATTGAAGAATGTAGTCCGCTCTCTGTATTTACTCAAACATCAACAACTTGAAATATTTTTTTAATGGAAGTCAAAACCCTGATTTTTTTCCATTTCCTATCAAGCCGTGGTTCCCAACCTGTGGTCCATGAACCATCAGTTGTCTGCAAGAACGAAAATGTGATCCACGGCCTAACCATTACTACACCATTGCAATCCCCCATGGACTATGCTCCCTTCCTCATGGTCATGTGCCCGTGGTGAGAGAAAGCTGTTATGGACAGTTTCTTTCTGCTTTTTGTATTTTTTTCATCCTCAGCCCTCTCTCTTTCTTATTGTTTTACACGAGCGTTAACAAAATCTACAGATAACAACACAGCCCAACCCAAAAAAAAATTCTTGGTGTCTTTGTTTTTAGACCTGTTCCTTTGGGTTATTTGCGATGCTGATTCAGAAACATGCACTGGATTGACCACATCAGCTCTAGATTATTAAATATGGTTTTAATAATATGGTATTAAATATGGTTTTAATATGGCAATTACTGGATGGCATACATTCTGTATCAGAAACTGGAGCTGATGTGGTCTATCCAATGCAATTTTCTGAATCAGCACCCCAAATAAGCAAACTGAAGCTAAAGTTGACCAAAAACTGATTCATAAACCTTTTGGTACTAATGTTGGAGAGTGATCCCTGGTCAAAGTGGTCTCTGGTCAAAAAAGGTTGGGGACCATTGCTATAGCATTTTATTATGCAATTGTATAGAATAGGCATCTATGTATTTTGAAATCCACAGGTAGTCCTGCAACCAAACCCCAGCTGATACACCAAGAGTCCATTGGACCATACTTCTCACTAATAGATAAAACACAGATCCATTTTCTCCACAAAATGTGATCTGTCCTCAAAGAAGGAATATACATGCAGATATACCTCAGTTGACAAAGTTAGTGTGTCCCTTGCTATTATTTCTTAGCATGTACCAGAAGTTGAAATAATATAGAAAGGACAGGGCTCAGTTCCTATTCTACATGAAAAAGAACTACTTGACATGTTTCAGCAAACCTTTCCTTAGTGACTTAAGACATATGCATCTGAAATGGAACAACTCAAGTCAGGTAAGACTTGCACTTGCATAAGTAAACAAAAATATTTTGAACGTTCTGGAGAGCTTTCCAGAGATGAAGAACCATTTCTTTCACCAGCTGCCACCTTTCCTAAAATTTCCAATTTGGTGTCCAAACTTATAGAGGCGAGCAAGATGCTGTGGGACAGCTTGGAGGAAGGCTTATTTACTCTCCCCCTTTCTCCAGTTTGTTGTTTATATGCGTTCAGCAAAGGACATTAGAGGCAATCACTGTTTGCCTTGCCTTTTGTAGGCAAACACACAGCTGCAGTAGGATCAGCTAAAAATGAATCCAATTCTTTCCCAGCATTAGCTTTAAGACTTTGCTTACTGCTGATATGATAACCCAGCACTGAAAGTCTGTATTTTTCCATTAAAAAGACATGAAAAAGTTGTGTGTAAAAGAGCTTCACTCACAGAGACAGGGCTGAATTAAGACATTTGGAGGCTCTACTTAAAATATTCTGGTGCCCCATGTCTCCAATTCAAAATATAAACAATAATAAACCATAGATGCAGGCGAATCGTCAGGAGAGAATGCCTCTAGAACATGGCCATATAGCCTGCAAAAACCTACAACAACCCATAAAATATTTGTCAAAAGGAAACAAAATTTACAATAAAATGGGAAATAATGTTTTTTTGTGCTAATATTGTATTTTCTTTCATTTGAGGGGGATTTCCCTTTTTTCTGAAACCACACTAAAAAAGGTAATTTTTCATGGCTTCGAAACTTTTACATCTCTTAGAATGCATCTACACTGTAGAATTAATGAGGCTGGACATCAGTTTAACTACCATGGCTCAGTGCTATGGAATCATGGGAAGTTGTAGTTTTATGAGGTCTCTAGCATTCTCTGCCAGAATACTGATGCTGCATAGAATCAGAGTTAGAAGAGACCTCGTGGGCCATCTAGTCCAACCCCCTGCCAAGAAGCAGGAAAATTGCATTCAAAGCACCCCCGACAGATGGCCATCCCACCTCTGTTTAAAAGCCCCCAAAGAAGAAGCCTCCGCCACTCTAGGGCAGAGAGTTCCACTGCTGAACAGCTCTCACAGGAAGTTCTTCCTAATGTTCAGGTGGAATCTCCTTTCCTGTAGTTTGAAGCCATTGTTCCACATCCTGGTCTCCAGGGCAGCAGAAAACAAGCCTGCTCCCTCCTCCCTATGACTTCCCCTCACATATTTATACATCGCTCTCATCATGTCTCCTCTCAGCCTTCTCTTCTCAGGCTAAACTTGCCCAGCTCTTTAAGCTGCTCCTCATAGGGCTTGTTCTCCAGACCCTTCATCATTTTCGTTGCCCTCCTCTGGACACATTCCACTTTGTCAACATCTCCCTTCAATTGCAGTACTCAGAACTGCACACAGTGTGATTCCAGGTGTGGTCTAAGCAAGGCAGAATATAGGTGTAGTATGACTTCCCTGAATCTAGACACTATACTCCTCTTTATGCAGGCCAAAATCCCATTGGCTTTTTTAGCTGCCACATGACATTGTTGGCTCATGTTTAACTTATTGTCCACGAGTTATCATCTCTCCTGAGTTAGATGATCAAGTTTATTTTTTTGCTGTTCCAGAGGAACAGACTAACCCAGACTAACAGATTTAAGTTGAAAGGGTGGAGGGAGTTATGATTACATATCATAAGGAACTTTCTGACGGAAAGAACTGTTTGACAGTAGCACTGACTACTTGAATGGTGATGGGCTCTTTTGCTGAAGGTTTAGCAGGTGCTTTATCTGTGCATTTCTGCACTGGGAATGGGTCAAATCAATGCCCTTTAGTTGTTTTGAATCTGGATTTCTTTCTTTTACTGAAATGCAAATTGTGGATGTTTAAAATAAAATTACACATAATTCTAAATTAGTTATAATACCATGTGGAAAAAAAATATATGAATCTCATTTATCAAGTTCAAAGAAAAAAACAATATTACTCTATATTAATTGACAGGTTATTTAATTAAAAGTGGTGGACACACATCATTAAAAGAATCACAAGTATATTTTAATTATATTTGCCCTAAATTGAAGTCTCAGGATTAATTGGTACTCTAATGAGTCAACCAGCGATCTGGTTGAGTCAAACTTCAACAATCAATTCCCAGTGGATGGTCTGCAGTGACCAGTTTCCAGCGCTATGGTTCCCACACGATATCGTCTTTCTTCAATACCGACTGAAGCTTCTGAGCACATTTTAAGAGCTGAAGAGAACTTGTGCTCCTATTCACAGGACAGGAACTGCGGGCCCCAAGTCTTGAAACGACAGCCGTCTCTTTGGTTCCTGTCAATTCCTCTGAGTTTGATGCAGCGTTAGCTACTTTTCTCTTCAGTTTTTGAGCACTCCGCCTCAACTTGAAAACCTAAATAACAAAAAAAAAACAAAACAAAACAAATCAATATAAACTCTTCCCACAATTGGATGAAGCAAAATATATAAATATTTGGGCTCAAAGAGGCATTATCTACAAAACCAGGTTTAATTGTGCTGTTTTTGCACCATTCATACAACCAGAATTCAAGCTTTTTAAAACGACAAGGCCTTTTGCATCAACTATACACTCCTTTAGGGAGCCCCTGGTGATGCAGTGGGTTAAAGCGCTGAGCTGCTGAGCTTGTTGACCGAAAGGTCGCAGGTTCGAATTTGGGGAGCAGGGTGAGCTTCCACTATCAGCCCCAGCTTCTGCCAACCTAGCAGTTCGAAAACATGCAAATGTGAGTAGATCAATAGGTAGATCTGGCGGGAAGGTAACAGTGCTCCATGCAGTCATGCCAGCCACATGACCTTGGAGGTGTCTACAGACAATGCCGGCTCTTCGGCTTAGAAATGGAGATGAGTGCCAACCCCCAGAGTCGGACACGACTGGACTTCATGTCAGGGGAAAACCTTTATCTTTACTATACACTCCTTTGCTTTATGTCCTAACCACTTCCTTACATGTTCTTGGTGTTTTTTTAGCTTTGAAATTTGTTCTCCTTTGATTTCCATCTGCTTTACAAGGCAATCCAGTTCACGTTCTAAGTCTTCCCGCATGTCTTGCTCTTGAGTTTCTTGTATTTGCTTTAACAGTTCTTGATGCTCACTGTTGAAAACAAAAAAATAATCAGAATTTTAATCAGTCAATCAATCCACTGTCTTTCATATGACTACTCTCATCTGCTCATCATCAGAAAAACTTAACTACTTTCACAGTATCACACAGCCAGGCTCCATCTACACTGCCATATAAAATCCAGATTATCTGCTTTGATAATATGGATTATATGGCAGTGTAGAAGGGGCTTCCATTACGAAAAAGCAAGGAATAGTTAAAGTACTATTATGCAATAGCACTCCCTTCTTACACCATGCCTTCGCTTAGCAGACCACATAGAGATTCCTAGAGAAAACACTTTAATCCAATCTCTGAATAATCAAATCTGCAAAAGTCAAACACACAAATGTGGTAACTCACCCAATCTTTATATGGGTATTATTTGAGCAACCTGTTTTCAAATAGCATGTTTTTAATAAAACATTTGAAAAATATAAACACAATAAATAAGGTGTTTTACAAAGTTGCTGCAACTCAAGGTTTTACAAGAAGCAGAAACTTTCTCAACTTTGGCATACATTCAGTAATCTGTTAGGACCAAATGCAGCATACCTCTAATCACAGTAAGAAGTTAACAATTAATACAGCTTGTAAGTCTTATATTTCAAGTGCTTCTAACAATACAATATTTTTGACACTGGAATTTGGGAGACCAAACTAAGTACTGTGATCTATTTTTGTGGTAAACACAACTGGAAAATGGCCCCGCTACAAAAGACTGCAAGCAGCAATTAAGCCTGCAAAACATTTGCACAAAAAGCAGTGGAAATGCACCATAAAGAACACCAAGCAACTTCATTCTCCCCAACTTGCCTCTGAAGTTGTAGGGTGTTTAAACAAGTCCTACCCAAAACAATATGGCTGGGATCCAAAGAGCTAGTTTGAGCATGCATGCTTTTTTCTTCAAACAGAACCATCTTACATGAAGAAATCTTTCTTAGGGGAGGCGAGGTACTCTGCTTCTTATGTTGTATTAATATGTAGTTGGACACAGAAGAATATAATTTATTCTTAGCAATGTTTGTGAAAGTGTCTTTTTTCAAACGAAATAGATGGTTCTCAGCTTTCAACAGTGTGTTCTAAACCTATAGCTTCCCAGCTACTTATAAATACCAACAGACAATTGAATACGTACAAGCTCATTTGTCCCAGCTCATCCTGCATGACCAAGAGAAGATCGGAAAGACTATCTGTCGCCGAAGAAGACGTGTTGCAAGATGATGGTCTGCCCAGAGCAGCCCTTCTTGAAGGCCTCTTTTCACTTTGTTCTGGGTAATGTGAAGTCACGCATGGACTACGATATTTCATCATATGCAGGACACTTTGAACATTTGCAACAACAGAGTGACTTGAGCTGGCAGACTTGTAGGAAAAGTAGCGCATTAGAAAGTCTCTTTAAACAAACAATAACTTAAAGGAAATGTCATTTAAGAAGATAGAGAACTTACCTTCCCGGCAACAAAAGGTAGCACTCCAGTCTGTTGCGATGGGTGTGAGCCATGGGTTTTTGTCAAATCTGTATTGTTCTGAAAATTAAAACTAGATTTATTGCTGTTTTTCAAGAAATAGGAAGTGTAGGGGTCCCAAACATGCCATTATACCACCAATGTCCATACTGATTTTTATATTGTACTGTCTGGGAAACTATGGAAAGCCACCTTTGAATTTGTTAGTAAATGCTATTTTATTTACAGTATTTCTATACTGCTTTTCCCACCCCTAGGGGGACTCAAAGCGGTTTATGTGCATCGGGGTTTTTTTAAAGCTTGAGAATGATCATAGTAAAATATCTTTGCTGATATTGATCTGGAGATAACAACAACAACAACAACAACTAGCACTGACAAAATTACTATCCGTCAGCTGCAAAAGGCCACCCTACTTGGATCTGCACACCTTATTTGATATATCAAACAGCCCTAGACACTTGGGAAGTGTCCAACGTGTGATTTATATTAATTGTATTGTATTTATTGTTTTTGTTTATTGCTTTTTGTTTTTATTGATGCGTTGTTGGGCTTGGTCTCATGTAAGCTGCTCCGAGTCCCTTGGGGAGATGGTGGTGGGGTATAAAGTTATTATTATTATTATTATTATCCAAAATAAAGGCCAGCATAGTGATCTTGTTTGCTGCATACTAATCTTGTTGTGTATCTCATCATCATCATCATCATCATCTTTATTTTTAACCTGCCCTCTCTCCCCAGAGAGATTCAGTCTAGATTTTATCATCTCCACATAGGAGTTTTTCAGTGCAATTAAAAGAAGTTAATATATCTTAACACTTAAAACTTAAAAAAAAAAACAATCTCTGGAAGAAGCTACTAAATAAACTTGTTTTTTTTTTTAATGACAATAGCTATCCACAAACACTGGGGAGATATCTTAATACTATTTCTTCAAGTTATTTTTACTGCATATTTGACTATTCTTTTCTTTTACTGCAATGCCATACATGACATATGAAGACTTTCCTGAGGATCTTCAAATCTCCAGGAGCGCCTTTTTGGGGGATACAAAGTTCTGTATGGAAAAAAGGAGAGGAAAGCCTTCCTAGACAGACTGAAGAGCCTTTGTGGAATACTGGATAAAAATCTGAGGTTGGATACAGATTTCTTGCTCTCATTAAAATATTTATATCAAGTCCTAGAAAACCAACTATTTGCCCATGTGGATATGCCCTCAGTCGCCTTAGAAGTACTATTGAAACGGCTGCATAAAGAAAAGAAAAATATATGACTTCCCTAACTTTGAGATAGATTTTAAAAATTCACCTTTACACCTTTTTTCTTCCTGCTCTTCTTCTTTGTATCTTTTTGTGGTGAAAGTGAAGACAAAAGAATTCTGTTCATTTCAAGTCCTGTTTGCAGCTAAAGTCAAGAAAGAAAAGCAGACCTCATTCAGGCTGATATCTCAATCCACAACAAAGAGAAACAACAGATCCTTCCACGGGGTCATTTGTCCACCAGAAACAGATCACAAGAAAATACACAGTAACAGGCATCTCATCTCTTCAGAATGACACAAGAGATCACTGGGAGAAATCTTTCATATTATCTCAGTAATGTACAGCTTTTATTTTGAAAAAAGATTTCTTCTAATTTCTTCAATGGGTTAAATACGATGCACTTTAGTGTGTGCTAGCACAGGACAAAACTCCTGCCATACGGCTACATGTTTGAACTCATTAGCAACATCTGTTTCGCACATAATGCATATCTCCATCAGCCTGCAATTGCAAACATTCACAACATTGCTGACATAGGCAGTCTCCTCCATTACACAGAACGTTCCAGGTGCAAACTGCAGTATTGGTGTTTTTATCCAGTACTATACTTTTATACAGCTCCATATCTATAAATTTACAGGTTGGGCACTGGGGCCAATAAAGCTACTACAACTGTACAAAGACCTTGCCTGGTCAGAAACACGAATGATATCCCATTAGAATATATTAACCTAAAAAGCTAGCAAAGACAAAACTATTCCTGCGTGTGTATTAGACCAAGAATGTTTAATGCAGAATGTAGCTTTATGGGTCAAATTTTGCAGACCCAGTCAGAACAAGGGAAATTGACTTTTTGAACTATAGTTCTTAGAATCTCCTCTGAGATTCTAGCAGCTACAGTCTCCAAAAGATTATATTTCCAAGTCATATATACGATGTGCAGCCTCATGTGTGACTGACACCATCTGCAGCAGTGCAGGCATTGAAATAACACAAATCTCTATATGGAGCAGCAGTGATCGAGTCTTTCCAGGCAGATTTACTGCTACAGGTCACTGTAGTAAAGTTTAGTCTTTACTACAAAGTAAAGTTTAGTAAAGTTTAGTCTTTACTGATTAGTTCACTGACCATATCAACAGTAAAAGACAAAAACAAAAAATACACAAATAGATACTAATTACTGTCCTAAAACTCATGTAATAGTGAACATACATTAAAACACAATTAAAACTTGATTAAGTTAAAAGTTAAAGATAGTTAAAAAATATCATCATTAAAGTGCCAAGGTAAAACTGCTGCAGGATCATTGAGAATATTTTATCAAGTTGATATACGTCTTCAGCTCAGGCAAAAACAGATATTTATTAGTCCAATTAAAATCCACAGGGCATTTTTTTTAATACTAACAATGTCCCCAGAACTTGTGACAGAATTTGGAACTCACTGACCAGAATTGGCACCTACTTATTTTGATGGTAAAAAAAGTAGCTTATGAAAATATGACTGCAAATTCTAGACCAGTGGTTCTCAACCTGTGGGTCCCCAGATGTTTTGGCCTTCAACTCCCAGAAATCCTAACAGCTGGTATACTGGCTGGGAATTCTGGGAGTTGTAGGCCAAAACACCTGGGGACCCACAGGTTAAGAACCACTGCTCTAGACAAAGCTAGTGTTATGCTCACAGAATAAGTAATATCCAAGTTGACAACTCAAACATCAAGAATATTATGAAAACCAGATCTCACATAACAATGGTCTCTTCTAATTAATAAGCATTAAGCTAACTTTGCCAACTTGGTCCATTCTGAGATGGTAGATAAGCTTAAGTATGTTTGAAATTTTGCATCTAAGACATTTTAGGAGAAGAGTTGTGGCTTCCATACCGATAAGAACACAGGTATTTTAGAAAATGTGCAAGATATTGCTAATTTAATTTCTACAAGTTTGTTGTTGTTCATTCGTTCAGTCGTTTCCGACTCTTCGTGACTACAAGTTTAGAACATTATAAAAAACCCACAGAGGTTCTGAAAACAAAGCAGGGCAGGAATGTGGAAATGACATATTTAGAAAAGAGTAACCATACATCCAAAAGAGTACAGTACATCCTTATCTTTGTGGAGGGTATGTTCCAAGGCACATGGTGGATACCTGAAAGCATGGCTGACTGTGAACACTAGATTTTGACTATACTTGGGCTGGAAACATACCATAGAATTGTGTCAGTGGATTTAGAGAGGCCCACAAAGAGTTTTTTGGGAGAGCGATTTTTTTTTTTAGAATGAAGGAGTGAAACCATGGATATTGCATCTGTAGATAAGGAGGTTGTACTGTACAGTGGTGTGTCATGGTACAACTGATCTTTGGTATTGTGGCTGGTTAACACAGATCTAACACAGAGATCTGAACCTTCTTTTCTTTATCTTTACAACCAGATTTCCCTCCTCGCTCACCTGTGCTGCCTTATCTTGTATTAGCTTACGCTGATGTTGCTCTTCCTGAAGCTTCTGCTCCAAGTATTTGATCTTTTCCTTTGGAAAAAAAAACACACAAAAGATACATTCTAAATCACATTTAGGATTTTTTAAAAATCGTGTCAGAAGCCACTTGAGAAACTGCAAGTCACTTCTAGTGTGCAAGAAATGGCCGTCTGCAGAGACGTTGCCCAGGGGACACTCGGGTGTGTTATCATCCTGTGGGAGGCTTCTCTCATGTCCCTGCATGGGAAGCTGGAGCTGACAGAGGGAGCTCATCCTGTCTCACAGATTCGAACCACCAACCTTCAGGTCAGCAGTTCAAACGGCACAAGTATTTAACCCGTTGCGCCACCACGGCTCCTACATTTGGGATGACAACACTGAAATGATTTTGAAAATGGGAACTACAGCTTTCCAATACAGGAACCAAGGTTGTGGCATAAAGCAGGAACGAAAAATACTGCACTCTTCACTTTAACATAGAAATACCTAAATCCTCCATAGCTGCTTCTGCCAGTCTTACAAATGTTACAGTGTATAAGAAATCCAACTCATGGACTGTTAGTGTAGTTACAGGAGGCCTTCCACTTTCACACGAGTTAGTGGTGCAAGGCCCCTGGGAAAATGGGGAAAAAACAGGATTTAAAAAATAAAGAACTATATTATTTACCTGAGGAATCTCTAGGTCCTCCAGGGTGATTCTATGGTCAACTTCTACTGGAGCTTGACTATAGGATCATGCTGGATGACCTACAAATGGCTGAGGAATTTTCTCTCTTGGGACCTCATCACACTAGAGAATGAATCCACTTAAAATCTGGTTTCTGCCTCCTGCAGAACTCTGGGGTTTGTAGTTTAGGGAGGAGCCTTTAACATCCTCACTAAACTACAAACCCCAAAATTCTGCAGGAGGCAGAAACCAGATTTAAAGTGGATTCATTCTCTAGTGTGATGAAGTAGTTGAAATCTTTAGATTCTCCAGCACAACACGAGAGTTGCGCTGGAGGACCCAAAGGTACCTACAGAGAACATACGCATCAAAATGGTGAATAATCATATCCACAGATGTTAAACCCACAAACGTGGAGGGGGAATTATACTTACTTCTGCCGTTTTCTGAGTGCTGGTCAGTCTCCAGCATTCTTTTTCGAGGATTTCAAGCTTGTCGAGTTTTGCACATAACTCCACTTGATCCTGGTCCTTTTCCTTCTGAAGCTGGATCTGAAAAATGTGCCCAAATTTGACAACTGATCTTCTTCCACTTTCAAAGATCAGCAAGTTTAATCCCATCAAAGAAAACAGATGTTGATTCTAAAGCAAGAAGCACCACAGTGATCCACGATGAATCTGTTCATTCATAAAAATGTGAACAAGCTTCATGTGAAAAAAGGAAAATCCCTGAAATTTATCTTCTGTACTTGACAGCTGCCATGGAATTTTATTTATTTATTTATTTACTCTATTTATATACTACCTTTCACACCCCTGAAGACAATGTTACACTGATGACAACTTTGTACAGATGAGCCAGATGATGGTAGAGAAAGAAGCAGAGAATGTCAAAGACCAAATATTTCACCCAGCTGAACCCTGAACTTTCCATGGGAGGTGCCCATGAAGATTGAAATGTACTTTATGACCCCGATATTAATGTTTTTTTCCCTAATATCCAGACATTAATTCAAGTATAATACACTTGCTATTCAAAACATCTTGAAGTTTTTTTGGGAGGGGGGATTCATGTCAGGAGTGACTTGAGAAGCTGCAAGTCGCTTCTGGTGTGAGAGAATTGGTCGTCTGCAAGGGCGCTGCCCAGGGGACACCTGGATGTTTTGATGTTTTACCATCCATGTGGGAGGTTTATCTCATGTCCCTGCATGGGGAGCTGGAGCTGACAGAGGGAGCTCATCCACGCTCTCCACAGATTCGAACTGTTGACCTATCAGTCTTCAGTCCTGCCAGCATAAAAGTTTAACCCACTGCGCCACCAGAGGCTCCTTATCTTGAAGTAGTAACTTGTATATAAAACTCTGTTGTATTTTACCATCTCTGGATCAGGATCAGAAAGGCCAGTTTTGAACTGATTTGTAGAGGCTGCAGCTAGGGAAAATTATTTGTTTCCATTTTCTTCCCACTTAAATCCAACAAATGTCCTAGAAAGGGGTACTTCATAATTTTGGTTTCAATTTACTTATTATTTATTTAAACCCATTTTCTACCAAAGCATTTCCTCTAGCATTTTATAGATTAAATTATTGTATTATTGAATTCTGGTCTCAAGAAATTTAGTCAGCAAATTTGTCCAGTCATCTCCATTGATATCCACTCAAGAAGAGATAATATTTGTCATCTGTAATATGGTGATGGAGTAAATTTGGGAAACAGATGAATTAGTGGGTTGCTGTGTGTTTTCTGGGGCTGTATGGCCATGTTCCAGAAGCATTCTCTCCTGACGTTTCACCCACATCCTCAGAGGTTGTGAAGTCTGTTGGAAACTAGGCAAGGGAGGTTTATATATACGTGATCTATAAACCCATAGATGTGGGCGAAACATCAGGAAAGAATGCTTCTGGAACATGATCATACAGTCTGGAAAACTCACAGCAACCCAGTGATTCCAGCCATGAAAGTCTTTAACAATAGATGAATTATTACTGAATCTTTAGGAACTACTAGAAAAAGTAATTGAATGATTGATGTTCTACCAGTTTGAACAAGCAAAATAAAAGATGAAAAATGGTACTAACGAAGCTGGGACAGAGTATTTCTGAAACAGGTCAATAAATGAGTGAAACAATGCATAGGAATTTGTACTTCTACATTTTTGTGTCATGTAATTTCTATTGTTTTAACCAATGTTTGCCACTTTGAATCCCACCCATGGGAGAAAAGCGAGATAAAAATAAATAAATAAATAAATAAATGATGTGAAATATTAAACGCATGCATACTTGCTGCTCCAGCACCTGCCTCTTTTCCAACTCTGCACTGACCACCATCCTCCTCATGTATTCTAGTTGTTTTTCCAGCAAGGAGCAACGTGTTTGCGCTGCCCCTAACTGCATGCTCACACCTTGAGAGGAGAAAAAGAAAGGTCACAGAGGAGTAAACATAATGCTCTATTCGCCTTACAGGTTTATCCTCTCATTCACAACATATTACACAACAATTCTGTTACAATAAATATGGCATCTTTATCACTTGCACTACAGCTAGATCCTGATCCACAGGCTCAGGGTGCATCCACACTATAGAATTAATACAGTTTGATACCAATTTAACTGCTATGTTGTAGGTCTGAGGCCTTTTCTGCTGAAGAGTTCTGGTGCCTCACCAACTACCAATCCCAGAATTCCATAGCATTGAGCCACGGCAGTTCAAGAGTTTTCAAACTGCATTGATTCTATAATGTAGATGGAGCCTCAGTAACCTGCACGTTGGCTAGATTTACTGTTTATTAGCAATTGAGGCACATAAAAAGTCTCCACTGCTTTAAAACACCAGGAACACATAAAAGTACATTAACTCCAATAATTGTGTATTTTAATATTTTGATAAATGTTTTTTAATGTTTATGTATGTGTATGTGAATTTGTGTCCCAGCATTGAATGTTTGCCATGTATATATGCTGTGCTCCGCCCTGAGTCCCCTTTGGGACCCTTCTCACCCCTTCGGGGTGAGAAGGGTGGAATATAAATGTTTTAAATAAATAAATAAATATAAATAAAAATCTACAAATATTCTTACAGCTTCTTTAAAGTCTGTATCGTCAAAAAGTATAATAGAATCCAAATTTGTTTCATCAAGAATGAAAAAAGAAAACATAAGAATAAGCTGCAAATGGTTGCACATTTCCTACAACTCAAAAGCACAAAATGCAAATTAGAGCAACTAATAAAGCAGATCTGCAAGAAAAAAAATTCAAGCCCTATTTATTACAGGTTCTGATGACATATTAGAGGGGAAAGCAAACCAAATGTATAAAAGCAACACTTCTTTGACATGAACAGAGTCAGGGTTTCATCAGTGCTAATGGAAGCTACCTTTCCTCTCTTGCATCATTTCTCCATGTGTTTTATCCTTTTCATTTGATTCATGCTGCAGGGCTCTTTTGTACTGGGCGGCTTCTCTGGAAAGGGCATTCAAGTCATCTTCAGCCTGGGATCGTTCCAGTTCAAGGCGGTGGATCTTTTCTTGCAGAGTCCTGAGGGCTGTCACTAGAGCTGGTGAACAGATAATTTAATCATTAATCTTTAAAAATTAACAGTTCCTTTTGCGCCACAAGAAAAGTATTCTTATGCCAAGTTGAACCAGGCCATAAAAGAATTTACTGTAGGGAGCCACACAGCAGAAACTTCCTTGTTGGAACTTGTTGCATTACAGGAGAGTCAGTCAGCTGTACCCAGCACTTGAAATTGTAGAAAGAGGTGTCATAAAAACATATGCATCCGATATATAAATATTAAATAGGTTCCCATCAAGACACACTGTAATATTAGATCTAACTAGGCACAACGAATACAGTGTATAGTGTAAAATGTGGATTTACAAGCCCTTACATTGACACTCCTCCTAACCATATCACCAAGGAGAACCTCAAAATGCAGGCAGGTGTGTGTGTGTTTGTGTGTATGTGTATTAACAGACACACAAGCTATTGGATCTTAACAGCATGGCTTTCATGTGATGGAATCAATTGTGCTGAGTTCAATATTCTTCAGTTAAGTTGCTTTCTCCTTTCTTTTCCATATATCTAAATCCCAGCATGTACCAGATTATTTTACTTTGCTTTCATAGCTTTGTTGTTCTACCTTGACATGCATCTCTCCATTTTTGTGCAGCTTTCAATTCAGTATTATCCTTTAATAATAAAACTTAATTTATATTCTGCCTTATCTCCCCAAGGGGACTTGTGCAACTCTTTGTTTGGAAACTATGGTTTTAGTTCTAAATATTTGTCAGTTCAAGCTATTTTTGGTGAGTTTCAACTTTCACTAGTGTCTAGGTTTGGCAAACTAGGCCATTTTGGACAGCTTGTCTTAATTTAGTACCTCAAATTTATATAGCCATAGCCTAAATACAAGTTTGATGGCTGTCACTTTCAGAGAACCTGTTTACTATAAGATCTATAATTCAAGCCAGCAAGGTCTGTCTAGCTGTCTTCCTTAGATCTGAGAGCTCGGTCAAGTCCTCAGCCTAGTAATATTTCACAATCACAAACCAAAATATTTTTAGTATATATATAACCATGGGATATATTTAAATGTGCGGTGCTTTACCTTGGTTGTTCGGTGCAGGAATATCTGTTGGAATAGTTTTCTTCTTTAACTCAAAGCCAGATCTTATATTAACTGGAGGCTGAAGAAAGCTGCCAATGTAGCTGTGCTTTGATGCACTATCAAAAGACTGACAAAAGATACACAAGGTTGTTCATAAGTTCTACGTGAGTCTGAATATACCACTTTCCCTAGAGGTTTCCTTTCTACACATAGACATGACAAACACATCTATTGTCAGAAATAAGAAAAGGAGCAGTATCTTATTGAATGGGCTTACTCCTGTGTAAAATTGTGCTGCTAATTGCAACTGTGTGCAAAGTAGCGTTTCCTCAGTGACGTGCAGTGTTGATCGCGAAAGTATCATGACAGTATACTGGATACCATGAGTGGAAATTCTCCCTTGGCATACTTTTGTTGACACAATTTTGTGACTGCTTATTTTGCAAACATTTACATTTCCATCTTGTGTATTAGCAAAATATACATTTGTATACAGAAAGCAAAATGTTTCAGCGTGGAAGTGTAACCAATGGTGACAATTCACTGAGTATTTTTTGCACAATCAGAAACTGTGCAAATCAGTTTCTCCAGAGAAGATAAAAGGAGCAGTCTTGATTTGGAAGGCTAAGTCAGAATAATATTTTGTCAATGATTAATATTTTGCACAATCAGAAACTGGTTTCTGACAGCATGTTAATACATCCATGTGCTCATTCAAATTCTACAGCACCATCTAGAATTGTTTTGTCAATTTAGAAAAACAGGTTTTCTGCTTGGTTAAAATTAACCTAGAGCAGTGGTTCTCAACCTGGGGTCCCCAGATGTTTTGGCCTACAGCTCCCAGAAATCACAGCCAATTTACCAGCTGTTAGAATATCTGGGAATTGAAGGCCAAAACATCTGGGGACCCACACATTGAGAACCATTGACCTAGTGCTTGAGTATTGTAATTATAGTTGTTTGCAGTATTAGGACTGAGTTTTTAAACAGCACTGTGAGAGAAAAAAACCAGAATGCATAAATCTTTGGTATCTCGAGTTACAAAGAAGAAAGACCAGACTTATTACATCTACCCAACCTCAATGAAAACTCCATGTATTAATATCATGCTATTCAGCAAATGAGACTTTAACTACCACTTTCTGTTCTATCTGTTAAACAGTATAAATGAAAGTGGCCTCACTTCAGTACAAAAGAATCACCCCTTAAGATTCCCAAAGATTATTTTTAAATGAAACAGGTTAATACAGTTGCAAAGTTAACCATAAAAACAGTCTCTGCAGCACAATAATTCTAAATGCCTTTTTCTCCTAACTATAAAAAGCCTTAAACATTTTTACTTCTTAAGATACTGTTTTAGAATAGACAGTTACCTGGTCTGCTGAAGTTGTGTTACTCACCTCCATAACAGAGGACCCAGCGCCCCACTCTCCTGAGAAGATAAAAGGAGCAGTCTTGATTTGGAAGGCTGTCAGAATAATATTTTGTCAATGATTAATATTTATTTTCTTCCATTCAAGATATCAAACTGAGTCACTAAACACCTCCCAACAAAGGATTCCTCCAGGCAGGAATCACCCAGGCCTTGAAGCTGCAAGACTTTGCAATGCTAATTAAGGTGATCAGTTGCAACATTCACACTTACCTCCAACAGACAAGAGTTCTTTCTCCCAATCTGGACCTTCAACAGATATATAAACCTCCCTTGACTAGTTTCCAACAGACCTCACAACCTCTGAGGATGCCTGCCATATATGTGCATGAAACATCAGAAGTGAATGCTTCTGGAACATGGCCATACAGCCCAGAAACCTCACAACAACCCAGTGATTCCGGCCATGAAAGCCTTCGATAACACATTTGTATAAAATCAGCATTTATTAAGAAACAATAAAACCAGAATCCATCATTTCAGCAAGAACCATGTGTGTATTTATGGGAAATTTAAAAAAAATCAGTCAAGAGGGGACGAAAATTAATTTGAGAAAAATGTTGGTTTTCACCTTTTCTGGATCACCATCAGGCAGAGGCACAGAACCTATGCTTTTACTATTTGTATTAATGTTGACCCAACATATCTAAACAAATATGCTTCATACTGAAACTCAGACAAACCAAGCGTTGATCCCTCTGTTTATACAACATCAATAGGGAAGCAAAAAAGTAGTACACCGTGTCATTGTAGCAAATTTCTCTGTTACAGGACTGGAGTATGCAACATGTATCTTCAACCCAGTAAAAAAAATCAAGCCAGAGCAAACCCTTTAAATTTTAAAAGTCATGTGTTGAGCAAATAAATGTGAGCATTAGTTCATGATATCTTTGTCCTTTCCTTTGCCATTTTGCCTCTGCAGCCGAATTTGACTTGGAACCCCCAGTGATGAATGCCAGGGTTTCTTATTTAGGTTTACTGTATGGGATGCACAATTGTGCAAATATGCTTTATACCGGAACATTTATTATTCCTCTTAACTTTAAAGTGGATGATAAGGACATTCAAAGATTTCAAGATTTGCCTTGTTGTTCACCAGAATGTAGACTGCAATCAAATCAGAAGACTATATATTGGAAGGGCAACTATGAAAGAACCAGTCAAGATCCTGAGATGTAAAGATATATCATTGGAGACTAAAATTAGGATTATATATGCCATTGCATTTCCAATTATTGTGAAAGAAAGCTGGACAGTGAAGAAAACTGACAGGAAGGAAACCAACTCATTTGAAATGTGGTTCTAGAGGAGAGTTCTACAAACACTGTGGACTGCTAAAAAGATAGACAAATGGACTTTTCCCTAGAAGCCAAGATACCTATTTTTTTCATGTCAGGAGTGACTTGAGACATTGCAAGTCGCTTCTGGTATGAGAGAATTGGCCGTCAGCAAAGACGTTGCCCAGGGGATGCCCCAGATGTTTACCATCCTATGGGAGGTTTCTCTCATGTCCCCACATGAGAAGCTGGAGCTAACAGATGGGAGCTCACCCCCGCTCCTCAGATTCGAACCACCAACCTTTCGGTCAGCAGTCCTGCTGGCACAAGGGTTTTAACCCATTGTGCCACCGGGGGCTCAACTGAGACTAAATTGAGACTATCCTACTTTGGATACATAATGGAAAGATGGGACTCACTAGAAAAAACAATAATGCTTGATAAGGTAGAAGGCAATCTAAAAAGAGGAAGAGTGCATTCCAGGGCCATAACTACAGGGACCACTTTAACTGCCATGTCTGTGGAATCTTGGGAGCTGTAGTTTGGTGAGGCACCAGCACTCTTTGGCAGAGAAGGCTAAAGGCCTTATAAAGCGGCATCTTATCTCCCAGGATCCCATAGCATTGAGCCATGGCAGTTAAAGTGGGATCAAACTGCATTCATTCTAAAATATGGGGCCCTTCCCCACAGCCCTATATTCCAGAATATCAAGGCAGAAAATCCCACATTATCTGAGTGTGGACTCAGATAACCCAGTTCAAAGTGGATATTGTGGGGTTTTCTGTCTTAGTATTCTGGGATATAGGGCTGTGGGGAAGGGCCCTGAGTCCACACTGCCATATATTCCAGTTCAAAGCAGATAATGTGGGATTTTATTCAGCTGTATTGAAGGGGTCACAGATGCACCCAAGTCTTGCAAATGTAGAGCCGTGGCTTTCTTTATTGAGTCTGGGCAACTGGGGCACATTTACACAGGGACTTAAGCACTGGAGGAGGGAAATTAATTAGTTGCATAGTGTGTTTACATGAGAAATACAACTGATCGGTTGCACCAAAGGGCCCTTCCAGACAGATCCTTTATCCCAGGATCTGATCCTTGGTTTTCTGCTTTAAACTGGATTATATGAGTCTGCATTGCCAGATAATCTGGGATAAACAGAAAACCTGGGATCACATCCTGGTATACAGGGCCTGCCTAGAAGGACCAAAGTTTCCTTGAAGCTGGATCTGGTTCCAAACTGCATTAATTCTACAGTGCAGCGGCAACCTTGGCCGCATCTCATTCCTGAGGGTCGCCATGCTAACTTGATAGCAATTGATAACAATATTCAAAGCAGTGGATTTAGATCGGAGGCTGGATCTACACTGCCCTATATTTATTTATTTATTTACGACATTTATATGCCACCCTTCTCACTCTGAAGGGGACTCAGAGCGGCTTACAAGATATATATACATATCAGATTTAAGTATTACTATTTGTACTATACTATTATACTGTAATATTATTAGTAATATTACATGTAATATAAATATATAATTATTATATCATATTATTAGTATTATATTGCACTACATTAATTATGATGATCTGCTTTGAACTGGATTATATGAGTCTACACTGCCAGATAATCTGGGATCAGATCCTGGGAATAGAAAAGGACACTGAGTCTTAAAGGTGCTGCCACGTGTTTCTTCCCTTTGCCCCCTTCTTACACTGCAATAGACCCATAGTGATACTTCTTTGAGCAGGACCAAGCGAAGGAGGGATTCCCACCTGAGGGATAGAAGAGAGACTTAGAGAAATGTGTGATTCTAGCCCCGGCCAGCCTCCAAGCCCCCAAATGAGCCTTTAGGATGCGCCCGACTTACTGCAGCTTCTTGTCCTTTCTTTTCCAGGGCCGTTTTTAAAGAGACCGCCTCCCCTCCCGCTCTCCCAGGCTCCCGCCCCGCCTTCCCCGCCTCACCTGTGACCCGGAAATAGACCCGCCTCCTTGAAGCCGCCCAGCCTACTTCCGCCCGAAAGAACCTTTCCTCTTCTCCTCCCTCTCTTTTCAGATCCTCTACATCAGATGAGTGACATCTATAGATTGGCTGCCAGGTTGCTCTATAAAATGTACATTCCCTGTTCATTGCACTAGCAGGCAAACCTGGTTTCCACATTTCGGCTTGTATCTTTCAGCAAACCACCCAAACATGCATGCAAAGGGTGCATCTTTCTACACTCTTGAATTAGTGTAGTTTAGTGGTTCCCAGCCTTTGGTCCTCCAGGTGTTTTGGACTTCAACTCCCACAATTCTTAACAGCTGGCAAACTGGCTGGGATTTCTGGGAGCTGAAGTCCAAAACACCTAGGGGACCAATGGTTAGGAACCACTGGTGTAGTTCGACACCATTTTAACTGACATGCTCAATGTTGTGGGGTCATGGGATCTGTAGTTTTGTTGAGCACCAGCCCTCTTAGGTAGAGGGGGCTGAAGACCTTGCCAAACTACAGCTTCCAGGATATCACAGCGCTGGGCCGTGTCAGTCAAAGTCATACAAAACTATTAATTCTGCTGTGTAGATCAGGCATGGGCAAACTTGGGCCTTCCAGGTGTTTTGGACTTCAACTCCCACAATTCCTAACAGCTGGCAAACTGACTGGGATTTTTGGGAGTTGAAGTTCAAAAAACCTGGGGGACCAAAGGTTGGGAACCACTGGTGTAGTTTGACACCATTTTAACTGACATGGCTCAATGGGATCTGTAGTTTTGTTGAGCACCAGCCCTCTTAGGCAGAGGGGCTGAAGACCTTACCAAACTACAGCTTCCAGGATCTCACAGCACTGGGCCATGTCAGTCAAAGTCATACTAAACCGTATTAATTCTGCTGTGTAGATCAGGCATGGGCAAACTTGGGCCCTTCAGCTCCCACAATTCCTAACAGCTGGAAAACTGGCTGGGATTTCTGGGAGCTGAAGTCCAAAACACCTAGGGGACCAAAGGTGTAGTTCGACACCACTTTAATTGACATGGCTCAATGCTATGAGATCATGGGATTTGTAGTTTTGTTGAACACCAGCCCTCTTTGGCAGAGGGGGTTGAAGACCATGCCAAACTACAGCTTCCAGGATCTCATAGCACTGTTCCATGTCAGTCAAAGTCATACCAAGCTGCATTAATTCTGCTGTGTAAATCAGGCATGGGCAAACAGATCCTCCAGGTGTTTTGGACTTCAACTCCCACAATTCCTAACAGCTGTTAGGAATTGTGGGAGTTGAAATCCAAAACACTTGGAGGACCCAAGTTTGCCCATGCTGGTGTAGATGTTCCCTTAGTTTAGACTCTGGAACACCAAGGGAGATCTGGACTTTCCTTCCTGGAGGTACTAGTATGGTTAAGAAGGATTTAAAATGTATATTTTGGAAGTTTTAACATTTTTTAAAATTCATGTTTAAAAATGTCAACAAGCCTTTGGGAACTTTTTATGAGGAAGTCTATTTTAATGGTGTGGTGCTGTACTGTTGTTCCTTGTTTTTTAATGTATATGTTTTCAAATTGCCTTTTATTCTGTTGATAATTTAATTATGTATATTTTAACTTCTTATATTTTTGTTTATATGAGTTTTTTAATTGTATCTGTTTTACAAGTTGCCTTGAGTCCCCTTGCTGTTGGGGAAAAGATGGCATATAAATAAATACTGAGGTGACTGCATGTCTCTGAGTAAATTACAGTATAGTCTCAGGCACATATCACACTGCTCCTATAGCCCATGATCGGATTCCAGATTATCTGTTTGTATCAGATTATCTGGCAGTGGGGACCCAGGCCCCTTCTACACTGCCATATAATCTGGAACTTCAAGTTACAACATCACATTAACTGCTTTGAGCTGGATAATCGGAGTCCACATTGCCATATAATCCAGTTCAATGTGGATTTTATACAGCTGTGTAACAGGGCCTCACCACTGTATAATCTGGAACATCAAAGTAGATAATCCACATTATCTACATTGAACTGGATTATATGAGTCTCAGGTAAAGGTAAAGGTTTTCCCTGACATTAAGTCGAGTCGTGTCTGACTCTGGGGTGGTGGTGCTCATCTCCATTTCTAAGTCGAAGAGCCGGCCTTGTCCATAGACACCTCCAAGGTCATGTGGCTAGCATGACTCCATGGAGTGCTGTTACTTTCCCACAGAAGCGGTACCTATTGATCTACTCACTTTTGCATGTTTTCAAACTGCTAGGTTGGCAGAAGCTGGGCCTAACAGCGGGATCTCACCCCACTCCCTGGATTCAAACCACCATCCTTTTGGGCAGCAAGTTCAGCAGCTTAGCGGTTTAACCCGCTGCACCACTAAGTGTATATGAGTCTAAACTGCCATATAATCCAGATAGATAACCTGGATTTTATATGGCAGTGTAGAAGGAGCCTCAATGCCTAGTTGGATCAGTTAGTGAACAATTTAAAGTGCCATAAATACTGCAATCCTGAAGTTAAAGAATCTGCTGATAATATTCAAATATAATGTTTCACAGTAGGTACTCTTAATAATAATAGTAGTAGTAATTTTATTTCTTAACCACCTCTCCTCACGGCTCGAGGCGGGTTTCAATATGGCTAAAACACATAATCAAAACACATAATCATTTAAAAACACTCTGTCGAATACACATATTAGATATAGTTCCATAAAATACATAAATAATAATAATAATTTCCTCTTACAGGGTTGCCGTTTTTTTAAGTGTCTGAAAAATGTGGCCAAATTTTAACTGTAAGGAAATCCAGTTATATGAGTCCTGAGAAATGGCTTCCCAGGGTGTGGACAAAATCTGTTTGTCCATATTTCGGCCTTCAGTCCAATGAATTATTCACAGTTTCTGTCCTCCTTCCAAAAATCAAAAACAACCCCTGCTAATAGTTGCAATATGGGCAGCACTATTGGGAAACTCCCTGCTCTTCTGGCTGTGGTCCTGGAAAGCCTATGCAACTGGCAAGCAAGCATTTCAGAAGGCCAGATTGGAATCTGAAACATTTCTCTTGTTCTTTTCCATCCAGAGCAGTTGGCTGTACATCTGCACACCAATTTGACAGTTTCTTTGAAAACCATTCCTGGTGGAAGTGTTAGCTGTTAAAGGAAACCAACTGTATATTCCAGCACTGTTTCCTTGCTCCCAGTTTTGCAACCCGCACAAACCTCTGCAATAAAACATAATACATATCATCCCAAATAAGTTGGAGGAAGGGGAGCATCTTAAGTTACAACTCAACCTTACATTAACCACAACAATTCTGTTGAGAAATTATCTGTCTATTTGGAATGGTGTCTCATGGATTTAGGACATTTGCCTCAGTTTGAAGAAATTGAATATGAAGGAAATGTTTTCTTGCACACTGTACTGGAATGTGCTGTTTGAACGTCTTAAGATTCCTGGCGCTACATTAAATTGTTAGTTCCAAATAGAGTAGATCCATTAAAACAAGGAGACATGCACAAACTCTGGCTTAGCAAGTTTTGTCTATTCATACAAAGGTTCTGTTCTAGCTGAGATTAGTATTTGAATCAATTTCTATCATTCTTCCTAGCTGATAATAAAGACAATTTAGAAAATATATTTACTTTGCCCAGAGAGATTATTTCACAGGAAAAAAAGAAGGTAAGTTTAGCATTACTAGACTTCCAAATACATTATAAGCCCCTACTAGATTTACATATAAAATCCAGATTATCTGTGTATCGTTGAAGGCTTATCAACAATACACAGATAATCTGCTTATTGACAATACATAATCAACAACTCAGATTATCTGCTTTGAACTGGATTATATAGCAGTATAGACTTATATAATGCAGTTCAAAGCAGATAATGTGGATCAAAGGATTTAATAGCTTCCTACTCCTCCCCTCTGATTTTCCATTAGTTCACAAGGGAAACAGAAGTCATAAAATAGTTTCAACCATAACAAGAAAAAAGCATGCAGATTAGTACTTACCAAGAAGGCTAGGTTCTAAGCAGAAGAGTTAAAACCAACAGGTTAATAAATGTTAGTATGGCTAGTGTTTGCTTAATTTTTGTTTGACCTTGACTGTAATGTAAAAGATAATTATTTCAGTCACTTTGTAGTTATACTGCGGTGAAATTTGTATGTATAAAGCATCTTATTACATAACTAGCTGTACCGAGCCACGTGTTACTATGGCCCAGTCGGGTTAAATGGAAAAGAAAGAAAAGAGCTGGTTTCCGATATATATAATTTCATAATGCTTGTGGGTTTTCTTGAACACCAGCCCTCTTAGGCAGAGGGGGCTGAAGACCTTGCCAAACTACAGCTTCCAGGATCTCACAGTACTGTGCCATGTCAGTCAATGTCATACCAAACTGCATTAATTCTGCTGTGTAAATGAGGCATGGGCAAACTTGGGTCCTCCAGGTGTTTTAGACTTCAACTCCCGCCCCTCTCCCCAGCCTGGATTTCTCTATCTGCCCTGCCGGCTTTTCCCCGCTCTTCTCCTGGTTCTGCTGCTGAGGTTGGAGGAGGGGGGGGGGCAACCAAGCCACGGATCCCTAATGGCAGCTCCGGCCCTGATGGGGTCACTTCACAATGTGTTGTTTGGGCGCCCAGCAGGTGGTACTGTTTTTGATGCCGTGCATGTTTTTACCTGTCACGGGCGTGGCATCTATATAATAGTATGTATGTGAATACATAAAAACATCCTCCTGTTTGAGTGATATGTTGTGTCCAAATTTCGAAGCGATCGGTGAAGTATTTTGGGAGATTTGAGGTCATTCACAAACGGACATTTACATTTTTATTTATATAGATTATAGTAGCACAAAAGCTATTAATATCACCTCAGTGAGGATGGACTATTTAATCTTCCATACAATTATGGGCCCTTCCACACAGCCATATAACCCAGAATATCAAGACAGTGTGCCATATCTGAGTCCACACTGCCATATA